GAGAGAGAGTGAGAAAGAGAAAAACCAGACAGACCAACATATAAATGGATAGATAGATAGATAGATAGATGGGAAGAGAGAGAGAGGGGGGGGAGAGAATAGATTTGGGTAAAAGAGAGTATGGGAAAGAGATAAAAAAATTTATTTACAAACATATATTTATAAAGAAAGAAAATTAAACAAAGTGAAAGAAAGACGACAGAAAAATAAAGAGCGAGAGAAAACCACTGATAGAGAAAGAAGGAGACAGAGAGTGACAGATAAATAAAACAAAGTGAAATAAAATTGGAGAGAGAGGGAGTGAGAGAGAGAATAGATTATTTGGGTAAAAGTGAGTATGGGAAAAAGATAAAAAAATTTATTTACAAACATATATTTATAAAGAAAGAAAATTAGACACAGTGAAAGAAATACGACAGAAAAATAAAGAGCGAGAGAAAGCCACTGATAGAGAAAGAAAGAGACAGAGAGTGACAGATAAATAAAACAAAGTGAAATAAAATTGGAGAGAGAGAGAGAGTGAGTGAGTGAGAGAGTGAGAATAGATTAATTGGGTAAAATGGAGTATGGGAAAGAGATAAAAAAATGTATTTACAAACATATATTTATAAAGAAAGAAAATTAAACAAAGAGAAAGAAAGACGACAGACAAATAAAAAGCAAGAGAAAGCCACTGATATAGAAAGAGAGAGACAGAGAGGGAAAGATAAATAAAACAAATTGAAACAAAATTGGAGAGAGTGAGAGAGAAGGAGAGAGAGAGAAAGAGAGAGAGAAAGAATGAATAGATTATTTGGGCGAAATTGAGTATGGGGAAGAGATAAGAAAATTTACTTACAAACATATATTTACAAACAAACAAAATTAAACAAAGTGAAAGAAAATGAGACCGAGAGACAAACAGAGATCGTAGAGAGGGAGAGGACGCAGTGACAGGCAAATAAAGAACGAGAGAGAGCCACTGATAGAGAAAGAGAGATACATAGAGAAAGGCAAATAAAACAAATTGAAATAAAATAGGAGAGAGAAAGAGAAAGAATCGAAACTGCTTAAGTAATACAGACATGAAAAAATACTTTAAAAAGCACAGGTATAAATAGACAAACAGGTATCTATCTCACAAGTATACCAAATTAACTAATAGTTGAATTTTATCTATTTGGAAAAGGAGTAACTTGCAAGTTGTAGTCCCACCAGGATAGGTGGAATTTCAACGGGACCACAGATAAAAATATTTCATCCCTTTCTTGGCCCTTCCCGCCTTAGGGTACGGTCAGGGTCCGCTGGTATGAGATCTCCCTTGGATAAAGGAGGTGGATGGGGAAAAAGTATAAATAGGTAGAAAATATTTAAGAGAGAAAGAAACAAAAAACTACATGCTTAAAAGAGAGAGTGTGTGTGTGAGTTCTGTCCACAGGATTCTTGTCCACTCCTGAATCCAAAACCTACAGGCAAAACCATTTTTATTTCAAGTACGTGTTCATTTTAAAGGAAATTAAATTCTCTACAACTTTTACTGTTTTAATTTTTTCAAAAAGGTCAATAGTTTTTGAGAAATTTGCTAAAATATTGGGAAAAACATGTTTTTAAGCATAAAAATAGTAAAAAATAAACTAAGCTCTTTTGACGATTCATACTTAATTTAATACTTAGATTCTAATAAGTACAATACAATTTTACATACAATACGAATACAATTTTTATTGATATAACAAGTTTTCAAAGGATAAACTATCCAACTCGTCTCAGATAAAAAACAAAGGAGTAGTGGAATTATTATCCGGATAAAAAATTGAATAATTTATAATTTATCATTTAATTTGGAATATACAATGAGCGATAAATTTATAATAACAACGTTACATCTTATATAACTGTTTCTGACGCAACATGCCCGTTCTAATAAAAAGTTGTTGTTTAGTGTAATAAAATATATAATTTTTCTGACAGATAAACAGTTTTAGTTATAATATCACTTAGGTTATGTTTTCCTGAGAAGTTTTTACACCAATTTTTCCAAAATAATTGTATATTATGTGTGGTGATTAGTAACCGTTAGCCAATGATTATTTGGAGATCGTGAGGTGCGGTATGGTGTGACATAGATTTTAGAAAAACATTTTCTTTATCGTGCCAACGTTTCGATCTGTGCTGAGATCATCTTCAGGGTTCAAAGTGTTTGTTTTTCGTGGAAATGTGTCATTCTTGTCTGTTGTGGCACTCTCAACACGACAGACAAAACAAATACTTTGAGCCCTGAAGAAGATCTCAATAAAGATCGAAACGTTGGCATGATAAAGACAACATTTTTCTAAAACCTACTTCACACCAGACCTCACGATCTCCACATAACCATTGTATATTATATTAAGAATCATGAGTGCAGGGGTTTGTTCCTTTTTCGAACCTTATGCACTCCGTGGCATCCCATGAATTTCAAGCACGATCTTTCTTCCATTTTTTTGCATTTTCTTCTTCCAATTGAATCGCGTTACGTAACTGAGAGGAATGCACGCTTGAGCTGATTGCATCCTGTCAATTGAGGAAGGGCGGTGGTTTTTATTTATAGAGGGAGAGGGATTTTGTTGTAGAGGCCGGCTGGAAATCAGGGGGCTCGTCTGGTTCAAGGACTACTCCTTATTTAAAATGCTAAAGACCCACAGACACAGTTTCCTTCATTCCCCTTAACGGTTAAAAATAGGTAAGAAGTTAATAATAATAAAACATAAAACAAGCGTACGATTTTTTATTGCTTTCCACTACGCCATTCTACTTTATAATAGTATAAAACACTTTTGTGTCGAGGTTCTCTCCTTTCTTTCAGTTTATCTTTCCACAAACCTAATTAGGTTCGAACACACCATTGGTGAGAATGTACCTGTTCAAATACGTACGTTTTACAGTACAGCCTACTAATTTTAACTTTACAAGCTCTATTGATAATTTAGTCTACAACCAATTTTATTATGTGCCTCTTACGTACTTTTACATATAGTTTAAAACGTCTAAACTTTTATGGGAGAACCATAAAGCATTCAACAGTTGTGAGATTTTACTTACCGATGTCGTCATTCAAAACTTATGAAATTTCATTGGCTATTGAATAAATCGTAAACTTATAAATATGTACGTACTTTTTATGATTTGTTATAAAAACATTACTAATTATTATGCCTTATGTGTGTAAGTAAGTTAATCTAATTGCATAACTTTTATTTTATGTACGAGCTCTATTGATAATTTAGTCTAAAAACAATTATTTTATGTGCTTCTTACATACTTTTTCATATCATTTAAAACACCCAAACTAGAAATGTGGACCCACGGAGTCACCCGCTGCTGTGAGTTTTTATTTACTAATGTCATCATTCAAAACATGAAATTTCATTGGCTATCAAATAAACCATAAACTTATAAAAATATGTACGTACTTGTTATGGATTTGTTACAAAAATACTGATAATTATTATGACTTATGTGTACAAATACGTTTATCTAATTTCATAAATTTTATTTTATGTTTACGAGCTCTATTGATAATTTAGTCTAAAAACAATTATTTTATGTGCTTCTTGCATATTTTTTCATATAATTTAAAACACCCAAACTAGAAATGGTGGACAGTTAAGTCAACCACCGTTGTGGGCTGTTACTTATCGATGTCATCATTCATAACTTAGAAAACTTCAATGGGTATTTTACTATCCATAAACGTATAATATTTACGTAGGTATCAGTTATAAATTTTGTACAGAAAGTATGATAATTGTTAGACTTTACTTAAGTCTAATGTAAGTTATAAATCATGATTTTTATTTTAAGTTTACAAGCTGTGTTGATAATTTAGTGTAAAAACAAGTATCTTGTATGTTTCTTATATACTTTTATATACAGTTTAAAATGTATAAACTTTGATGGCTGGACTACTAAAACATCAACTCCTTTGAGTTTTCACTTACCGCTGTAATAATTAATAACTTACGAAATCTCATTGGTTATCAATTAAATCATAAACTTATAACTATTTACATACCTGAGATAATTTTGACAAAAATATTGGTAACATTATGCTTTACGTTGAAAAATGTAATGTAGCGTATGAAATACGTTTTTCATTTTAGGTTTTTAAATTAAGAAAATTTTAGGCTTACAAGCTCTATTGAAAATTTAGTCTGGAACCAATTGTCTTATGTCCTTCTTACATACTTTTACAAATAGTTTAAAAGTCTAAAATTTTATGGCTGGACTACTAAGCCATCAACTGCTATGAGATTTTAGTTAGGGATGTCTTAATTCAAAACTTAATTTATTGGCTATTAAATAAATCATAAATTTATAAATATTTAGTCTCTGATCTACCTTTTATATATATTCTGATCATTATTTGCCTTTGATAGTATAAATGTACTGTAATCTATTATTTATGATTTTTATTTAAACTGTCAAGCTCTATTGATAATTTAATCTTGAAATAATTATGTTATGTGCTTCTCACATACTTTTACATTTAGTTTAAAACGTATAATTTTTTACCAACCACTAAGCCATCAACTGCTGTGAGTTTTTACTTACCAATGTCATCATCCTTATTGAAACTTGAGAAATTTCATCGACTATTAAATAGATCATTATTTACAAGAATTGACTAATCTTCATCATCTACTATTATTCTGAACATCTGGATGATTTTACTGCTCTCTGTTCAAACCTGAATGACACATCCTTTATTATTTTTATTTAAATTTTACAAGCTCTGGTGATAATTTAAACTGAAAGCATTTATTTTATGTTCTTCTTTCACACTTTTATATGTAGTAACGATGCAACTTTGAAAGGTTGACCTTTAACCTATCAACTGCTGTGAAGTTTCGCGTACCGTTTTCATAATTTAAAACGTGATATTTGCCCTTAAATTTTACTTGTGGGTACTTTTTTATATTTCACTGAGAAATCTGATTCACGATTTGGTGGGATTTTAATTACTTAATTTGATTTTACAGGTGTTCCTATGAATCTGTGAAAGAGATTTCCACCTACTTACTCAGCAAAACAAAAATCAGGCCTAAACTCGGCCTGATATGTGGCACTGGAATGGGTAAGCAAACTTTTCTTGTGCGTCTGCACCAAAATAAAAAAAATCGAACAGAACTTTTATAATTTGTACATGCTATGTGTTATCTTTTTCATATATTTTTTCGAATCGCGTTTTTACAGGCGCCGTCGCCCACCTTCTTCAGAACACGAACGAATTCCCGTACGAGTCAATTCCCAACTTTCCTAAGTCGACGGTCCACGGTCATGCCGGAAAACTTATCTTCGGCTTTATAGGATCAGTGCCGATCATGTGCATGCAGGGACGAGTCCACTATTACGAGGGCTACTCCCTTACAAGGGTGAGTCTGAAAAAAATTTAAATTTTAGATGAACTTACTAGGCAGACTTCATGTTAAAATTGCTAACAATCCAACATTAACATAACTCATGCTTGGCGATTTATAAAAAAAAAATCGCAAGAATATAAATGCGATTGTAAGTTTTTAGAGTAGTTCATGCTAACCAGGTTAAACTTCTTTTACGTTCTTCTTATCCTATAAATTTTTTAATACGATTCGATTATAAGATAGCGTTAATCAAGATTCAAAGGCCTCGGGTTATCGTTTTGCTGAAACCGGCTGATATTTTTTCGCTAAATTAACCACTGTCACTTCATGGCGAAGAGATTAAAATTGATCAGCTTCCGTTTTAATCCGCTATCGGCCTACCTAATTCGAATGATGAGGCGAGGCAGGCGGTAAATAATTTGAGGAAAAGCGATACGGTTTCAAATTAATACGAAAGGGAAAATCTTTAACTTTTTGGTTTATGAAAGCGACAAACCATTGTAAAAAATTGTTTAAACAAGCGTAGAAGTAAAGGAAGGAAATGGTGTAATAATGTGCTTTACTAATTTATTTGTAGATACAAATGTTAAAATAACAATACAAAATTCGTCGAGATATACAGCACCACATAAATCAATTTTATTTCAAGTTTACAAGCTCTATTGATCAAAAAGGTTTTAACCAGTTATCTTATGCGCTTCTTATACACTTTTTCATATAGTTGAAAGCGTCCAAACTTTAAAGGGTGGACCAGTCAACTATCACAAGCTGTGTAGTTGAACGTAACAATAACCTAATTCAAAACTTAAGAAATCTCGTTGACCATTTTCTAAATTTTTGTATTGTTTATAATCTAATTAAAACATTGATGATTCCTTGTCCTACATGTATAAGTACGTAAATCTATAGTTTCTATTTGCATAAAATGACGTTATTATTTTAAGTTTACAAGCTCTATTGATCAAAAAGGTTTTAACCCGTTATGTTATGCGCTTCTTATACACTTTTGCATATAGTTGAAAGCGTTCAAACCTTAAAGGGTGGACCAATAAGATATCACAAGCTGTGTAGCTGAACTTAATAATAACCTAATTCAAAACTTAAGAAATGTCAGTGACCATTTGCTAAATTTTTGTATTGTTTATAATCTAAGTAGGAACATTGAGGGTTAGAATATTCTACATGGGTATGTACGTAAATCTATAGTTTCTATATACATAAAACCTCTTTATTATTTGAAGTTTACAAGCAGTATTAATAATGAAATGAGACACCAATTATCTTATGTTCTTCTCAAACACTTTTGCTTGTATTTTAACACTTCCTAATAAAAAATGTTGACCGTTAAGTCGTCAACTGCTGTGACCTTTCATTTAACGATCTCAAAATTCAAAACTTAAGAAATTTCCTTGGCTATTAACTAAATCATAATCTTATAGCCGTTTACATGCCTGTTATTATTTTTTATAAAAATAATGAGTATCATTATGCCTTACTTGTAAACATTTGTTAATCTATTGTAACATATACATTATTATTTTTGATTTAGGTTTACAAGCTCTATTGATGATTTAGTCTGACAGTAATTATTTTATGTGCCCCTTACAAGCTTTTACATGTAGTTTAAAACATCACAATTTTGACAGATGGACCAATAAGCCATCAACTGCTTTGAGCCTTCACTTACCGAAGACATAATTCAAAACTTAATAAATCTAACCGGATTAGATTAAATCATTAACTTATAAATATTTACGTACCTTTTATAATTTTTACCAAAATATTGATAATTATTAAGCTTTACGTTAAAAATGTATAGTAACGTATACAACATGATTTTTATTGTACGATTACAAGCTGTATAGATTATTTAGTCTGAAAATAATTATCTTACGCTCTTCTTACATATTTCTACATGTAGTCTAAAAGTTCTAAGCACAAATGTTGTACTGTTAAGTCATCAACTGCTTTGAGGCTTTACTTACCGATGTCATAATTCAACACTGACGAAATTTCACTGGCTATTAACTTAATTATAATCTTATGAATATTTACTTAACTGTTTTCATTTTATACCTAAATATGAATAATTATTATGGCTTATCTGTTATAAATGAAATGTAACTAGTCTAAATTTTTATTGTAGGTGATTTTTATCGTGTTATACATATTTACAAAAATATTGATAATTATTATTATACCTTATGTGTATAAATATATAGATGTAATGTCACGATTTTTTTTAAGTTTAAGGTATATTAATAATTTAATCTGAAAACCATTTCTTATGCGCTTCTCTTATACTTTTATGTACAGTTTAAAACTAAACTAACTTCTGTGAGCTTTGACTTAACGATGACCTTATACAAAGCATTGTCTTATATAAAGCTTCCAAGTTCTATTGATAGCAAAGTCATTGCCCAATTAACTTATATGCTTCTTACTTTTAGGTTTAAACAGCGTTTTCCTTTCAAAAAAAAAGTACAAATTTATCCCATGGTTATGAAATCAATCGGTTCTACTTAGCAGAAGGAGTTGTCCAAGCATATCAATCTGCCTTTGTGTTGTCCAAAATAGAAATATCATCTAGTTGAAGTTTTTACTGAAAATTATCAAGAAACTCGCCTGATCAGGCTTTTTTTAAAAATAATTTAACAGTTCAAGAAAAAATTGAATTAATAAATCACTAAAATCACTTTAATCGCGTGTTTTTTCTCGTGGTTTACACAATTAATTTGATCCATTAATAAAGGTTTAAGTGATATAAGGATCATTGATATTTTATAATAGTGTGTTATAAAAAAATATGATTATGGATTTTTTTTTATTTGTTGACAGTATTTATAGTCGGTAGCTTGGAATAAAACACTTAGAATTTTATGGTTTCTGATAATTTCTCGGCCGGTTTAAGCATTCAAAAGGTTATCAGGAGGAAAGAAAACAGTTCATAAAAATTATATCACCTTCCTCCCTAATTGTAAAACTTTTTAATTGGTGGAGGTGTAATTATCTATAATGACAACCGGCGATCATCATGAGCCTGAGTAACTTTCCATTTGGAAAGGGGGAAAAAAGAAAAAAAAGGTCAGAACCGTAATCGTCGATAACGCAGTATCTTTTTATCGGGGTTCGCTTGTCAAAACATATTTTTCTGAATCACAAACGTCACGGGTCTGTTTTTGTGAAAGGGTTGGGATTGTGTTACGTAAGGAATGAAATTTTAGGAGTCTGCATAAGAGCAAAAAAAAAATTTTTTTAATCTTATAAGGAAGATTAAGTAATAACGTGTATCTTGAAGACTGATGAGATGTCAAGCTAAGTCAAAAAAATTTAATAAGCCAATTTCTCGTTCATCCTCAATTTGAGCCTTTCATAAAAATTAAAATAACAGGCTAACAAGTTTTTCCTTTTTTTTAGTGTGCTTTGCCAGTGAGGGTGATGAAAATGTGCGGCGTGACACACATAATCATGAGCAACGCTGCAGGGGGTGTCAACGCAAATTACAGCCCAGGTGATATCATGCTCATGAAGGATCATGTCAATTTCCTGGGTTTCGGGGGTGTCAACCCACTCAGGGGAACCAACGACGAAAGGTGATGGAACAATTTAAATTTCAGCATGTTCGAAAATGTGTTCAGGCTGTCGTTAAACAAAATATGTCGAGTCACTGAATTTAAAGTGTTGATCTTGAAGCTTCTTTTCAATTTGATAGGATTCATCATGTTTTGTTTACAGATATTCTACAGAAAATCATTAAGCATAAAGAGATTATATGTGTTAAAATTCTGCCCACCTATTGCTTTTGTTTGTCCTAATTTTCTTTGTATATACAGACACAAGCTCTTTTAATAATTTAATCTGCAACCAATTATCTTACGTGCTTCTTACGTACTTTTACATATAGTTTAAAACGTATAAAACTTTGAAGGGGTATCACTAAGCCATCAACTGCTTTGAGCTTTCACTTACCAATATCATCATTCAAAACTTATGAAATCTCATTGGCTATCAGTTAAATCATAAATTTACAAAGATATTTACTATTACCTGATTTACTTTTTACAAAAATATTGATAATTATTATGCCTTGACAGTATAAATGAAATATAACCCATTATTCATTATTTTTATTTAAAATTAACAAGCTCTATTGATAAGGTAGTCTATAACCAATTTTATTATGTGCCTCCTACATACTTTTATATATAGTTTAAAATGTCTAAACTTTGTTTGGTGGACCACTAAGCAATCAACTGCTTTGAGCTTTTACTTACTGACGTCATAATTCAAAACTTAAGAAACCTCATTAGCTATCGATCATAAACATATAAATATTTACACACCTGATAAAAGTTTTACAAAAATATTAGTATTTATTATATCTTGACAGTATAAATGTAATATAACCTATTATTCAAGATTTTGATTTAAAATGAACAAGCTCTATTGATAAGTTAGTCTATAACCAATTTTATTTTATGCCTCTTAACTCTCTTATATAGTTTAAAACTTCTAAACTTGGATTGGTGGACGAGTAAGCCATCAACTGCTTTGAGCTTTTACTTTCCGATGTCGTAATTCAAAAAGTGAGAAATTTTATTTACTATTGATGAAATGATAAACTCATAGATATTGATTTAACAGCCAATTCCTTTTGTACAAAAATATTGATAATTATTATGCTTTGGGATATACACGCATATAAATCATAGTTTTTATTTAAATTTTATAAGCTCTATTGATAATTTAGTTTGTACCTAATTGTGTTATGTGCTTCTTATATAAATTAGGTGGGGCCCACGGTTTGTAGCTTTGAATAAGGCATACTCGGCCGAGATAAGGAGTATGGCGAAGAAGGCCGCCGCCGAGCTTGGGATGAACAACGTCCACGAGGGTGTCTACGCCCTGGTCGGCGGTCCAAATTTCGAAACCGTCGCGGAAATCAGACTACTGAGACAACTCGGTGTCGATGCTGTCGGTAAGAAACCATTTTCCCAATGGAATTGAATTTTTTTTTAAACATATAATTTCCAGGTATGAGCACCGTCGGCGAGGTGATAACTGCTCACCACTGCGGCATCGTCGTCTTCGCCTTCAGCCTCATAACAAACGCATGCGTCTGCGACTACGTGACCAACGAAATGCCCAACCACGAGGAAGTCCTGGAACACGGGAAGAAAAACGAAAACCAAATCAAAATGTGGATCACAAAACTGATCGAGTACATTTCAAAAGAAATGCCGAAAACATAGTGTATCAGAGATGAGCCGAGTGTCAAGGATATCCCTGTTATCCTCCAAAGTTGGAAACGTGATATTTTAAGATAATAGTGCCTTATGGATTGTAAATAATGTTACACCATTTTCTTCTTTCCTATTTTATTTTCAAACAAAAACTACCATAACTACTTAATATATTTGTTATTCTGTAATATACAGTAGTATTTATTAATTACTATAGTTTCCATTCCTGCTTTTTATTTTGTGTCCCAAAAAGATACACGGGACCTCGCCTCAGCTGACTTTCAACACTTCAATACTGTAGAGAAGCTCACCCATCATCCACTCATGCCTTTAAGAGTCGTAAATTTTTTGTACCGTCTTCATTTATCTCTTTAACTTTTATCTTCTAAAATTAACACAGAAAAAGAGATAAATCATGCCATGATTCATGCAAATATCCCGAGAGAGTGTCAAAACGCCCTCTGAACTTTTCACACTCATCGATTCGTTGTTGACTTTTTTATTTATGTTTGAGGTGGGTGTGAATAGTTTACTACATTAGATAATTATAATTGCATCAATGCCATACTTAAAAATAACACTCAAATGTCATAATAGTTTAAAAATTAAATAACAGTCGAATTTACTGTTTGTATTGTTACATGGACACATTTAATCTTTATGAATTATTTGCTTTGATGTTGCATCTTTAATTTGCACGCTTTAAATATGAAACCTTTTTCCCTTTGAGAAAAATTAAACAGGAATTTTGGCGCGAGCGAAACATCGCCGACTTTTTGCAGCATTACATAAAGACAGTGATAAATACAAATTTCATGGCCAACTACACGGAACAGGGTTGCTGACAAAATGGCTCTATGGGTTTCCCCTGTCGTCAAAATAACTACAGGGAAGTCCCTTCCTCAGAAACTGCCATTATCACACTTCTGACTGTTGCCTCACTGCTACTAAAGAAAATTCAAGAAAAAGGAAGAAATCACAAGGCCAAGCCAATACCCAAAATATTTTGCGAAAAGATTTATCACAAAAAGTCGTAGATCCTCACTAATCTGGTCAACAATGTCTTATACTAGGTTATTTTCCCACTCTCTGGAAAAATTCTAGTGTTCTCTGATTCTGAACCCTGCCAAATTAGTCTCTAGCCCAAACAGCTACAGGCCGATTAGTCTGCTTAGCATGCTAAATAATGATTTCCAAAGAATACTGTTAGCTAGGTTCAATCGTCATTTAGATCCAGTAAGAGCAGTTTGGGTTATGGTTAGGGCTTTCTACTACCGCCCAATTAGCTTATTGATTACCTATCTGGGGCGTTTAACCGACGAAAGCACATTGGCTTGGTTTCGATGGACATCCAAAAAGAGTTCGACACAGTTTGGCATGCGGGAGTGATAAGCGTGCTAACAGAATACAGCTTACCCCCATACCTCATAAAAATCTTCAATCATATTCGAAATTTCGAATCTCTCTCAAAAAAATCCTGTCTCAAAGTTGTGTCGCATCTGCTGGTATCACTCTCGGATCTGTAAATTAGCCTGTTTCTTCTCAATGCAATACCAAAACCTATAGATCGCAGACTGGCCTTGTACGCCGATGACATTGCAATCTACACTTCGCCCTGGAGAGTGGATACAATAGCCAGTTGACTTACAAAGGTCATGTATTGACAGGTTCTGTGATAAATTGAGGATTAAAATAAATCCTACAAAAACGGAGCTTATCCTCTTTACAAAGCGCCGGCCTGTGTTGTATCCGCATGTCGAATAAGGAGGCCGGATGTCTTGGTCTGCTACTGTTAAGTACCTTGGAGTTATACTTGACGCTAATGTCGCCCATGCAAGGGATAGAGTGAATAAAGTCAAAGCTGCTTTACATGCTAAACTGTCCCCAGTAAACAGACTTCTTTCCAAAAAGTACTGGTCTGACCAATGGATGTTGTTAATGGATACTGGGAAGACGAGTCTGTGCTCCCTAGGCACAGTCTTCTGGATTATTTTACCTGGTCGTACCAATGCTCTATGCTTGTCAAGGCGTTTGACATCACGCTACAAATTACGCCTGGTGACCTCATCACCCCGCCACACCAGTTAAACTGTTATATCTTGAATAAAGAATTTAAAAAATTGTCCTAATAGGTGTTTTCTGCTGCATATGGTCAGAAAATATCAAACTAAGATTTCAAAAAAGGGGAATACGTTAAACCTTAAAAGAGGTTCATAGTTTTGAACGACAGGTGATTCGAAAATATCAAACTAAAGACAAACGGAGAATGGTCAAACGGCAGCTCTCAAACCTAGCAGACCTACAGGCAATTGCTGATGCCAACGAGATGATGATAATAGGTGAGCCATAAATGCTGCCTTTAAATAAAGTACGATGCCAACGTTCAACTGCTCCGTTTGCCTGGGGATGGTAAGCTGTGGAGCGATTTGTTCGTTTGTTGTTGATTTTTTGTCTAATTATTATGGATAGGCATAGGGATAGGGATAAGAGAGGCGGCCACAAGGCCTACTGCACCTCGACCTAAATAGATCTATGTGCTCCTCTGTTAATTATAACTCACTGGCCAGCTTCAGGCTATTAACCAGCCTCCACAGCTTTGACAGCGGTTCCTAGGTGTAGGATCTTGCTTGTAGTTTTTCTTGTCCTAGTTGCACCTACATAGACTTCACAGAAACATAAAATGTGTTCTGCGGTCTCCTCCTCTTCTTGGCAGTATCTGCACTGTGTTTCTTCTGTCTGTACTCCTAACCGGTGCATGTGCTTTTTTAAGTGGCATTGCTCTGTCAGAAGTACAACCAGAATTCTGGTTCGGTTGCGGTTGCCTTCCAGGAATTCTTTTGTAAGTTTTGCGGATGGTCCTTCTATGAATCTCTTCTCGTGCATCATACCTGTGATATTGTAATACTAGGTTTTGGTCAGGCTGCTAGGTCGCAGAAGGGTTCTGGGCCCATCGAGTCCATGTTGGCTCCCTTTTTGGCCAACATGTCAACCTTTTCGTTGTCTCTATGCCCCGAATGTCCAGGGACCCATGCCAGGGTCAGGTCGTTAGTGTCGCTGACTTCCGTCAGGGCCTCCATGCGTTTCCGAACACTCTTTGCCTTCGCCTCGCATGAGGCTAAGGATCTGAGAGCTTGCGTGGCTGTCAGAGAAAATGGCTATCTATTCCTAGACTTTTTATTTCTCTGGCGCATTTTTCAATCGTTATGATTTCAGACTGGAAAACTGTAGCATACTTGTCTAGGTTTACCGCCAGTTCGGTTTTGGGGTTCATCCCGAAGACCCCCAGCTCCCGTACCCTTGTCGGTTTTGGAGCCGTCGGTATATCAGTAGGAGCCTTTAGTATTGTTTTCTTGGCCCATTCTTCCCGTTCTAGTATCAGTACTTTTTACTTTTTGGTGAAGTTGTACTTTGGAGTAGTGGCATCAATTGGCATATCTAGAATGGCATCTGCCGGTATCTCCTCCCTCAGTTTCCAATGTTTATTCACATGGCCTATCCGAGCAGATGGTTGTCCATTTATGATCCTGTGAGCTGTGCTCTGGCTTCTCCTTGTATTAAAATGTGAAGTGGTGGGAGGTTTAACAAAACTTCCAGGGCCGCAGTAGGCGTTGTGCTCAAAGCACCAGTGACACTACGGCACGCTTGTCTTTGGGTGACTTAATTAAGTCGTTCCAGATTTAGGCACTGAATGGATGATCGGTACCTTGGGTGATGACGAGTTTCCTTATACCCAAACAGGACAAATAATAATTGTTCATTGTACTACACTGAGTCTTTTTAGGGATGGTCTTTTTTATTTTCCTTATTTCACGCGAAGAGTGCTTAGCATCGGTGTTCCACCGGACTACTGTAAATATTTTGGTCCAGTCCAGGCAGTTTCCACGTTATCATTGAGTCATCAAATGGCTTTATTAATGAATCTATTGTTATAGGCTTCAGTCCATTCCGTCTAATTAATTGAATCATAGATAGATTATATAGGAGTTGGGTTCTTTACGACTTGCGCACCGCGACCAGTAGTGCATCTCCATTTTTTTTAGAGCTCGTTAAGCTTAAGGCTTTTACCAGACCCCAAAGCTTTTTCACGAGCTCCCGTGTGTATCCTTCAGGCCCTGATTGAATCATGCAGATTTCGATTAACTTTTTCATCCCCTTAGCAATTTCAAACGCGTGTCCGGTGGACATTGCATATGAGATTGGACGTTTACAATTTGTCACACGTCTATAAAAGAGACCCCGACAATAAAAGCCCAAGGACGGTGTCGTGGTTGCGATTATAATCTAAATAATGAATCGAAGTACATTTTTTCTCATTACACCACCACCATTACACATTTGGGCATGAACTGATAAAAAAATTGTTCGATTTAAAACCGGTTGATCCATAAAACTTCCGCGTTCTGCCCTCTGCACATACCAATTAATAGTTTACATTCCTGCAAATTATTTTTTTTTAAATAAATAAACGATTAAAATGAATGTATTTTGCACTGACGAACTTTGTGTTTGTTCGAAAGAAAGCGCTTTATTTTTATTTCCAGTGCACCAGAGGAAAAATATCATCTGTCCAATGATCCGAGTGCATTAACACCGTAAACAAGTTCTTGTTTAAATTGTTCTCCATTTGCCGATAAGTCAGACCTCGATTTTAGTGATCAATAACGACGCAAAGTCGAGTCCCATCACGAAGTCAAACATTGCTTGACATACCGTTAAAAAAAAGCCAGTTTAAAATGGGAGATTCACGTTTCAAATTTAAATCAAAACGAGATAAATTAACAATATTTAAAATATAAACTTTTGAAGATGATTGTCGACCCGGGCCCAAAATGTAACAAATCTTCAATGCAGCTTGACAGAAAACTTTGCTTTACCCTGTAACTAATATTTCGGCTTAAATAATGTGTCTGGTACCACCTATTTAAAAAAATATTATTGATTTAATATTAATTATCAATTCTAATTCTACGTGTTTCCTTTTTTGCGCTTTCTGATCAACTTTGGTTTAGAACTATCGACCTCCTATAAGGTACCACTAAGGGAATGAATAAGATAATCAAAATTTGCATGATTCAGTTAGTTGGGATGTTCTGAAGCGTATAACATAGATTCATTTATACAGTTATTTGATGCCACAATAAAAACGAGGAAACCTGACTGGTTTCTTGGTTTTCTCCTTTTCTGTTTGTACAGCCATAGTTTCATATTTTCTGATGGTTCAAAATTATCGACCTCCCTTAAGGTTCATCCAATTCTCCCTTTTTGTGACCTTAATTTGATATTTTCTGACCAACTGCTCAAAACAAGGACTAAGACAATTTGACATTCTGATTATCTCAGGTTCTGCATATTCTTCCACTTAGACCTTATGGATAGTTTCCAACCAACTGTGGTCCGAAATATCAACTAAGATGGCTTAACCAGTATTGAACATCTCGATTTTCTCCTTTTCTGTCTGTATGGCCATAGTTTCATATTTTCTGATCACCTGTGGTTCAAAATGATTAATCTCCTTTAAGGCTAATCAAATTCTCCCTTTTTGAAACTTTAACTTGATATTTTCTGACCAACTGCTCAAAACAACTACTAAAACAATTTGACATTAGCTGGCCATCTCAGGTTCTGCACATTCTTCCTCTTTGACCTTAATTGTATATTTTCATTAGTCTGAAATATCTACTACGATGGGTTGTTCGTTAGTGATTTTTTTCAATTTTTTCCAATTATCCATTTATGACCATAGTTCGATTTTTTCCGAGCAACTGATACAAAACTATTGACCTACCTTAGCAAATAATACTTTAATCCAGTCATCTCCTCTCAATATTCTTCTTCGTTGACCTTCATTTGACATTTTCTAACCAACTTAATTTTTTTTTTTTCTGACGGTATTTCAACTACGAGGATAAGTGATCCCTCGGGGTGCCAATCTTTTGGAAAATAAGCCTTTTTGTTAATATGTCAGGTTCGAATTAAGGGCCATTGTTTTCGACCCTAGGACCTTTGCCTTACCCGAGTCTACACCTAAATTGTTCAAGCCACTAATACTTTTTTTAAACCATTTAACCTTTACTTATCCTATCTGCTTGCTCACATTCTTAATTTTTGACCTGTTTGCTATTTTCTAATCAGCCATGTTTCAACCAACGGTTTGACCTTTACAGGCACAGCTCATAACTATCAATAAGCTAATAATTTGACCTGTAATAGCGATCTCAGTTTCTGCACGGTTTGAGATTTTCGATAAACTATGTTCAAAAATAATACTTCAAATCGTTTTACCTTAACTGATCATCGCTGCTTGTTCACATTCATCATTTTTAACTGTGGTTCAATCAATTTGATATTTTTTGACCAGCGGTGGTTTAAAACAGTCACTCAGGCTATTGGGCTTTTACTGATTGTCCCTCTGCTTCCGTCGATCCTTCCTTTGTGATCTTCATTTCTTATTTTCTGATCGACTTCAGTTTAAAAGTTTCCACAAGAGTTTGTCCTTTACTTATCTTCCCGCTTCTACACTTTCTTCCTTTTTAATCATTTTCTCATCACGTATAATTTCTGTCTAAATATAACACGCCAAAAGTAAAATGTATTAAACAAATTAAAAACCTCGAAAAGAAAACAACAATTTTATTTATAAACTCTTTTCTCAGGTTTTGAACCTCAAAATTACATTTCCAATTTCAAAATACAACAGTTATATATTTAGTTATAATTAAATGAACAATAAAACAGCCTTATAAACTAAAAAATATTCTGAGCTTTTTTTTTATTATTACAAACTCGTTATTTAACAAACCCAATCGAAAAGTCCTCATTAGAACAAGCTATGGGAAAAGTTCGAGGGCAAGAATAGGCTACGTATCACATAAATGATTAAGTATTGCGAATGTGAGTTGTAGACGTCGTCCACCTGTGGTACAAACACAACATGACCCTTAGGCCTATTTTAAAATTTATGTATGTACAATAGATAATAAAACTAACACTTAGAAAATAGAAATACGCTAAAGAAGTAGCATTGGGTTAAGATTGGAATTTTGACTTTGATTAAATACCCACATCTTTTAGGGTTTTGTAAAACTATATTGATTTAATTTTGTATCAAGGCTTTACTTTTTATAAAATATAAATTGATTTTTAATATAATAATATATAACGTTCTTTTTTTAAATAATTATAAAATAAAATAAAAAGACCCTTTTCCCAATTCTACTTCTTATTGTGTTTGATTTTATCCATCACAGAATTTAGACCAAAAAATTTCCCTTAAGAGTTAAAAATAGACATTTAAAGCTTCTTTTTGTTAAATTTTTAAATACATATATATTTTTTTAAATACATCTTTGAGATAAACTACTATAAATATCATTAAAATACAGTGCATGAACGAAGTCCGTTCTTTCTCCTTATCACCGAGCTTTCTGTTTTGAAAAAACTGAAAAAAATTCAAAACAATCGACGAAAATCTCCCGTAGAGATTACGACCCTGTTGAAATGCTCGAAAACCCTGGTTCCCTGATTTCTTTTGTATTTAAAGTCATTTCAGACTTGTCTACCCTGAATCCTCGAAATGAACAGCCGTCTATGTTAAGACCGAGCGTCAGGACATCGGCTCATCGTAATTGAGCAAGTTCGGATCCTTGTGTAGGGTCAGCTCTTGTTTTAAATTTTCCTGGTGTCTTAGAAGACACGTCATCTTAAAAAAAAAAAAAAATATATATATATATATACATACAGAAAAATTGACATTGCAGAGGTAAATTTCAGCTGTGTTCAAAATTACCTCTTTGATTATCGTGGCGACGCTCGGGGAAGAGTTTGCATCTAAAAGATCCGTGACTTTGTTCAACTGACCGTTGAGCAGACCTCTGAAATGCGATCTAAAATCAAGTTCCCTGAGACGTTTTTGGTACGTGTTGAGAGCTGCTTCGATAACACCGACTTGCAATTGTTTCCTCTATAAATTTAAAAAAATTATTTCTGTTTAATAGTTTATTAAAAAAAAAATACCTCATCATGTGACATGTTGAAAAACTCTTCTTCAGATCCAATTTTTGTAGAATAATCCTGAAATAAGAAAAATTTTGCTATTTAGTTAATACAAATTTCATAAATTTCTCTTCATAATTAATTTTTTTTAAACATACACTCAATTCTGTTACTAATCCACTGAGACTTTTATATTCCACTTGAAGCTGTTCCTTTAAATAAATAAAGTAATTTATGGTGTTTTTTTTCCTTTTTTTTTTCAGATAACAATTTTAAAAGACTTACGATTTCAAATGAATTTAAATTCGAGGAACTTTGTGTGTGGGTAGAAGGCTGATCATCGCATTTGGTCCCTTTATCACTTTTTTCTTCGCTTTCACCCTTGCCAACCTCCTGCCCTTGCGCACTTTCTGTCCTGCTAGCGCATTCCGAACTGCTTCCCGTTCTGTGAATAATTCGGTTAGTAATAACACCAAGAGAAATAGCTTACGACTGACTTTTCCATGTTTGACGATTCGATGAGGCTGCCGTCCTTTGAAAATGTGAAAGACTGCTGGCCTATTATGATTCTTTTGTTCGACGGCTCTGGAGACTTGTCTCCCTGGCTTTCGTACCAATTCCGGTTCTCTGGGCTTAGAACGCTCACTTCTTTCACGCACCTTTAATCAAAAGGAAAAGAAAAATTAGAAATATTTCGGCAGGTTTGTTAACCGGACGTACTTTATTTTCTGGATGAGGTTGTGGGCCAAACGAGCGAGCTTGGAGCTATAGCCCACCTGCTGACCTGCAAACTGGTGCTGTTGGAACTGCTGCTGGTATTGTTGCTGCTGCTGAATGTGGTGTTGACGCTCCGCTTCGGCTTCCCGCAACCGATCCATTATCTTCCCAACGATGCCTGAAGGCATGGCGTGAGATGGCCCTTTTAGATAAAAGATAAAAAATCATTTAACTTCGCACATTTTCAAAAATGACACTTTCAAAATTGATGTAATTTTTTTTCCAATTGGCATTGATAGATTCGCAGGTAAAATAGCTTTAATCAGGCTGTAAAATAAGTCCTTTTTTTTAATGATAAATTCAATGAAAATTTCAGGTACTTGTATACAATAAAGGCAAATACAGTAGGTGAGCATTATCCTGGTAGAAAATAATTTGCGATTAGCCAATGTTGGTCGTTTTTGGTCAATTGCTGGCTTTAATCGCTCCGGTTGGTTTGGGTGGAAGAAGCTTCATAATAAAACAACCCCTTCCAATCCCACCAAATACAGCTTTTGGAGTGGCTAACGGTGGATCGCTTTGTTTAACCCCAGGTTTTTCCTCTCTGAACTTTTCATCCCAAGTTATCAATCTTTTAAATATGGGTCATTTTAGAAGGGAATCGCAGATGGAGAAGAGGTCGAATAAATTATTTTCAGTCAGCATGTGAAAAACCCATCGCTCTGACAAACATATCCAGATGCTCTCAGATGTGATGAAATGCTTATGTTAAGTGTACCTGTGATGTATTGTGTCATTGAGTGTGTATTTTGACAAAAGCATGAATTTGGTCATGACCAATCAAATCAATCAGTTGAAGGACAACCAGATCACGTGGCTCTTCTAAATCTAAATTTCCGCTTCTGAACCTTGCAAATCATTTACTAGTGCTTTGTTTCAGAGCTTCATCATCGAAGACATCGTAAATTTTTCTAACTTCTTTATATTATTTAAATTAGCAAAACACCTTACAAAAATACGAGACACTGAACAAAAATGAAAAATTAATACATTAACCCATTTCAGAGTGGGTAAACAACAATGCCTAAATAAACATTGATTCAAAACAGCAGGGATAAAATTGAATTCTTTAAAAGCGATGCCGACTTATTTTACAACCCAATATTCTACTGTCTAGATAATTTATTACTCAAAAATTATGATCCAATCCACTTAAATTTTAATTATTAACAATAAAAAAACTGGTTTAAATATAATTTCAAAAATTAAGAAATACTTTATTATAAACAAACAAAGAAAAAAATTATGTCATACTCAAGTAACTACAAGAAAAGTTAAGCAATATAAAAGCAGTAATTTTTTAAAGATTAAGCAATTTTTTTTTTAAAGATCCGACAAAAAGCAATCTAATATTTCTCACTTTCTTTTAAGTCAAATTTTCAATATTAACCATTGTAAATGCAAACTATGGTCATGGAAGGGCAGAAAACACTGGAGAATGCTTGCATTTTTGAAAAGGGATTTCAATAAGAATAATAAAAGAAATACATGCAAAAAAAAGTACCACGCAAATTTCCAAACAATACAGTTGTAGTAAAAACAAGAAAAAAAATCAGAACCAAACAAGTTTTATTTTCAAATCTTAACTTACGTATTGTGACAAGATGTGAATGTTTGATTTCCTGGTATGCACAAAATAAAAAGTTCAATGTAAATTAACCAATTGTGATTTTTTTTACAAGACTTTTAATTGTTTCATCAATGGAAAGTGTTACCTGTGAGTCCTCTGTAGCCGCTCGAACCGGATTGAAACGTGTGCATCATCAGCTGTTGATGCTTGAGAAAATCGTCGATCGAGATGCCTTTGAGCTTTGACGGCTGTAAAAACCTCGATGGGATCCTAGAAAAATCCATATTAATTGGAGACGATCGAATAAAAAAAATTAAACAAACCTGGAAATCATGTTTGGCTCTTCGGAACCGCCGAAGCCGAGCTCGAAGAGCAGCTCCTCCGGATCCGGTTTACGAGCCTCCAAGAGGGATTCCATACTCGAACAATGGCTCCCCGCATCGCTTCCTCCGCACGCACTGGCAAATAATTAATTAAAAACTAAAACAAATTCCTCTACTTTATCTTTGGACTCACTTTGTAACATGAAATGAAGGATACGGCCTAGGACATGACACACCAGGAGCTAAAAACAATATATAAATTACTTGATTTTTCTAAAATGTAATAAAAGTATATTTTATAGCTTAACCCAAGGGCCCGACTAACTTTTTTTGAATTACAATCTTAATAAAATAACAACGCAAGAAACATCTTATCCAAGATAACATTGGCTAGATGTAATGGTAAAATTTCATTAATCTTGAAGTTTAACTTAATAAATAAACTAATAATTATAAAGTTATTATTATAAATTTTCCAACTACTATGTTAATATTGTCTTAAATTAAAACTACCTTCTGCTCCTAGAGTAAGACTTTCGACTTCCACGTCATTCACATCATCCTCATTAATCGGTGGCATTTCTTCTTCCCTCCTGGAATTAAAACTATTCATTCTTTTCGCCTTCATTTGACTTTTCTATAGTTACAAGTTTTGAAAAGCAATAATGTCAAATCAAATTTTTATTTTCAAAACTTCAAACATTATATAAATTAAATTTAAAAATAAAAGAAAAAAGTTTACTCTTTGGTTTTACACTAAACAAGCAGCTATTATCAAAAGTAAGCAATAAACCTTGTATCTTATCGTAGCAAATAAGTTACATCTTTTACCTCCTAATTTTAAACAAAACTTACAAGACAATAGTGCTAATCAACCTTTTAAAAATTCAATTAGTGTACGCAAATACAAAAACAAAAAAAAATGTTATTCAAGTCACCTAGGTGTTTCATTAACAGGAATTGCGTCGACCCATTGCTGAACAGGTGATTTGGTCCGTGGAGGATTCTCCTCCACAGGGGTGAGGAGTTTCAGTTCTGCCTTCGCCTCTTCCTCCTATTAAAAAAAATATTATGCAAATATCATGGTGTGCACAGTCAACATAAAATAATACTAAAAAGATTTCTAACTGTTAAACTAAATTAAATGCTTGCCTTATTCAATTTAAAAATCAATAGATCCTAAAAAAAAAAAAAAAATGACAACAGTATAATATGACCATTAGGCGGTGACTGGGTGACACAATTGGCCTTTTAAAGTCATAATTCCATATCAGCCGGGGTATAAAGCACACCATTGTTTTATTCGCAATAATTAATCAAAAATTAGTACAAAGAAATAGGTCCGAACGTGTTAAAAAAAATTTATAGTACACGTTGAATTTATAAAACTGCTGTTATCAAGCTTGAAAAAAAACCTCTACAAAATAAATTACTATGGTTGAATAAAAATTAAAAAAATATTTTACAGAAAAAACTATGATTTCTGCATGATAAATATTGTGAATTTAGATATACAAATCGAATCAGGTGTGGGGAAAACGATAAAATGACATTGACACAGGACGTGGGGGATTGAATAACAAAGAGATGGGCAAAGATAAAAAAAAGAAAAAAAAGCAGAACGATAAAAGATAAAAATTTAGGTGAGATAGGAAGGTAAATGAATAGATAAATATAAATGGATGAAGATAGATAGGTAGATAGATCGGAAGATCGAGAGAAATAGGTGAGAAAGGAGGGAGAAAAAGAGCGTTTTAGCATTATAGAACAATAGAAGAAAAAGAGAAGCTGGTAAGAATGATAAAAAAGAGAGAGAGGAGAGAAAGAGAAATAGAGAGAAGAAGGTGAGAAAATGAGAGAGAGAGGAAGAGCAATTGAGCAAGACAGAGTGATAGCAGGCAGATAGAAGAAAAAAAGAAAAGCAAAGAAATATAAGCTAAAAAGTAGAAAATGAGAGAGAGAGAGAGAGAGAGAGAGAGAGAGAGAGAGAGAGAGAGAGAGAGAGAGAGAGAGAAAGAGAGAAGGTGAGAAAATGAAGGAGATTTTGAGCGACAGACTGATAGCAGACAGACAAAGAAAAAAGAAAGATAAGCACAAAAAGAGAACATGAGAGAGAAATAGAAAAAAAAAATTAGCATTTGAGCAAGACAGATCAACAGCAAGCAGTAAGAAGAAAAAGAGCAGCAAAGAAGAAAGAAAAACAAAAACATATACATATAGACAGAGGGAGAGAGTGTGTGCAGGTGTGATGAAGAAAAAGTTTGAGCAAGACAGATCGATAGAGGAGAGACAGAAGAAAAGAGAAGCAGAGAAGAAAGGCAAGCATAAAAAGAAAATAAGAGAGAAAGAGTGTGTGAGGATAGAGAAAATGAAAGAAAAACTAGCGTTTGAGCAAAACAGACTGATAGCAAGCAGTTACAGGACGAAAAAGAGAAGCAAAGAAGAAAGATAAGCCATACGAAGAAAAAATGAAAGAAGAATGAACGACTAATGTTTAAATTCAACATTGACAACTCATATCCAACAACTAAGGCAGATAGTAGAAAAAGAAAAATGGAGATGGAAGACAAGCCAAAAGAGAAAAACCGAGATAGAATAAGAAGGAAATATTTTAGCAATAAGATGCAATTTTCATTTAGACTTTAAGTGAGTACATATTTATTTTATACCTCATTTCAATTCATTTTGATATCAACAGTAGTCTAACTTTTTTAAATTTTTGTCTAAACTTCGGACTTTGTTTACATTTTGAAGCATTATAAGGTTCAGGTTTTAAAAAATCCAAGAAAAATTAGTTCACGTTCAAATGAGATGGCAATGTTTTAAAAGGACAATGATTATTAAATACATTGATATAATAATTACAGTTTGATTTTACTAGAACGAACAACCAAATATCCATCAGGAGTGCTTAAGAACGAAACTGCCCGGTGCCAATTAAGCACAAGGAGGGAACATGTGGCCTGTCGGTGTCTCTGTAGAAAGTCAAACATCTTGTGAGCCTGGCCTACTTATCCTAAACACTTTCATCTTCTCCCCAAGGCGCGATGCAGTCAATAAGATCCCATCTGGCAAACACCTTTGCATCCACTCACACACCTATGTGCAAACCAGGTCACTGATAACGCACTGGTTCATTAACTCGTTTGGGTCAAGGGCGAGCTGGCCAAAACATTCACTTTTTTAAGGGGGACACCATTCAAGGTTGAAATATTTCTTTTCAATTAATTTCGCTTCTAAGGCTTAAGTGATGTTCAGATGGAATATTTTCGAATTTGGATTTTTTTAAACAAGAATTTATCCATTGTTATTAATTTATAAATATTCAACAGAACTATATAAATTATAATTACACATTAATACACACATTAATTATTTCCACTGACCGACAAATTTATTTGTGTTAAAAGGTAACATTTTTAATATACAAATTATAATTAAATATGAATTATTTACACTGACCGACAAATTTATTTATGTTAAAAGGTAACATTTTTAATATACAAATTATAATAAAATATGAATTATTTACATTGACCAACAAATTTATGTTAAAACGTAACATTTTTAATATACAATTCAAGTAGAGTTGGTAGCAAAAAAAAAATTAATAGCTCAATAAATTGTAACTTTTTAAATATTGCTATTTGATCTTATGGCAAAAACCTGTTGTACACTGACCAATCATAATTATTCTAATCTCTCCGTAAATTTTTTTACAAATGAGAAATTTTCCACGGTTAATTCTGAGCGTTAAATTTACAGTCAGGAGGCGAGTATGACAAGTTAAATTTATGTTGGGCCAAAAAAATTGAACTGAAATTAGAAAAGCTTACAAATCGGCTAAATGTAATTAAGGATACATGGTTGAGTAACCAACAGAAAATTAATTATGGATGCTTTCACAATGCCAACTCAAGAAATTTCATATTCTGACCCCCCCCCTTTCACTGATCAATCGAGTGATCATGGACCAAAGTAAATCATGAGTTCAGTCTCATACTTTGCTTTTGTTACCTGTGTCATTTTATTTTGTGTGCTACTCTTAGTTTTATATCAAAGAATTTAAGTGCTTTTATTGTGTAAACGCAATCTTTATAGGTCATGAATTTTTTTTGTTAAATTTTCTTATTAATTTATTCAGATAGTTTTATTATATTAATAATTTATTCACGAGATATACTTACTTTTTAAGGCTATGTTCAGCATTTATACTAGGCAGATTTCTTTTTTTTTTCTTAACTTGGTCATTTCCAAACATCCTGTTCTGCCTATCTTCTCTGTGTTGTCAGATGTGTTTCAGCACTCTGCCCAATTCAGTGTAGCCAGTATGATTTTTTTTTTTTTTAATAAAAAGTCTCTTTTGGGTACTTTTGTGGCCTTTAAGTGGACTTTCCTCTCCCAGGAGTAAAAATCTCAGCCTGCATGTTCGCACAAAATGTTCTGATCTTTTTTCTTCTTCATTCAGCATTTGCACAGGCTTATTTCCACTACACTGAGATTATACAAATACCTCCAAAGTCCTAACACATCCTAGGTTTAGTAGTTCTGGCTGAGGACTTATTTTTAACCTGTCTGATGGATCTACATTTTTGGCTTGGTATGCCTCAAAAGGGTTCCGGGCTTAGCCTTCATCAAACATGCCTTGGCTAATTTATGCACTGGTAGCTAAATAAGGGTGATTTGATTTTTCCCCAATGTCTGACATGGCCTTGATGACCCAGCCTATGGACATTACTACCGATGAGGTTTTAGTCCGCCTGGGTGACCGAGTAGATGATTTTTATTTGGTAATACCAAGTGTTTTTGAACTCCCTGTCACAGTATTCCTGAAAGAAAGTGCAGATTATGCTTATATTTATTATCCTTAGTTTATTTCAAAAGCTATCAGCTCCTGGCCTATACTTGGTCTTAGATCCATCAATATACCAGATATACTTGGTATTAACCAAGATACCTTTCTTCCAGTCTGCTTTATTGGATATTTCTATTTGAAATTTCTAGATTTTAGGATCATGGCGACAACAGGCATGAAGTTCCTCACAAAGCTATAATTGCTTCTTTTTAAGAGGTTATGTGAATTGTGCCTCTAGTCCATCCATGGATGAAGATATGTAGTAGTGATAGATTCAGGACTTCTCAGGATAGGAAGGCAGCACAATTTGGTGGATTAAGTAGATTTTTTTTAAACCTTTCAGGTGGTCTTTGTGATTGTAAACATGCTGGATGACCAGGATGATAGGAAAGAACCAAATTACAGACTCATCACCAACACAGTCTTAAAAAGTAGTGTGTATTCTTTAAAAATAAATAAATAAGAACAAATAAATTTAAAAAATATTAATACAATGAAAAATATTTGTTTATTTTTTAATAAGCAATCATCTGTAAATTCTGTAAATTATCATTTAATTTAATTAAAAGTGTAATTAAAAGTAAGAGTCCTGACCCCTCACACACGTGCGACTCATGGGTACCTGTTGGTTGGCGTGAGTCGAACTAGGTGTGCAGCATGCCAAGATGACAGACTCACGGTGTAGCACGTGTTGGAGGGGTGTCGCAGCTTGGCCCCATATAGGGACCGAAATGGAATACCGACGGTCTATAGTAGAATGCTCGAGCATGGGAGCAAGTTTAAAGAAAAACTTTTAAGTTTTTGAGAGATATTGGGATAATGGGTTGTATATATTTCATAGGTTAAAGTTTAGATTTAGTTTATGTTAGAATAGGAGTATGCTGGGCAGCGGTGCAGCATATCATTTCATGGCTTCACCGTTGCTCCGCCAAGCCGGGTCAGGGCAGAATATCGAGTACCCTCTGACCCAGATTCTAGACGGATGCATGTGTGATTGGGTTTGTGTATAGGAGTATGTATGTATTTATTGTATGAAAGAGTGTGAGAATGACTAGTTTTAGGGAACGTAAGGGCGCCGAAATGACCAAAGAAGTCGATGGCGCCCGACCAGAGCACAACCTCGGAGTCGCTCAGGCACCAAGGTGGGTGACTCCCCCTGATCCATCAGGGAGAGGCCAGAGGCCTCCTAGGAGGTCTCGTAATTTTAATTCTAATTTAATTAAAAGTGCATGTATAGAAAGTGCTTTTGCTACACTAAAAATGGTTTAAAATAAGACTTTTTTTAGTTTGTAGTTTATGATTGCTGTTTTGGTCTGTCAGAAGAAAAAGCAAAAACCCAAAACATGCTGAATAAACACACTAGGATGTTCGGTATAAACCAAATTACAGGTTTGTAGATCAGAAATTATATTTTTTTATATTTGTTTTTAGAGGAGGAAAACATAAAAGCTTGGTAGTTATTTATTCTTTATTTGATTTTTTTTTTTTTTTAATTATGCATGCGTTTCTGATGAAAGTGTCTGATTTTAGTATAAGAGTTCCAGCAGGAAGTTTACCATTGCTAATGCGCCGGAGGCTTTATACGGTTCTACTGTCTCCGGCTCGACTGTCACGTCATTCTGGTCGTTCGAATACGCCTTGAACCTGGACGAGGCACTCGCGAGTATCCTCTGCCAGCTCGTCACCCTGTTGCGAAGCTCCTCACTGTTGATACGCTTCAAAATGCCATGAAGCCTCACCTGGAGCCCCTGACCTGTTTAACGCAAATCAGGTGACTGGCTCACAAAATCACAAACGATTCAATGTACATCATTTAAACGGACAATACTCATTACAAATGACAATCCCAATTTAATGATTTTTGTAACTACCTGCTTCCATTCTACTGCGTTTATTTTTTTATATTATTAATATTTTTTTAAGCCACTCCAAATCCTTTAAAACAACGAAAGCATGCGACAAAAAATTACATGCCAAAAACACAGTTAAACATCAAAAATAAAATAAAAATATTCTTAATATATTCTCTGCATATTTCATATTAACCATAATATGTTTTTGGAAAATATTCATCTTATTTCATAATATGCATGCAATGATGTTTAAAATTTGTCAGACTGGATAGAAAACAGATAAAATACCTTGTTTATAACTGAAATAAGTTTAAAAGAATTGAAAGAGGATAAAACAGAAACAAAAATTAAAGAAACTAAAAATTCACTGCTCGGAATGGAAATTGACAAGTGTCTGTGAAACTCCTGTTTAGAATATAATCGATTATTGTAAAATATTTAATCGATATAAGCCTCGATTTTCTATTTAATAATTTTTATTAAGTTTTAAAGTTTTTTCATTTTTTAATGTGTATATTTTATTTTGTTTAATGTTAAAAAATATGATTTTTATATAGAAATGGCATTAAAAAGTTGTTATTTGTTTAAATAGATGGTTTAAAAATTAAATGATTATCTTTTATCTTGTCGATTGTATCGATACATTTTAGTAATTTATATATCGATTATAGATCTAAACTTTTGTTGATAATTAATCGAAATATTTTATCATTTGCAAAATCAATTGGCGTTTCGGTTCATTGGTGTTAGGAAATTTTAATTTCTTCTTTCTTTTCCCTTCCTGCTATGTTTTATTTTGTGTTTTTCCTTTCCGTCCTGTCGGCTGTTGAAGTGTGGACCGACTGCGGGTGCAGGACGAGCCGAAAAGCCGGCTCTTCGACCCAGGAGAAGACATGCAATTCGACAAGTTTCCTCCAAACGGTGTTGAAGAAGGTGACCGAGAGGATGGAGAGGCTGGAAGGAGGACGTTTCTCCATGGGCACCGACGACCCCGTCCTGCCTGGGGACGGCGAAGCACCGGAGCGACAGGTGTTCGTATCGGCTTTCTCGATGGACAAGCACGAAGTCAGCAACGAGGACTTCGCAGCATTCGTCGCAGCAACTGGGTACAAAACCGAGGCCGAGTCTTTCGGGGATTCTTTTGTGTTCGATGCCCTCGTCAGTAGTAAGACGAAGGAGACGATATCCCAGGCGGTGGCTGCAGCACCTTGGTGGCTACCTGTGAAAGGAGCTGACTGGAGACATCCTGAAGGGCCAGACTCAAACCTCGAAGGTCGTAATTTAAAACAAATTAATTAATTAATAAGAAAAAAAATTGTTTTATTTTCCTTTAATTTTTAGCCCTAAGGGGTCGTTGCGTCCTCAAACATCCTTAGGGTGCTCATTATCAGCCAATCAGAAATTGAGACAAATCGACCAATGAAATTTGAAAAACAAATAAACCAATAAAAACTTAACAATTAGGGGATGAATTGGAATTTAATTTCTAATTTAATTAACACCAAACAAAAAACAAGAAATCACTAGTTTATCAAACTGTTAAATAAACTTTTTAACATAAAATAATAAATTCTGTGGGGTTAGTTGTAGCCTTAGAGTGCTCGTTATGGGCCAATCAGAACTTTAGATAATCGACCAATCAAATTTGAAAAAACAAATAAACAAATAAAAATTTAACAATTAGGGGATGAATTGGAATTTAATTTTTAATTTAATTAACAATATGCATTCGAAAATAGTAACACTAAACAAAAAAACAAGAAATCATTAGTTTATCAAATATTAAATATAATTTTTCACATACAATAATAAATTCCTTAGGGTTAGTTGTTGCCTTAGGGTGCTCATTATGGGCCAATAAGAAATTGAGAAAAATGGACCAATCAAATTCGAGAAAACGATTATATTAACCAATAAAAATTTAACAATTAGGGGATGAACTGGAATTTAATTTCAATTCGGAATTTAATTTTTAATTTAACAATATGCATTCAAAAATAGTACCACCAGACAAAAAATAAGAAATCACTGGCTTATCAAACTATTAAATAAACTTTTTAACAAAAATAATAAATTCCTCAAACTGCTTAGATGCCCTGGTCTGGAAAAAGGCATAAGCTTTGATTTTGCAGTGGTCAAATGAAACAAAAAATTTTCACAACTTTGAAAATTAATTTCTAACGAAAAAATAGCATTATTGGAAGAATCTTTTAATTATTGGTCTTGGGGTTGGCCTTAGGGTACTCGTTATGGGCCAATCAGAAATTGAGAAAAATTGACCATTTTAATTCGAGAAAACAATTAAATCGACTGATAAAATTTAAAAATTAGGGGATGAACTGGAATTTAATTTCAAACTTGTTCACACCCTCTTAATACGAAAAACTTAAGAATAAAAGTAATAATATGTATTCCAAAATAGTAACACCAAAGAAATCGCTAGTTTATCAGACTATTAAATAAACTTTTTAACAATTAATTAATAAAGGGGTTAGTTGTAGCCTTAGGGTGCCCATTATAGGCCGATCAGAAATTGATAAAAATTGGCCAGCCCAATTCGAAAAAATGATTAAATCAACCAATAAAAATTTAACAATTGGGGGATGAAGTGGAATTTCAAAACATAATAGATTCACACCTCCATTAACAAAAGATCGAAAAATAAAAGAAAGCAACATGCATTAAAAATGGTTGTGAAACACACACACACAAAGCAAGAAATTAATGACATCAAACAATTTGTTATTTAGTGTTAATAATTAATTTCTAGCAAAAAATACTAACATACTAACTAACATTTGTTGCTTGAATTCCTTTTATTTTTGGCCCTTGGTGATGGCTCATTATCGGCGAATCAGAAATCGAGAAAAATCGACCAATAAAATTTGAGAAAATGAATAAACAACCAATGAAAAATTAACAATTAAGGGATGAAATGGAATTTATCGTATGATTTCCTTTAATTTTTGGCCCTGTGGATGGATGTTGTATCCCCCAAGATACCTTGGTTGCTGATTACCTGCCAATCAGAAATTCAGACAAATCCACCAATGAAAAAATCTAGAAATTGGACCAATCAAAATCAAGAAAATGAATAAACAACCAATTAAAATTTGACAATTAGGGGATGAACTGAAATTTCAAAACAAGAGAAATTCTCACCTTCTTTAAACAAAAAACAAGAAATCACTAGTTCATCAAACAGTTAAATACACATCTTGACAAAAAATAAATGGATACAGAATAAATCAATACGCTTACTATATTCCTATATCTTAGGCTTTTACAAATTGTTTTAACAGGTTTTATATTTTTAGGCAGAGAGTTGCATCCAGTAGTCCATGTTTCATGGAACGACGCAGTCGCATACTGCAAATGGGCAGGAAAGCGCCTCCCTACCGAAGCCGAATGGGAATATGCTTGCAGAGGAGGGCTCAAACGTAAATTATATCCTTGGGGCAATAAATTGAACCCCAAAAACAAACACTGGTACAATTCCTTTTTTTTTTGCTTTTAATTTCTTTTTACATCCAGAAAATGGCCTAAATCAGCCTAGATTTTTCATTATTTATAATCAATTCATTTTGGCCTGTGTCCTCCATTAGGGCACTCGTAGGGCAAGGAACTATTAACATACACCACGAATAATTATGAAGGCTTATCTGATGTTTTTCTGTATGTAAAAGAAATAAAAAACACTGGTATATTTTCTTACAGGATGAACGTTTGGCAAGGCGATTTTCCAATAAATAATACAAAGGAAGACGGATATCTATCGACGGCGCCGATCGACTCTTTCCCCCCCAATAAATTTGGCCTGTACAACATGGTCGGCAATGTTTGGGAGTGGACGCAGGACTGGTGGAGCATCAATCATTCTCCTTCTCCTATCGCAAATCCTGTATGATTTTTTGTGTACTAACTTTTAGCTGACAAAAATTGACGAATATTTTTTCTTTCCAGAAAGGACCCCATTCAGGAAAGGACAAAGTGAAAAAGGGCGGCTCGTTTCTTTGCCATGCGAGCTACTGCTTCCGTTACAGATGTGCCGCAAGAGGATTCAACACACCGGACAGCTCAGCGAGCAATTTAGGCTTTAGATGCGCCCATTAAGCACCAAATAAAGCCTCTTCTATTAATCTCAAGGGCAGGAAATCGTACTTATTTGTAAACTTGCATTTTAAGTCATTACTGTTAAGTTTATATTGATATTATTGTAACAAAACATTCCATTTTATTACCTATTTATATGAATTAGTTACCAATTTAAATTTTAATTAAGTCAAAGTATTTCTTGTTTATTTAAAGAATGATTTTAAGAAATTTGTATTCGGAAATTAGTTGTAAAAATGTAACGAAGTGCAATATTTTGTAATATTAAAACAAAAATCCATTTATCGAATATCGAATTTTAAGATCATCTACGGTTAAGGGTGTGATGTGACGACAAATTACTGTAGTCCTGGGTTCCTAATGCACTACTTGGGGGTTTATATGACCTCTGGTGTTGCAAGCCTCTGTAAAAATGAAAATATCGAGATCTTATTTTTTTAATTTGCTCTAATACATAATAAATATTTAACAAAATAAATAAATAAAATTTGTAAAAAATTATACAAGGTTAACACTCGTGAAAATTAATAGACTGAAATGTTGCAATTACTTTTTGCGGAACAAAGGGTCAATAGTCTTCCAATTTTTATAACGCGGTTTAGTATGACTAGGACTTTTTAAATATTACTACTTTCTATTTGTACTCAATAAGCGATAGTACTTAAATAGTTGGGTTTTTCTGTGATAATTGTGAACTATGTAATTTGTAAAGTGATTAGATTTCTGTTCATTGTGTATTTTGTTTTATCGACAAGTAATGTAAATAAAAATCCATTCCTTGACTTAAAAATAGTAATTTTTTTTAAAGTATCCTAAATTTCCTTTTTTTTTTTTAAGCGTGTGTTTACAATTTCCACAAATTGTATCCCTCATAGTTGCTCAAGATATAAATCCCAAGGGTAAATCAGTAGTTTGATATCATGTTACTTTCTTTATAACGGTATTAGCCAATCGTTAACTAATAATTAATTTGGGAATACAAAAACCACAAGCAAAGTAATTTAAATAATTTTTTCAAACTTAAAATGTCTATATTGTTTTCTAAACATTTTTTTTCTTCAAAATATAGTGAAATAATGGATGCTTTTTTTTTCTTTGAATCGACTAAAGTGGAACGATTTGAAAAAAAAATACAAAAATCTAATTTTTGAAAACCAAAGCATCACTTATCAATATCACAAAATGAAACAAACAAAACCATCTCGGATTCAACCTGAGCTCTAAAAGTAAAGTATTGTCTCATTTCTTTTTATACATCACAGTCACAATGTGTAGACATTTTTTTTTTTTTCTGAGGTAAAAGACTACTAATTTAGATCTATACAAGAAATGTATCATTTTAAAATAATGTCGCAATTTTAAAACTCATATGGATGAATCGCTGTTGATATAATTTGTGACGGGTGATGCGACGAGTTGGCTCGAGAGCCAGTCAAGCCCTTGATACAAACCAGCACCGGTCTGCGCAGAGCAGGCCTGCAAATGCCAACTATGACCACAGCATAGTTTGCTCGCACCCAGGGCTTCTGTTATTGCTTCAAGGCCTTCACAAGTGTTTAAATCCTATTAAAAAAAAATTTGAACTTCCAATTTATTTATTTATTTTTTATTTTTTTTTTTTTTAACAGTACCTGTTTGTTTGCCAGAATCAAAAGAGCCGCTTCTTTCAGATCTTTCTCAGAGACTAGTTTGGCTAGTTCGAGACTGGCCTCGGGAAGCCTTTCCTTGTCGTTTGAGTCAACGACAAACACTACTGCTTGTGTGTTTAGGAAATAGTGCTTCCAAAGCGGTCTCAGTTTAGGCTGGCCTCCGATGTCCCAGATGTTGAATCTTAGGTTCTTGTATTCGATCGGTTCGACGTTGAAACCGATCGTAGGCGATCTATACGACATGAACTCGTTCTGCTTCAGCTTGAATAAAATGCTCGACTTGCCCGCTCCGTCCAGGCCCAGTGCAACAACCCTCATTTCTATCTTAGGGCCAATATGAACTCTATTGTCCTAAAAATGAAATGTTTTAATTAAATTTTATCCAATTATAATTTTTTTAATTCTCAGAAATTGATTAGAACTGAGTGCATGAGATATTTCCCGAATACCTTTGTAAATGTTATTGGTATGTCTGGGTTGAACTGCTCAGGGCTGAGCTGATTAAACTGGTCGTGTTGTTTTTCAATCGAATCTATGGCTTTCTTTAGCTGCGGCCCGCAGGAGACAAGCCGGGCGTCGTCGTGGGCAAGCGAGCTTTCACAAAGAACGACAACAGACATCACCTATAAAATAATAGGTCAAGTATCGCTGAAAGGTACACACAGGAGCAGAGGTACCTGGGCCAGCCAGGTCGCAATGTCCTGTTGCGATGCTCTCAAAGTCGCCAGCCGTTCTCTAGCGTGAGTGTCAATAACAGACCTCGCTGTTGCTTCTTGTGTCTCGAGTTTGCTCCTTAATTCTTCAAAGTGATGTTCGACTCTCGACCTTGCGGCTTCAAGAGTTCCGCTTTCACTTCCATTTCCTTCTATGCCAATCACAACTTCCTCTACGTTTAAATAAAAAAATTTAAAAAAGAAATAGTGAAAATAAAAATTGAATTATTAAAAATTACCTAATCTATGTTCAGTTTGATTCATTTGTTCAATAAGTTGATGAGTCCTTTGAACTGCGGATGATAGAAGGGTTCTTAATTTTTCAGCCTCGGCTTCAATAAGTGAATGCGGGTGGTCTTTATGCCTTCCATATTCTTTACAAAGGTAGCAAACAGCTGGTGTACGGCAGTCCTCCTTGAGGCAGACGAATTCCGCAGTGTGACAAGGGTGTGAGAGGCATTTCGGAAGTTCGCGTGGCTTTTCGCTCAAAGGGACACGCTTGTGCGGTGCCAACGTTTTTGTCGAATGAGTCGCCAGTGAGCAAGGAGCGCATAGATGCGACCGACAGACCAAGCAGTACACGACAGCAGTGTGACCTTCGTCTTCGTCGCATCCGACCCAGCCTTCGGATTCGTTCTTGACGACCTCGCTATCCACCTCAGGCGATTCTTTGTCAGTCAGTTCAAGCTTTTCGAGCAATTCAAGAAGGGCAAAGTTCTTCTTGAGTCCCCAGACTCCAGACGTCTCGACCGGAGTCGGCTGTCGGTCAAAAGGGCAAAGAATCGTGTCATTTTGAAGAGGGAGTCTCAACAAACACGCATGGCAGACAGTATGCCCACAGTAGAGTAACCGCGGCACTCTCTTTCCGTCAATCGTAAACACATCCTCACAAACCCTACACTCCAATACCTAAAAAACAAGTTAATTATTTAAACAGACTATTCAACAATAATAATAAAAGAAAAGCTGAATGTTTTAAATATTAACATGCAAACCTTCACATTACACATAATATTGAAGCCAAAGCTGACTAAAAAAAGACAAAAAAAGGTTGAAGAAAAGTCGAATATTGAAAAATTGGACTGTCCCATATATCAAAATAATAAAATAGTCGCTGTTTTTTAAGCCAACTTTTTTAATTCATCCAACTAAGTACATGATATTTTGAGTTTACTTCTTGAGGCCTCCAGGGTGAAATCTGATCACTCTTGAATGAACCTCAGTTCCATCATCGATTAATTGTGAGGAGTCTGTAGAACTGATGAACTTGCAGTTTGGTTGTTTCAGATCATACTTGTATGCCAAATCCTTACTGAGTTGGACAGGGTTACATGGTTGTTCACCGTCTTTTGTAAAAATTTAGTATTTTTTTGTATTTGTGCCCTCTTATAAATGTAATCATATTTAAAGACCACATATTGTGAGACTTTGCGTTGAAGTCTATGGGGTTTACCTTTAGTTTGGCCGTTTCAAATCATAATAAATATAAAAATATAATAATATAATATAATAATAAATAATATATAATAAATATATTCAAATCATAATAAATAAATAAAATAAAATAAACTGATAATAAGAGGTCAAGGAATTTATATCAATTTTGTTTACATAAATTCCTTTACTTTTATGATCAATTTATTTTATTTATTTATTTTTTTTGGGGGGGGGGGAGGCGTCGGTGGCCAAAACAGGTTTTATGTGTTGACATGGGGCTCATCACTGTAAGGTAAAGGCCCCGGGTTCGAATCCAGCGGTTAAAAGTTATTTTTTTGTAATCTTTTTAAACAGACAGTTCCTATTCACAGTAAGTTGTTTTCAACCATCTGGATTTCGAGCCTTCAGCTCATCATCAGGTTGAAGGATCGTTGAAAACAACTTAATGTGAGTAGGAACTATCTGTTTAAAAAGATTATTAAAAAATAATACATTATTCTGAGAAAAAATATTTAATGATAATGTAAAATGAACAGTCTGCTACGTTTAATTTGTGCTTGGGAGCAAAATTCGTGAGCTCACAAATAGTTTTATACATTACAAAAAAAAGATTTATACAAATTAGTGGTAACAGTATAAATTCAATTTATTTCACTATTGACATTTGATGTAATTTTTAAATAATTATTTTATTAGTATATTACTTTTAAAAATTTCCCTTCTTTAATTATATACTATCATAAGAAGTAAAAGAATTTACAGCAATTTTGTTTTGATATATAAATACAATATATACACTACAGCTCATTCAGGTTCGAATCCCGCGCATGACACTAACTTTTTCATCTCCGCCAAAACTTCAGGTAAAAAGTATAATTAATTGAAATGTATAAAATGTAGGATTAAGATTTATATATGAAAACAAAATTCCTTTACCTCTTATGATCAATTTATTTTATGTTTTAAATGTAAATACTTACAGAAGAGAAATTTTTAAAAGTAATGTACTATTACATCAAATGTCAATAGTGAAATAAATTGAATTTTTACTGCTACCACTAATTTTTATAAATCTGAGTAGGCTGTTAATTTTATATTATTTTGTTCTATCATGGCTATCTGGTCTGAAGGAATTTCTCTTCTTAATTGTATATGTTAAAAAAAAAAATTGGTAATAAGAGGTAAATGAAATTAAATAAACAAAATTGATATAAATTCCTTTACCTCTTATGATCAATTTATTTTTTTAACATATACCATTAAATAAGAGAATTTTTTTTTTTTTTTGAGGGGGGGATTTTCAGTCAAAAAGTGACACCACTCATTTCACTTACATTTATTTCTCTGATGTTTCGAAGGATATACCTCCTTTCTCAAGGTAAACAAGAGAACCGCCTACAACATACAAATACATTTAGTTTTTTGATTTTATATTACAAACACCTTTAGGAGTAAAACAGGATTTATCCCAGTAAGGTTTTTTACTCCTAAAGGTGTTTGTAATATAAAATCAAAAACTAAATGTATTGTATGTTGTAGTCGTTTCTCTTGTATACCTTGAGAAAGGAGGTATATCCTCCAAAACGGCGGTGAAATAAATGTAAGTGAAACAAATGGTGTCACTTTTTGACTGAAAATCCCCCAAAAAAACCCAACAGAGACATTATAATTGAACAGTCATCATATTCATCGATATGTTAAATTTAGGTTTTAAATTATTTTTACAATCGATTTATTTTTTTCGACATATATAATTAAAGAGAGAAATTTTTAAAAGAAATGTATTATTTAAAAAATTAAATCAAATGTTAATAGTGAAATAATTGAATTTTACTGCTACCACTAATTTGTATAAATCTGAGTAGGCTGTTCATTTCACATTATTTCGTTCTATCACAGATATGTTGTCAGAACCTAAAAAAATATTTTTCTGAATAATAGGAAAGAATTTCTCTTCTTTAATTGTATATGTTAAAAAATAAAATAAAATAAAATAAAATAAAATAAAATAAATTGGTAATAAGAGGTAAAGGAATTTATATAAACAAAATTGATACAAATTCCTTTACCTCTTATGATTAATTAATTTTTTTAACGTATACAATTAAATAAGAGAAATTCCTTCCTGTTACCTCAGAAAAATATTTTTTTAAGTTCTGACCACATATCCATGATAGAACAAAATAATCATTTTACATTATTTCGTTCTATCATGGATATGTGGTCAGAACCTAAAAAAAATATTTTTCTGAATAATAGGAAAGAAATTCTCTTCTTTAATTGTATATGTTAAAAAAATAAATAAATTGGTAATAAGAGGTAAAGGAAATTTATATAAACAAAATTGATTTCCTTTACCTCTTACAATCAATTTATTTTTTTAACGTATACAATTAAATAAGAGAAATTCCTTCCTGTTACCTCAGAAAAATATTTTTTTAAGTTCTGACCACATATCCATGACAGAACAAAATAATCATTTTACATTATTTCGTTCTATCGTGGATATGTGGTCAGAACCTAAAAAAAATATTTTTATGAAATAGGAAAGAATTTCTCTTCTTTAATTGTATATGTTAAAAAATAAAATAAATTGGTACTAAGAGGTAAAGGAAATTTATATAAACAAAATTGATTTCCTTTACCTCTTACGATCAATTTATTTTTTTAACGTATAGTATTAAATAAGAGAAATTCCTTCCTGTTACCTCAGAAAAATATTTTTTTAAGTTCTGACCACATATCCATGATAGAACAAAATAATCATTTTATATTATTTCGTTCTATCGTGGATATGTGGTCAGAACCTAAAAAAATATTTTTCTGAAATAGGAAAGAATTTCTCTTCTTTAATTGTATATGTTAAAAAAATAAATAAATTGGTAATAAGAGGTAAAGGAATTTATATAAACAAAATTGATACAAATTCCTTTACCTTTTATGATCAATTTATTTTTTTAATGTATACAATTAAATAAGAGAAATTATTCATGTTTTAAATTTAGGTTTTAAAAAATATTTATGATCAATTTATTGTTTTTAAACATATATGATTACAGAAGAGAAATTTTTAAAAGTAATGTACTAATAAAATAATTATTTAAAAAATATCAAATGTCAATAGAGAAATAAATTGTATTTAAACTGCTACCAGTATACTTTACCAGTTTGTAATGTATACTATTTGTGTGCTCAGGAATTCTGCTCTCAAGCACAAGTTAAACTTAGCTGACTGTTCATTTTACATTATTTAGTTCTACATTATCATTAATTTTTTTTTTCTCAGAAACATGTATTCGATATACATCAAATAAATTCATTTTTGTCTATCCTTGCTGATTTGCTGGGTCAGATTGTTTCAGCGATTGACCATCTTTCGAATTGATGACCAAACTTTCGTCCTAGGTATGCCCATTGCTTCCATAACTTAATGAAATCCATCTAATTTTTTTTGTCATCATAAGGCACGAGATGCAAATTGCTAAAAAAAGAAATGCAAGAATGACAGCTTTTAGTCTACTTACATTGTTCTTGTTATTAAACCTATTTTTTAACGTCTGCATGTTGTCAGAAGGTAGTTTGTGTCTCCCTTGTCACTCTGACGACATTTCAACAGACAGTATCACAGTCAGAAAAACATTTCAAGCAGGTTACTGATCTAGCTGTAGTTGCTTGCTAGTCAGGCTCTAGTGCTTTATCCCATTGACACCAGAGCTCCACTGGTACAGAGGAAAGCACCAACAGCAAATGCCGTTTCAAAACAATCAATGAACATAGATGAACAGGCGAAAAAGGTAAAATTTTATTAAAAGAACTCTCAGTACATCTAGTAAAACGCAGAACAGTAGGTGGTCTCGGCGGTTATGGAAATAATCCAATTAAGGCAAACTAGAGGAATTTGATCTGGGGCCTTATTCGTACCTGTTTTATTTTTATAAAGCCCGGCTTTGGAGAAAGGAGTAGTGGTATCACATGGCTTTTAACTTCCAAGGGGGCTCGGCCCTGGCAATGGGTATGAATTTTTTTTCCATTTGTTCTTAATATCGTTTGGAACTTATTGATTTTGGGTTTCAGGGGTGACGCAGGGACAGCCGAACATGATGGCCAGCCCGCTTATGCCCGGTGGGATCATGATGCCAGGTATGATGCCCAGTTTTTCGCAGATGCCCCTCATGACTCCTGAACAGGCGCAGATGGTCAACCCGGGTCTTAACGATGCTCCGCTCGAGTTTAACACCAACAAGAACAAGCCACCGATGCCCATCAGTGGTAACTATCACGCACTATAAACACTCCAAACTATTTAGACACCATATTCTGTTTATTTGTGTAATAATAACAATAGGAATGCTATTTAATATTCATCAGTACCTGAAAACAACACAGTATTGTTATTAATCTAATAATTTGTTTTTTCATCTATTTTTTCTGTGATAGTATACTTCTAAAGATATTAGATATAATAAGCAAAACTAGAAATCCTTTTGGCAACTTAAGGAAAGCCAGCCAGACTAAAAGACATAGATTTGTAGACAAATTAATCACTTTATCAGAGAAAAAAGCCTTTTTAGACACTTAAATTTTAAGTAAACCTTGTCAGGCTGGTTATATCAAAACCAGGATGTTTTTTTATTTATTTACTTATATAGCTAAATACGTGGTTACAAGTTCTATAAGAGTTTAATTTACACTTAAGTAATAATGAATAATTGAATCAATAATATACGCATAACATTATTTACAAATATTGATATTGGTTTACCCTAAATTTATTCAAAAACAAACTAAACATGGATTTGTGGTCAGAACATAAAAAAATATTTGTCTGAGATAATAGGAAGCTTTTTGTAAATTGTTTGTCATAAGGAAAGCCAATTGGCTAAAAATTTAAAGCACGATGCTGGTTTACCCTGAGTAGATTCAAAAACTGGCTAATCATGGATTTGTGGTCAGAACATGAAAAAATATTTGTTTCAGGAAATAGGAAGCTTTTTGTTACTTGTTTATCTTAAGGGAAGCCAGTTTGGGTGAAGATTTTATGCACGATGCTGGTTTAACATGGATATATTAAAAAAAAACAAAAAAAAAACAATTATTTTTCAGAAATTGTGAGATGCGGTCTGGTAACCAGACTGCATCTCACGATTTCTGAATAATCATCGACAAACGGTCACTAATTATCATACAAAAAAAAATTATTTTTTTTTTTAGGAAGTAGGAAGCTTTTTTGTAAATTTTTAATATTAAGGGAAGCTAGTTAGGTTAAATATTTTATGCTCGATGCTAGTATACCCTGGATATATTCAAAAACAGGCTAATCAAGGATTTGTGGTCAGTACCTAAAAAATATTTTTTTGAGGAAATATGAAGCTTTTTTTGTAAATTGTTTATTTTAAGGGAAGCCAGATTGGGTAAAAATTTAATGCAGGATGCTAGTTCACCCTGGATACATTCAAAAACAGACCAATCATGGATTCGAGGTCTGAACTTATAAAAGAAATATTTGTCTGAGGAAATAGGAAGCTTTTGATACATTTTTTTTTCTTAAGGAAAGCCAATTAGGCTAAAGATTTAATGCAGGATGCTGGTTTCCCCTGAATTTATTCAAAAACAGGTTAATCATGGATTTGTGGACATAAGGTGAAACAATATTTGTTTGAGGAAGTAGGAACCTTTTTTGTAAATTGTTTGTCATAAGGAAAGCCAATTGGCTAAAAATTTAAAGCAGGATGCTGGTTTACCCTGAGTAGATTCAAAAACTGGCAATCATGGATTTGTGGTCAGAACGTGAAAAAATATTTGTTTCAGGAAATAGGATGCTTTTTGTTATTTGTTTATCTTAAGGGAAGCCAGTTTGGGTGAAGATTTTATGCACGATGCTGGTTTAACATGGGTATATTTAAAAAAAAAAAAAACAATTATTCAGAAATTGTCAGATGTGGTCTGGTGACTGTCCGTATCTCACGATTTCTGAATAATCATCGACAAGCGCTCACTAATCACCATACACACAAAAAAAAATTTTTTTGAGGAAGTAGGAAGTTTTTTGTTAATTTTTAATATTAAGGGCAGCCAGTTAGGTTAAATATTTTATGCTCGATGCTAGTATACCCTGGATATATTCAAAAACAGGCTAATCAAGGATTTGTGGTCAGTACCTAAAAAATATTTTTTTGAGGAAATATGAAGCTTTTTTTGTAAATTGTTTATTTTAAGGGAAGCCAGATTGGGTAAAAATTTAATGCAGGATGCTAGTTCACCCTGGATACATTCAAAAACAGACCAATCATGGATTCGAGGTCTGAACTTATAAAAGAAATATTTGTCTGAGGAAATAGGAAGCTTTTGATACATTTTTTTTTCTTAAGGAAAGCCAATTAGGCTAAAGATTTAATGCAGGATGCTGGTTTCCCCTGAATTTATTCAAAAACAGGTTAATCATGGATTTGTGGACATAAGGTGAAACAATATTTGTTTGAGGAAGTAGGAACCTTTTTTGTAAATGTTTATCTTAAGGTAAGCCAGTTAGAGTAAATATTTTATGCATGATGCTGGCTTACCCCAGATATATTTATGAACGGACTAATCATAGATTTGTGGTCAGAAAGTAAAAAAATTTGTTTGAGGAAATAGGAAGCTTTTTTGTTTATCTTTAGGGAAGCCAGTTAAACTAAAGATTTCAAGTAGGATGCTGACTCAGCCTAGATCTGCCTGAAACCTCATGTCTTAATTAATTATAAATGGCACGAACTACAAGTCAGAACCTAAGAAAAATATTTTTCTAAAGAAATAGGATCTTTGTTAATTTTTTTTATCTTTAGGAACGGCATAGATTTAAAGTCAAATCAATAACTTCATTAGTGGGAAAAGCTTATTTACAACACTATAGTAGGATAAAAAGCCTTTTTGGACACTTCCTTTTAATCAAACTCAGTCAGACTGAATATTTCATAACCAGGATATTTCAGTTCAACCTGGATATTTTCAAAAAATGAGCTAAAGAACTTAGATTTGCAGTCAGAACAAAAGTAAAAACATAATTTTTTCGGAGAAAAAAGTTCCTATTAGGAAAATTGTTTATTTAAGAAAAGCCATTAGGCTAGAGATATCATAACCAGGATGCTAGTTTAGCTGGACATATTCAGAAACATATCAAAAACTCAGATTTGCAGAAAGAGCCAAAGTATATCTTTTTCATAGAAAAAAGATCATTTTTGGGGAAACTGATTATCTTAAGAAGCCAGTTTAGCATGTATATACACAAAACCATCTTAGTCAAGAAATCAGATTTGCAATCAGAACCTAAAAAAATCTTGTTCAAAGGAAATAGGAAACTTTTTGTAAGTAGGTTTTCTTAAGGAAAGTCAGTTAGGCTAATTAGATTTGTAGTCAAATGAATCACTTCATGAAAGAAAAAGCTTTTTTGAGCAATACTTTATTTTAAGTAAATCCAGTCTCGCTTGATATATCAAAACCAGGTTACTAGTTTAGTCTTTCTGTGCTAATGATTTTTAAAATTCAAATACTGCTCTGTCTGATCCAATTATTATTTTCTTATGAGATCTCTTTTGTAGTTTTCACGATGCATTATTTGCATATAATTTTGGAACTTTTTCTTATATTTCGCATGTACGATGCAACCATATGTGATAATATATGATGAAACTAATGCACCATTTTGGTATCAGCCGTTTTTGTAATATGTGGCATACAGTAGCAATAGGAAGATTCCTGTGAATCACTTGATAGATTTTTCACATCTTGAAATGAGCTTGTATTAAACAATTACATTACTTCTTTTATAAATAAAACTATAAGTGTTCTAAAATTCATAATTGTTCATGTTGTATGCACAATCTTCAGACACCCATTATTAGAAATGGAGACTGATTATATGATCCCGGAAACAATCTTCACAACTTCCTATAAAGTCTCAATGAACTATAAAGGAGAGGAAGAACACAGGAGAGAGAGAGTATTAATAGCTGGGGCATGAAACAATTCCTTAAAGAATGGAATCTGTCCCCCGGACATAGGCAATCGAAGGAGTTTGTGAAGGAGATCAAACCAAAAGAATCGAAATGGCTATTCTCTAACTCAAAGAAGGGAATTAGGAGGCTGATAGGTATCCTGACGGGCCATTGCCCTTTGAGAAGGCACCTCTTTGTAATGGGTATGTTACCAGACCCCTTCTGCCGTTTTTGTGAAATAAAAGAAGAAACGGCACAGCACTACCTCACAGAGTGTGATAGATACGCCAGGTATAGATTCGAAACTTTTGAAGGAGAGGACATTACCAAATCACTCCCCGAGATAAAATGGTCCAAAATCTTGGGGTTTGTGAACAAGTCCAAGAGGTTTATGCAGGACACGTGAACCGACCAAGTCCTGGACCCTTTAGGGATGGGGTACAAGTCTACCCAGGCATTTAACCCCTCGGGACCTGGTTGCCCGCCCTGTCTATATAAGAACACAGGAGAGCATCAGATACAATGATATGGTACATAGATGGCTCCAAAACAAACGAAGGAACCGGATCGGGCGTTTTCTGTACAAGCCCAAAACATGAACAATCAAACTCATTAGGGAAATACACTTCGGTCTTTCAAGCAGAAATACATGCCATCAGTGCTTGTGCCCTGGAAAATCTTAAAAGAGGTTACACACAAAAAAAAATACTCATAAGATCAGATAGCCAAGCAGCCATTAAAGCATTAGCATGTAAAAGAATCACGTCAAAATTAATCAGAGAATGCATCCAAAATCTCCAAAACCTGGGGAAACACAACAACCTGATGATATGTTGGGTGCCAGGGCACAGGCGAATTTTGGGTAATGAGAAAGCAGACCGTCTGGCCAGAGGAGGATCTGCAAGTCCATACATAGGCCCCGAACCTATTCTTGGGATAACAAAAACAAATATAGAATCCTCCATCACAGAATGGATCCAAGCAAAACAAAAGGAGAAGTGGATAAATTCTAGCAGTGCTAGCATAGTAAACTTATGATGAAACAACACTCACCAAGACCAGCAAAAACACTGCTGCAATTGGAGAGGGCTAAACTCAGAGGAGTGGAAGGACTACTAACTGGTCACTGGCATCTGAGAAAACATCTACACAACATGGGTAAAATATACAAAATATACAGGAGGAGGAAACAGCCATCCATATCATCTTCGAATGCGAAGCAACAGCTCAATGGAGATTTAACCTAACATACGGAAAAAACTTAGGGAATCAAATTGCTGCAACGACAGTCAATGACCTGATACTTCTAAGGAGAAGGATTGAGTCTATTGCACTGAACTAAGGAACTAGGAAGGTACAATAAGCCAAAAGGCAAAAGTGCCTGGGGAGTACAAACCCCGCTTCCTATTATCCTTTTCTACCATACCACACCATGCACAATCTTGTCGGATCAGATTCTTTTCCTATCTTAAATTAACTTTTTTTTATTATTATTATAGCAATAAACTTATCATTAAAGCTCATCCTGAAATTTAACTCCATTTCTGGATTCTCCTATTTTATCTATGCAGTAAAAGTAGTAGAAGATTTTAGTAAGTCTTCAATCACAAAAATTTAATCAAGAAGTCAAGATTAGTCCGATCGTTTATACTCATGAACCTTTCATGATTTAAAAAAAAAAAAAAAAAAAAAATACCCTTTGTATGTTGTTTTTTAATAATGTTGTTTATTTACTTTTTTTTATTGTTTGCTTATTTTACAAATGTTTACCTTGTCAATAGTCAATTTTTGAAAATCCTCAATGGAAACTTGAGGACAGTTTGTGTTTCAAGATATTTCTAGCGTTATTTTATGCTTTTAAAAGTGTGTATTTCTGTCCTTGATAAAAAAAAAAAATCTAGGGTGTCATTCTATTTCTATGACTAGTCTTTTCTTTTTTATTTAATATATATTGAAATGAAAAAGTTAGTGTCACGAGCAGGATTCGAACTGACGACCTTCATCTCTCGAAGTCATGATTTTTTTTTCAACTCAACCAAGACCTTACATAAAATTGAAATAATTAATATGGTCAATTAGACCTCTAAGCATAGGATACTGTTGTAAATTTAAATATAAAAATAAATTTACAGGCGATATTGATGAGAGAGGGATCACTTCCAATGGCAATCAGTTCAACCCGGACATGGAAGTCAATAAAGAGAGAGAAGGCAGACGTCGAGACAGAGACAACCGTCGTCCCGACAGGAATGGCAAAGATAGACAGAAAGATCACAAGTAAATAAAAATAAAAAATTTAAAAAAAACACTGTTTACAGAAATCATTTTATATGTTAAAACTCTTAAAGATATTTAAGGAATGATCGGAGGGTGTCCAGAGAAGTGCAGGATAAGACGATAGACCAGGAGGAAGGAGTGAACGAAGAGATCGGCAACGATTTGAGCGGTGGGTCTGTCTGGACTGGCATGCTGCCAGGTGTACCTTACCAGATGATGAGCATGCCGATAATGGACCCGAATATGATGATGCCGCAGGTGAGTTAAATTGATAATTTAACATCCAAAGTTTTTAATCTGTGTAATTTTGAAGTTCGGGATGATGGGAGGAGTACCTATGGGCGACCAGGGTATGGTCCCGGAAGTAATGGTAAAAGAAATGATTCAGTTAAAGTCTGTGACTCTAGTCCCACCACCACCAGGAACACCGCTTCCCACGACAAGAGAACGGCCTCCAGGCTGTAAAACTATTTTCGTCGGCGGCCTTGCTGAAAATACAACCGGTACGCTTTTTAACCATGAATTTTTTAAATCATTTTATCAAATTTTACTTTTTTACAGAGGACATTATTAGAGAGATTTTCAGCCGTTGCGGCGAAATGTTGACAGTCAGATTAAGTAATAAGAAATTCTGCCATATACGCTTCATGCACGAGCCTTCTGTAGATGCGGCACTCTACTTCTCAGGTAAGATTTTTTTTCTGTCTTAAATGCCAGCCTGATGTGAAAATATTTCAGGCTATAGGATGAGAATCGAAAATAAGACTGACCTCCCAAACACTGGAAGGCTCCATGTGGACTTTGCTCAGGCGAGGGACGACCAGTACGAATGGGAATGTAAACAAAGACAGCTACAGAGGGAAGCAAGACACAGGGACAGAGTTGAGAAAGAAAGGTAAAGTATAAATATTTTCGATATCGTCAAATTTATCATTCTAATTACTTGTGTGTTTTAGATTGAGAGTGCCATCACCACCTCCAGTTCCTCATTACACTGAACACGAGGCGACAACTGTATCTGAAAAAATAAAAGGTATATAATTTTGTTTTCAATATAATAAATATTTTGTGATGTAAACTTGAAAAATTACTGTGTGATTTCTTCTTGAGTTTCATGGGTTATGAACCTTTTGGGTTTTTCTGATCATCTTGATCTACCTCAATTCTACGGCCCCTCAGATGAGTTTTTCTTTTGTGGTCTTGGGGTTCGCTGATTAACCTGGAGTTTGATCATTTCTGATCATCAACTTCTGCCTATTTTTGTTGCTTTGATCTGTCAGGCGGCAGAATGGTGAAACTCATCTGATATGCAGACCAGGGAGATTGGAAACAGTTATTAATATTTAAATGAGTTTTTCTTTTTTGGTCTCCTTGAGGTTCGCAGATTAATCTGTAGTTTGATCATTTCTGATCATTCAACTTCTGCCTATTTTTGTTGCTTTGGTCAGTCAGGCGGCAGAATGGTAAAACTCAGAGTTTTTCTTTTTTGGTCTCCTTGAGGTTCGCAGATTAATCTGTAGTTTGATCATTCAACTTCTGCCTATTTTTGTTGCTTTGATCTGTCAGGCAGCAGAATGGTGAAACTCATCTGATATGCAGACCAGGGAGATTGGAAACAGTTATTAATATTTAAATGAATTTTTCTTTTTTGGTCTCCTTGAGGTTCGCAGATTAATCTGTAGTTTGATCTTTTCTGATCATTAAACTTCTGCCTATTTTTGTTGCTTTGATCTGTCAGGCGGCAGAATGGTGAAACTCATCTAATATGCAGACTAGGGTGTTTTCTCAAAATTAAAGCTAACTCTAAGGAGAAGACTCCTCACAGCTAATTTTGTTTAAAGTATTATTTTCTTATTCATTTATTAAGTTCATTTATTGTGATTATTTTTCTTCTAGTTGAGGAGACGTTTGGCAAAGCGGTCCAGGTTGTTATAACATGGCTCGAACGCGGCGACTGCAACAAGAGAAACGCGTCCGTATTCTACTCAATGATCCAGTCGACAAATTCTCACATACGCCGGCTCCTATCGGAAAAGGCGAACCACGAAGAGGAACTGCAAAAGGCCAAGGACCTCATGAAGGCGCAGATGCAGTCCCTCCTCATGCAGTGTAAGTTAAAAACGCATATCAAGATCATGCATGGTCACAAAGAAACCGGGCATTACAAACAAAAAATAAAAAAAACCTGTTTATTTGATTGTTTCAAAAATAAACAGGTTTTTTTTTAATTGTTGACTATTTTGTGTAAAGAAAGTAAGTCTAATATAATTCATGTTTAAGTCAGACAGCCTATTAGCTCAAAGTTCATCTGCCACATTGTATTTCTAATTTTTTTATTTTTTTTAACGTGCTGAACACTGGCTAAATAACTTTCTTATTTCTACAAAACTTATTATCATTTAATTTAATTAATTGATAAGAATCTATTTAAAATTAAAAACATGGTGGTTAAAAGTTTTGATTACTCTACTAACAGTTGTTTTAAACTGATCAATAATGGAACTTCATTTCTTAAGACGATTCTCTACATCATCGGTAAGTGAATAAACCAGAGGAAAGGTATAATAATGTAAATACATCAAGAAGTTGTCTATTTATTTTATTTTTGCAGAACTGAAGGAATCCTAAAAAAATTAAAAAGCAGGTAAAAAGTTTGGTAATTTAGCCAGTGTTGGTACTATTCTTTTTTTCCAAAATAATAATCAGGGTACTCTCAAGTTCTTGGATTATAGTGGATAAAATAGGGCTTGTTAAATGAAAATTTGTAGTTTTCTATAAAAATAATTTTAGTCAAAAATTTTAAATAAATTTTATTTATGTTAGATACATTGGATTTTGTAAAATAATCAATGATTTATCAAATAGTTGTATGTTTTGTTCTTTTTATCATGCGAATTTTCATATTTCAAGCCCCCCAACATGAAAAACAGTAAAATGTGGACGTTGGTCAAACGCCATCAGCCGTTATATTGAAACAAAAGGTAAACATTTTCATACTTTTAACGTCTTGTTTCAATCCAAGACTTGGAGGCGGATGGGGACAGACACAGGTGCCCGGCTAACAAAACAATATAAAACAAAAACTCAACCAAATACGTTGAAAATTTCTCTCTCTCTTCTTACACTCTCTTAATATGTTGTGCGAATGTAAGACAAAAAAGAATTTTGTTCCGGGGTTGGTATAAGCTTTGTGTGTTAGACACCCAGATCGAACGTGTGTTCACGGCAGCTTCTCACAAGAAGGTCTGGGACCACTTCACTAAGGCACAACGGAAGAATATCGAGATGTGGAAAAAGCAGTCTGCGGTAAGTTGAGAACTCAATCAAAACTTCACATTGAACAAAAACAAAAGACGTGTGATTCTTTAAAGAAGGAAAAGTCCCAAAATTTATTTTCTAAAAAAAATGTCAATAAAGATGACTCGGTATGTTTTGTTTTTAATTTTGCGACTTTTTCTAACTGACTGGCAGCTTTTGGACGTTGCAACCATTAAAGGAAGTCTGTTTTTGATATTTTCTTCTTCTCAATAGTAAATTTAAGTAAAAATCCACATCCACTTGGAGTTATCAACAAGTACTGAAATCAAAATGGATATACAACAGTTTTTGTTTTGTTTTTTGGTCTTTTTAATTACCCTTAAAGAATGTCTTTTTCTATGTTGTAAGCTTGTACATAATTTTAACAATTTCTTCTGTTGCCACATGTGTTGAGGACAAGGTAAGTTGATTTTTTTTTTGCAAGAAATGTTTGTCAATTTAACCAAACTTGTTTTTTAAAACACTTCCGCAATGTTAAATAATTCCAACTGGAAAAAAAAAATCATTACCAATTTTTATCCAATTTGAAGAGAAATAATGATTCAAAGATTAAATCGTTTGGAATTGTTTTAAAAAAAATGACATCAGAGGTAAGACTACCTTAAAAGTATATTTTTGTGGTGCATGATTTTTTTTTTTTTTAATTTTTTCCCTGATTATGTGCATGCTTGGTTTTGGGCGCTTTGTCCGACGGTAAAAAAATTCACATGAATAACAGTACGACTCTCAACTGTTGTATATCCATGTGGTAAGTGGTATCAAAGTCGTAAAAACTTTTGTCATAATCTCGTCAGATATGTCAGGACATCTCTAAGTAACTGGTCAGGTCTCGAAATGCGCCATGATTGTTTTTACACCAAAAAAAAAAAAAAAAAAAATTAAGAATGGTTTCATGTGTGTATGCGTGTGTAAGTTCTGTAAAAAAACCAATTATTATCAAACTAGTTTTAGATTTATGCTTGCTTTTTTAAAAATGAGATTGAAATGTACATTTTTAATGTACAAAAGTATAAAATTTGTAAGGCGTTTTCTACTGTCAAATTTTTTTTTTTAATTAAAAGAGATTTCTATAAATCTTCAGTTTTTCATTGCCTTGTTTTATCATGGGAATCTTTCATGATGCTTAGTCATTTACATATTGGCATTTGTTTTATTTTACATATAAAAAGGAATGATTTTAATATAATTTAATTAATTAGACTAATATTAACATAATTGAAGTTATTTTATTGTATTCTGCAAACAACTTCAAATATATCTAGTCGCCTTGTATAAGGACACTAATTAGTTGCCGTTAATGTTTTAGAATTATCTCATACATTAAGTCTCAGCGTCGATTAGGAAAGTCGTCTGATGAGTGTTTTTTGTTTAGGAAATAAAAGCCGTTGAGCTAGAAGAGCACTTGATATCAGGGGGAGATGACGAAATGGAAGTGTCTGATGATGAAGAGCCGCCTACGAAGAAGAAGCACAAAGGGGACGAGAGAATGAACTCAATAAAGGTGATTTTAGCCATTCCAGTTGCAGTATTGATCAATAAATTATGTACTTTTTTTAGGAAGAAAATGATAGTTTGCGGTGCCAACTCGAAGCGTATAAAAATGAAGTGGATCTTGTTCGAAGTGAGCTCAAGGCAGAACTTGAAAACACAGAAGCCCAGCTTAAAGTATCGCAGCACACTTTACAAGGGATGCAAAAGGTTTGTTGGGAAAAAATTATCATTAACAATTCTTTAATTTTAATCGTACTTATTTCAGCAACTCTCCGAGGCAAAGATCGCACAGTCGAAAGAACATGCCAAAGTTATCCAGCTTGAGGCTAGGCTAGTCCAGAATGGGATAGAAATTGATAAAGAGGAAACTTCCGCTGGGAAGGCGACACCACCTCTTGTACAACAAAAACTAGATGAGGGCGAAGCTCGTCTTATTGGTAAATATTTAGTAAACTTAACCATCGTAAAATCCCTCTGTGGTGTGTGGGATGATGAGTTGTAATTTGATCCTTACTAGTTCCTCTTGGTCTGAGTATCCTCGCTGTATTGGTATGCCAGGCCCCTTTCTGGAATTATGCCATGGCACACTGAAGAAGAGGTCTGACATATCAGTGAGGAAGGACAGACTGTAATCGGTGAGGATCAAAGTACAAACTTAAGGCTTTGCTGTATTTTGTTTAGGCCACTGGATAATGTATCACTTTTTTTTTTTTTAATACTTATAAAGTAACTTGAGGATGTCCACAACACATGTGATTTTTTAAGACTTATATGAATTTGCTGGAAAATAGATTTTTATTACACTTATGAAATTGCTGGTCATATGTGACTTTTTATTAGACTTATGAAGTCGCTTGAGGATATACATCACATCTGAGATTTTTTAAATTAATTATGCAGGGGGATGCATCACATGTGTGATTTTTAGACTTATGAAGTTGCTGTAGGATTTTTTAAGTTGAGACCTTCATAAGTTAGACAACTCGTAAGTTTAAAACTTAAAAAGTCGCTGGAGGACGTGTGATTTTTATACTCATGAAATTGTTGAAGGAATTGTTTAGAAGGATTATGAAGTTGCTGAACGATTTTTTTTTTTAATTTATGAAGTTGCTTGAGTTATTTATTTAGGCTTTTGAAGTTCCTTGAGGGGGTTTTTTTTTTAGGCTGATGATGTAGAAGTACATATCTCATGTGCCATTTTTAGATTCATGAAGTTGCTGGAATATTTTCTTTTGTACTTATGAAGTTGTTCAAGGGATTTTGAATGAAGTTGCTGTAGGATTTTTGTAAACATATTGAGTAATGAATTGCTAGAGGACGTAACACGTGTGATTTTTACTCATGAAATTGCTTGAGTTATTTATTTAGGCTTTTGAAGTTTGTGTAGGTTTTTTTTTTTTTTTAGTCTGATGATGTTGCTGAACGGCATATCACAAATGCAATTTTAGACTCATGAAGTTGCTGGCATATTTTCTTTTATACTTATGAAGTTGTTCATGGGATTTTGAGACTTATGAAGTTCCTGTAGGATTTTTTTAAATATAAAGACTAATTAAGTTGCTGGAGGACATAACACATGTGTGGATTTTACTCATGAAATTTTGGAGGATTTGTTCAAAAGGATTATGAAGTTGCTGAAGGATTTTTTTTTTACACTTATGAAGTTGCTTGAGTTATTGTTTAGGCTTTTTAAGTTTGTGTGGGGTTTTTTAGTCTGATGACGTTGCTGAAGGACATAACATGACACATGTGTAATTTTTAGACTCATGAAATTGCTCGAGGATTTTCTTTTGGATTTATGAAGTTGCTCAAGGGTTTTTGAGACTTCCAAGGTGTTTTTTCAATCTTATGAAGTCACAGGACGATTTTTTTCTATTTAGGCTTATGTAGTTCTTGGAAGTTTTTTTCGCTAAAACATTACATATGAAGTTGCTCAACGACATATGTCATGTCTGACTTTTTTTAATTTACGAAGTCACTGTAGGATGTATCAATATTTAATTGTATGAAGATGAAATGAAGGTAAAATGGTACTCGACTAATATTCTCAAAATACTAGAATATTTTGACACTCTCGTAAGACACTTGATATCAAGCATGTCCCTTCTTGGAGGATGTATCACATGTGCGATTTTTAGACTTATGAAGTGGCTGAATGATTTTCACGTTTATGAAGTTGCTTGTAGTTTTTTATTTAGCTTATGAAGTTTCTGGAGGTTTTTTGAGATGGGTGAAGTTGCTGGAGGACATATCACAAGTGTGATTTTTAGACTTATAAAGTCGCTGGAGGATTTTCTTTTTGCGAAGAAAAATTTTAAGGCCTCACAGTTATTAATAATATATATTGTTTTTTTTAATCTATTTTCTTAATGATAATCTGTGAACAAGTTTTCAACTAATTGTTTATCATTCTAGGCCTTATATCAATGTTTCTTCATGTTCACCCATTCGGAGCAAGCGTTGATTACATATGGTCATACCTGCAGAAACTCGAGCCGGGGATCAAACCGTCTGAAGTTGAAACTCTACTAGCTCAGTTCCCGTCGCTTTTCCAACAGGAGCTGTCTGGAATCGGTGCCAACATGGAGCGCAAGTGGATAATAACAGCCTTCAAGCCCAAAGAGACGAACATTTAGTCGAGTCATTTTGTTTTCTAGGATTTTTTTTTAAATTTTAATTTATTGGACCTCTTTTTGGTTGATTATGGCAAAATGTGTTTTCTTTTTGTTTTAGGATCTCGTTAAAAGTAAATTTATAACGGATAAAATTCATTTTACATTTTTCCTCTTTTAGATTTGATATTTTAATAAAATTTTGGAATTTTGATTTGATATTTTACAGTTAGTTTGTTTGAATCATTTGTATAACACTCTTTGTTGAGATGTGATCTCTTTTGACATCACAATGATAAAATATGCCTGAAACCTAGATTAATTTTTGTGGATATTTTCAAGAAGGAAAAACTGTACATCATACAGTGATTTTTTTTTTTTTTTTTCATTAAGTCAGACCCTATCACCTTTTATACAAATAAAACTAATAGATTAGGAGATGGTTAATAATAAAAATAAATAAAAAAAACTGTGTTCCCTTTTCATTTGTATTTTTAATTAGTAATAACTTCTAACAATTAATTCCATTGCCATCGTTACTTAGCTTCCAAACACCACATTTAATTATTAAAAGTTAAAAAAAATATATATAATTTTTTCATAAATAAAAACTTCGAACTTTGAGGAGTGACAGTTTGTGTTATGTACAAAAATAACTTATTCAATGACTATATACATGATTGATGGCTTAAAAAAAGAAAATTATGGTCAGGGCATTATTGGTATGGAATATTTACCCTGGTTTTATGTTACATTATTTTCTAATTTTTTATGTGTGTAACACTACTTCTGAAGTTTAAGCGAATTAAGCTCCTGTACGAACGACTCCATCTTCTCTTCTGCATCGGAGAGGTTCAGCTTGTGAAAATGCGACAGCAGCTGCGAATCGACCCCTGCACTCCCACTATTTGAGAAACTTAACAACAGTCTTGCGATCTAAACAAAAACATTGTTATTTATTATTTATTGGTAATTTTTATTTTTTTAATAAGATAAGTGCGATGTACTTGCCCTTTCAGAATTTGCACTCCAATCGTCACGATCCATGTTTTCTTTTGAAGCCCTTGCCTTTGATAAGGCAAGCTGCAAAGGGCTGCGTCCAACGAAATCTTTACTCGACACGTTTGTACCTATAAAAAATATATTAAAAAAATAAATAAATAAGTTACATGAATGCTCAAAGATCACTTAAATTACCTGCACATAAGAGCAATAGTATAACTTCTAAGTTGTATGTACAAGTGGCGAGATGAAGAGGAGTGTTGCCGATTGAATCTTTGCCATTCGGGTCGGCACCTTTGTCCAGCAGAATCCTTAAAAATCAAAAAATCTTCAGAAATTTTACTGTTAATTTATGGTGTCATAAAGGAGGGGTCTTAAATTCCAACTACATGTCAGATGTCGTGGACAATGGGTCACACGATGTTACAATACTTTTTCTAAATAAAATTCCAAGGGCTTTGCCGGGATTCAAACCCTGAACCACTAGAGTTGTGACAAATACTAATCAGATGCCCTACCTACTCATCCATCTTAAGCCCCTGAATTTTTACATCGAATGCTTTCTCATACGAGTATCGTATAATTTGTCAAAACAGAACTGAAGAAGTTTAATTAAAAAATAAGATAAACTTGAAGGTAGGTATTGTCACATTTATAATCTCGGATTATTTTTGTTTTTGTGCTGATCGAAAAAAAAAAAAAAATGGTCAAACCAAGGTGGCAGACCACGTTATAAAGAACCTTACTTTTCACAACTCAGTTGAAATATTTAGCATAAGTTGTTAACAAAATTGAAAAAAAAAGTAATTACAACTTATTTTTATCACCCAACAATATAATTACTTTCTTATTATTAAATTATTGAGGTTAGTTTGTTGTTTTGAAATATCAAAACATGACAATATTGTGAATATTAAAATAATTTAAGAACATGTTTGTACAGGTTGATTTTTAAAATAATCCTCAACAATATTCCCAAATATACTAGATTATTTTGGCACTCATATAACACTTGACTTCAAGCATGTCCCTCCTCGGAAAATGTTCATGTGAGATATTTAGAATTATGAAGGCGTTGTAGGATTTTTTTAGACATGAAGCTGCTGGAGGATTTTTGTACTTATGAAGTCGCTGAAGTACTAAATTGTAGGCTTATGAAGTTGCTGGAGGATTTTTTTTTTAGATTGATGAAGTTGCTGGAGGATTTTTTTTTTTTAGATTGATGAAGTTGCTGGAGGGTTTTTAAAATATTTTTATACTTATGAAATTGCTGGTTGGTTTTATACTTATGAAGTTGCTGGTTGGTTTTATACTTATGAGTTGCTGGTTGGTTTTATACTTATGAAGTTGCTTGAAGTTTTTATTTTATTCAGGCTTATGAAGTTTCTGGATGCATTTTTTAGGCTGATGAAGTTGCTTGAGTTTTTTTATTTAGACTTAAGAAGATGCTAGAGGTGTTTTAGACTTTTGAAGTCACTCGAGAACTAAATTTTAGACTTATGAAGTTGCTGAAAGATTTTACACTTATGAAGCTGCTTGATGTTTTTTATTTAGGTTTATGAAGTTCCTGGTCAATATTTTTTTTTAGATTGATTAAGTTTCTCAGGGTTTTAGAATAATGAAGTTGCTAGAAGACATATCACATATTGTGTATTTATGAAGTAGAACTGTACGATGATCAAATATCTCATTTTTTAATCTTATGAAGCCACAGGAGGACATATCACATGTGTGATTTTTATACTTATGAAGTCACTGGAGGATTTTGTAGACTTATTAAGTCACTGAAGGAGAAGAAGAAGAAAAACTAGTTTATTTGACCAAATATTTACATATGTGCAGATTGCAACCTGACTCTTTTTACATTTGCGTAGGAAGTGCGAAAGACGCTGGACTTTATAACCTTCTACAACCTTAATATTGTAATAATTTTGTATTATGTAGCCTGTTTCTGCGTTTAGCGGGGAAAAACTGATTATAAAAAAACCCGCTGTCACTTTTGATTCATAATAATGAGTTTAAATTATGTGAACAATTTAAAACTACTTTAAGTGAGAATCACCTTTTTGAGAGATAACAAATTTAAATAACTTATATGTACATATTTATAAATTAAGTATAAACATTATATGTATAATTTAAAAAGTACTGAAGGATGTATCACATGTGTGACTAGACTTATGATGTCGCTAGAGGGTTTTTATTTTTTTAGACTTATGAAGTTGCTGGAGAATTTTACATTTATGTAGTTGCTTGTGGTTTTTTGTTTAGGCTTATGGAGTTTCTGGATGATTTTTTTTTAGGCTGATGAAGTTGCTTGAGGTTTTTCATTTAGGCTTATGAAGTTTCTGTATGATTTTTTTTCAGCTAATGAAGTTACTTGAAGTTTTTTAATTAGGCTTATTATGTATCTGGATGATTTTTTTTAGGCTGATGAAGTTGCTTGAGGTTTTTATTTAGCCTTATGAAGTTGGTGGAGGATGTATGACGTGTGTGATTTTTTGATTTATGAAGCAGAACTGTAAGACATCAAATATCTAATATTTTCATGTTATGAAACCAGGATGTATCACATGTGTGATTTTTATACTTATAAAATTGCTGGAGGTTTTTTATTTTTTAGACTTATGAAGTTGGTGGAAAATTTTACGTTTATGGAGTTGCTTGAGGTTTTTATTTAGGTTTATGAAGTTGCTGGAGGACATATCACATGTGTGATTTTTTGATTTATGAAGCACAACTGTAGGACATATCAAATAACTAATATTTTCATCTCATGGAACCAGAATGTATCACATGTGTGATTTTAGACTTATGAAGTTGCTAAAGGTTGTTTTTAGACTTATGAAGTGCAGGACAATGTACATTACACGAGATATTTTAGAGTTATAAAGTTATTGGAAGATTTTTTAAACTTGTGAAGTAGCTAAAATGATAAGATTAAAAATGATAAAATTCTATAAATATTTATAGTCAGATAGTCAAATCTGAATACCATTCAAGCAACCAAACATCCTACAAGTCGCAATCCTTTATATATCAAGTTAAAATTGATCATTTTTTACAATACTTTACAAAAAATTGTTTTTAAGGGTGACAGTTCTTACTTGACCATGTGAGCGTATCCTTTGCAAGCTGCAAGATGAAGAGGCGTTCTCATTTGCCTATCGTAGCAGCTCGGAGAGACGCCCTGGTTCAGGAGGTGGATCACAGTCGCAGTGTCGTTCATCGATACGGCCTGGCACAGCCTTCGCTCATCTAAATCAGCGGTTTGATTACTGCCATAAGAAATTATTTAAATCCTTACCGAGAGGTTTTTTAAAATTGCGCCATGTCGAATACTCGACGAGCCGGCATTTTCTTGACAACATTCTGGCCGGTTTTATTTTTGTCGTAAGCTCCGATTTTTGAAAAGGCCCATCTGTCGGTGCGGACAGGTCCCATCGCCAGGGATGTTCCTCTCGATCGCTGGTCATCGCGCTTTCATACCCTGTAGACAAGCTTTTCGGCTGGACATGAAATGCAGCAGCTTTCTCCTCGGGGGCCTTCGCCAAAACATACCAACCGCTGACTTAGAACAATGACTCCAAAGTAAATTGGATATTTTAAATTGATTTTCTTAACCCGTTAGAAAAGTTAAAAGGTTAAAATTTAAAATTTACCAAAGGTGTTGAGCTGGTTCCAGCTTCTAAATAAGACATGTGTTGCAGTTATCAGATGAAAACCAAAATACTGTTGAGTATTGTTGTTGAATGTTGTCAGTAGACGAAATCAATAATTAAAATCGACTCTAAAAGTCGATGTTTTCGATTGTTTCCGATTTTCAAAATTAATGCGCAATTCTCATAAAAATTATCAAACGGACAATTTATCAAAAATGTCATCTATTACCATCATTCTGATCTTCCTGTTCTTACTATATTTCAACTCTTGTTTGCCATTTTTCTTGTTGCTTCGGTCCAGTGGATGTCCGCTTGTCTCTGCGCTCGTCCCATTTCCAAATCAGCTAGAACATTGGTCAAATTGAGATTTCTCTGTTGTCTGCCGAGGGATGAATGTGAAATTAGGTCGTTAAATATCGTTTCGGTCCGACTATCGTCGCTGGGTTGATCTAACGGAAACGTTTCGACATTTCGCCATCATCAATGTGTCTGTCACTGTGTACTGAAATGTAAAATAAATGTTTAAAAAATCAATCAATCTCTCTCTCACTCTATCTCTCTCGTTCGTTCACTCACTCACCATCTCTCTCTTTCGCGCTCTCACCCACTCCCCTATCGTTCATTCACTCACTCATTGATAAATAAAACGCTACCTCTCCCTCTCTCATTGCTCTCTCTCTCCCATTCTCTCTCTCGTTCGTTTACTCACTCACCATCTCTCTCTTAGCTCTCTCTCCCACTCCCCTATCGTTCACTCACTCACCATCTCTCTCTTTCGCTCTCTCGCTCACTCCCCTATCGTTCATTCACTCACTCATTGCTAAATAAAACGCTACCTCTCCCTCTCTCATTCGCTCTCTCTCTCGTTCATTCACTCTCTTCCTCCCTCTCTCGTTCACTTACTTATTCATTGCCAAACAAAACCCTATCAATCATTCAATCAAGTTCTCCCTCCCTTTCTCGTTCGCTCACTCACTCACTTATTCATTGCCAAACAAAACCTTATAAATCAATCAATCAATCTCACCCTCCCTTTCTCTTTCACTCACTATCTCTCTCTTTCGCTCTTCTCCCTCGTTCACTTATTCTTTGCGAAACAAATCCTCATAAATCGAACAATTTCACCCTCCCTCTCTCGTTCACTCACTATCTCTTTTTCGCTCCTCTCTCTCTCTCTCTCTCTCTCTCTTTCCTCTCTCTTTCCTCTCTCTTTCACTCATTCACTCACTCTCACTCTCCTTCTCTCGTGCGCTCACTATTTCTCTCTCTGTTCTCTCTCGTTCACTTCACTTCCTCACTCACTTATTCATTCCAAAACAAAACCTTATAAATCAATCCATCGATCTCATCCTCTCTCTCTCTCGTTCACTCATTATCTCTCTTTCGCTCCTCTCTCTCACTCTTTCCTCTCTCTTTCACTCATTCACTCACGCTCTCCTTCTTTCATTCACTCACTATCTCTCTCTTTCGCTCATCTCTCTCTCTCTCTCTCTCTCGTTCTTCAAGTTTTTGATGAAATGTTTTGTTACATTCAATCATCAGTGGCGTTTAAATGAATGAAAGGTTGGGGGATGCCGAAGGCGGCCGAAATGTCCCGAGACACGAGCTCCTCCCATTCCGTCAGTCGTTATACGAAAGCGAATCGAACCGATTGTTGATCCCGGCTCAGAAGCCCGAACTTCAGTAGATGCCCAGTCGCAGTCGCGCGCGGATTACCTCGTTGATGATGTCCTGCCATTAAGACAACGATGGAACCCGACGATGAGATATCGCCAAGCCCGACCCTCGAGGAGACCTTTTACATCCTCTCCAAGAAGAACAAGGTGTACAGGGTGAAACTGTCCGAGAAGGGCCTCTGCCTCCAGAAGGAGTCAAACGGGAACGTCAAGACGGAGAGGATCGCCCTCGAGGACATCGTCGGCTGCCGGTGCGTCCGGAGCAAGCGCCTCGACCAGAAATGCGTCTGGAGGCCGACCTCGAAGAAAAACAAGAAGTCGGAAGACGCCGACTGGGAGCAGGCGGAAATCAGCGCAGACCTCTACATCTACGCCTACCTCCTCAAAAAAGGGAAGGTGAAGAGCGGGAAACGAAGGGAAAGGACGGTCATCACACTCAGGTTCAGGTCGTTCGACAAGTACGACGAGAACATGAAAGAGGCACAGAGGTGGAAAGTCACGATAAAATACTTCCTGCACGCCTTGTCCAGTTCTTCGCACCCTTCTTCCTACTTCAAACCCCTAGACTCGAAAATAATCGGTGAGTCAAGTCGATTTATCATTACCAATGCAGGTCCTTTCACGCAACAGTCCTGCAGTCAAATTTCAAATTTAAACCAAACTGGAAAAAACGCGATTTATAATCCGACAGGACTGTACGTGTCAAAATATTCCACCCTTTGACATAATCATATCTATGTAGATTGTATGCAATTTATGCAGTCGGCGCACTGCGTAACAACACTTCTTCCATCTTATTTCGTGACACGACCGGGCAAAACAGCTAGGAACTGCCCAGACATGTTATTTATTCATTATCAGAATTGCACGAGACCTAATATTTATTTANATCATTTGTTATAAGCCAGTCAACAGTCAATTCACGTCAATAAAACTATGCTCTAACGATTCTATCGCCCTTGTAATAATCGTGACATCAAAGGTCGTTTTAATCCCATTTTCGAACAGGATTCCGACTTTACACACTCATAAATGTCAATAAATGCCGATAAAACCTGCGTTTTTTTAATCTATATTACATAATATTTCAAGAAGGTTTAAATTGCTTTTGAACTTGTATTTTTCTGGTAGCCTAGGATGGTGTGGTCTGATTGATAGCCATCCTCTATGAGCTTAAACGTTTCCTACCCTGTTTTAATTATCGTATCTTGGAGAACTTTAACTGGAGGTGTGAATCATCTCCGAGCAACTCATCTACTCGTGAAAGACTGGTGGATGATATGGATGAGACGGAATTATGAAAAATATAATACAGATGAATAATTGAAAGAACAGTCCTGCCCTCACTATACGCGAACGAGGAGCTAGTGCCTGCCACATAAGACTGTCTATCTATCTCTATCGCCCTCTTTCTCCCTCATTCGTTCGCTCAATCATACACTCACTATCGCTCCCTTTCGCTCCCTTGCTCCATCTCTCTCCCTTGTTCACTCATTCACTGACCATATCTCACGCTCCTTCCATATCTCTCTCTATATCTCTATCTATATGTATCTCCCTCCCACCCTCCTCCCCCTCTCTCGCTCACTCAGTAATTCACTCACTATCTATTTCTATCTCCCTCTCATTCCCTCGTTCTCCCTCTCTCGTTCACTCACTCATACACTCACTATCTCTCCCTTTCTCCCTCTCTCGTTCACTCACTCATACACTCACAATCTATTTCTATCTCCCTCTTTTTCCCTCTTTCTCCCTCTCTCGTTCACTCGCTCATACACTCACTATCTATTTCTATCTCCCTCTTTTTCCCTCTTTCTCCCTCTCTCGTTCACTCGCTCATACACTCACTATCTCTCTTTCTCCCTCTCTCGTTCTCTCACTCATACACTCACTATCTATTTCTATCTCCCTCTCTTTCCCTTTTTCTTCCACTCTCATTCATTAACTCATACACTCTGTATCTCTCTCTCTTTCTCCTACTCCCGTTCACTCACTCATACACTCACTATCTCTCTCTCTATCTCCCTCTTTCTCCCTCTCTCGTTCACTCGCTCATACACTCACTATCTCTCTCTTTCTCCCTCTTTTTCCCTCTTTCTCCCTCTCTCGTTCACTCGNCAACTAGAAATTAGTATTTCTTGTTTTTAGTAGAGTAGTTAGACTTTGAACAACCAAAAACAAAAATGCTTTTTCGCAGCGAAAGAAAATATATATATATATATCCCTCTCTCCCTCTCTTCCTCTCCCTATCTATCTATTTGTCTATCTTTCTATCTCTATCTCCATTCCTCCCTCTCTCACTTTTCTCTTATTAATTCTATATCTCTCCCTTTCGCTCTTCCACCCTCCCTCTTTCTTTCTTTCTCTTGTTTATATGTACATAACCTACGTAGGATGTAAGAGAGGCCTAAGAGAAATAATTCAGCTTGACTAAATAAAACTCTATCCATCAGTCAATATATCTCTGTCAACCGTCACTCAACTGTCCAACAGTGTCATCGCGTGGTATACATTAATTCTTCCCCCCTTGAGATGGGACAGCACTGCTCTGGGGCCTCTCTTGACGTAAGCCAAGCTTTCGATCGAGTTTGGCACCCGGGCTTTGCTATTCATGCTCAAGGGCATCCTCCCATCCACCTACTATCTCATACTGCACAGTTACCTCACTGACCGATATCTCCAAGTCATCGAAGGCCATTCCCCCTCTGCATATTTCTCTATCCATGCTGGTATTTCTCAGTAGTGTTCTGGCCCCTACACTATACCAGGTGTTCACAGCTGACATGCCATCACATCCCGAAACGCGCACATCACATTTGCAGACGATACAGCAATTCTCTCAAGCAACTCCGGCCTTGTCATTTCATTCTGTAAAAAGAAAATGATAAAATTTAACACAGACACATCCACACACATTACCTTCACCCTCCGTAAAAATATTTTTCTCCCCTGTTTTCTTAAATAATATTCGCCTCCCAACTGCGGAGAAAGAGCGGTACCTCGGGCTGCACATCGACAAACGACTGACGTGGAATCCTCACACACGACTGAAATGTCATGAGGTTATGACACGACTCTTGAACTCTTGCACGACTTATTGACAAACGCTCTGCATTATGTTAAATTGATAAAATTAATGTCCTTTTTAAATAGTAGATTTTTATAACTAAAATGGGTGTCAAATAAACTTAAAAAAATAAACTTATTTCTGTGATCGTAATTGTTCGTCGTTCGATTGTTGTGCATGTGCTCTTCGTAAACATTCTATTGTCTTCCTACCAAACAAATAGGCATAATGGAGGGTTTTTTAATTCCCATCAATTTTATCTTAATTTGGCCTTTTTCATCCGTTGTAAACGTCCAGTTGGGAGAAAAAACAAAAACAAACAGGAAATCAATTGTTATTCCTAGGTTTCGAGTGAACCCCCTCATCTGGTCATTATCGACCATCTGCCTAGAATTTTAAAAAGACACACGCACGGTGTACGACAGGTCAATTAATTGATTTGTTCCCCGGGCTGGTTATCGCCAATTTAAATGCTATTGATCCATTATCACGCAACGTGGCTTAATTTAATCGCTGTGCTAACAAGAAAAGCGATCGTGACACCCCATATCTTGGATATCTTTGCATTTATCGATTTTTGTTGTCATTTACAAAATCGTTTTTATCTCTCTCTTCCTTCCAGGCATAATTACTCCAAAAAAACAAAACTTTCCAATAACAAATTTCCTACCTTTATTTTTACAAATCCTAACATTGAATATTCTCTCTTTTTCCTTCTTGGGTTTCGGTCAGGTAGTTTGCCATTAAAAGTGAAACGAAAGTCTGGAAATCTCTGTTGAGGCCTTTATCACATCTTCTCTTGGCTCTCTACCTTTTTTCTTTCTTAATTTTTTTATCTTTGCATTTATTTTTTTTCATTCTTCCGTTTGTTTACGGCGTACCTTTATCATCTCATCTCCCTCTATCTCTCTCTTTCTTTATTGATTTCACTATTTCTTCTTTTTTCTTTTCCTCCTTTCTACTTCTCCCTTCCATCCTTCCATTCTTTCTTATCATTCATTTCACAAACGAAAGTCTGGAAATCTCTGTTGCGACGTTTAACATATCTTTTGTTGGCCCTCTCTCTTTTTTCTTTCTTAATTTTTTTATCTTTGCATTTATTTTTTTTTTCATTCTTCCCTTTATTGTCCGCCTTCCTTTATTATCTTCTCATCTCTCTCTCTCTCTCTCTCTCTCTCTCTCTCTCTCTCTCTCTCTCTCTCTCTCTTTCTTGCTCTTAACNCCTCTCCCTCTCCCTCTCCCTCTCCCTCTCCCTCTCCCTCTTACACACGCCCTCACCTACTCACTTTTCTTCAAGAACACAGCACTGATAGTTTTTCGTAATAAAAATAAAATAAAAATTTAACTAGAGAAAATTCGAAAAGTTGACCACAAATTGAGACTTGACATATTCCCTCTGTCACGTGTCACGTCACGTGAGGACCGTTTAAATAAAGTAACGTGCAACTGTTGGAAAATTAAATCGCTTCGTGATAAACGGTTAGAGGAGGAAGGAGAGGAAAAAAGCGCAGATAAAGGAAAACCGATCCATTCCTGGAAAAATCAATCGATCGATCCAAACTACATCACAAACGAAATTCAAAGTTCAAATAATTAAGCGGAAAGTCATTTTGTTTTAACAATCGTTTGTTATTATTGAATCCTTGAAGAGTATCAAAATAGGAAAATTCACTCAATTCCAACCTGGTTTAGGATGTCGTTGGACATGGTCGAATGTTAGCTCGTAATTAAGGCTAACGCAATTTTACCTTCAGTCTGTTTAAGTAGTTAAGTCCGTTCTCTTAAGTTAGGATTATTTTTCTTTTCTTTATTAAATGTAAAAAATTGTTCGTTTTCATTAAAAAAAAAAAAACACGGTTTATTATTATTGCATTGTGTTTGTATTGATAAGTTGTCCTTCGGGAAATTTCGCCCAGGAAAGCCCCGCAATGCGGTTTTTATTTAACTTTTACACACCGGACGTGCTATTTTGTACGTGCTAACCTGAAGGGCCAAGTGCGGCATTCATTAATCCTGCCCTTAAAGAAACGCTTCGAGGAGAAATCCATTCTCTTTTTGCAATTAAGTTTTGCTAAAATAAACCACGGGTATGTTGTCTTCGATACGATGCAAACTGGCCTGAAGCCAACGTGTGGAAAATCAGTATAAAACGGTGACTTTTCGGACGACGGTATTTTTTTAAAGGATAAAAATTAACCCAATTTAGGCTTATCTTCCTCTATTTTTGTCTCATTAATGCAAAAGCCAAACATTGTCTCCTGATAATGTTCGTTAAATTGCGACGAAAACAATTCTGTTATATCGTCCAAAACGGAAAACATTCTTCTTGACTCAATTTAACTTAAAACTTCTAACATCAATATAAACCATTCATTGCTTATCTTAGATAAATAAACTTATATTTACTTAAAAGATTTTCACACGGATTTCTAGGGTATTTTTTACATTTCGCGATTTTTCTACCGCAGATTTATTTAAAAATGGAAATAACTTGATTTTCTTATCGTTTCTCAAAAGGTTCATTCATGCTTATATATAAACCAAATGATGCAAGAAGCCAACACAACAAAGGAAAAATTATTTAGTTATGATTATTTATTATCAGACTGGTTTTGGCTTTCAGCAGATTACTTTATTGTAGGAATGTTTTAAAATTTCCAGTATGACTCAGCATTGGAACAACTTTCTTTATCGTTTCATTTTTCAGAAATTAACACTTCTGATTTAATTCTACTTTTGCGCCGGTTTTTTTTCTCTGTTGATATTTCTGTTTTTCTTTGTATAAAAATTCGTTCAATTCTACTGTGAAAATTGAAGTATTAACATTCTTTTCAAATTCTAACTGTGCACTAACGCATACACACCTATTTGCAATTATTCGGCCCTCCGGGACGGATTTTGAAATTTTTTTATAAATCGCTTTCCGAGGGTGATTCCATGTGTAAAAATATTTTGCTAATTAAAACAGTAACTTGAACCGATTTAATTAGTCTATTGGCCAATTATCCAATATATTCCTCTTTTGTCAATTATTCGGTCATCTGGGACGGTTTTTAATTTTTTAAATTTTTTTTTTTAATAAATCGCTTTGCAAGGATGATTTCATGTGTAAATAATGTTTGCTAATTAAAACAGTAACTTGAACCGATTTAATTAGTCTATTGGCCCAATGAATTATCCAATATATTCCTCTTTTGTCATTTATTCGGTCCTCCGGGACGGATTTTTTAAAATAAATCTCTGCTAGGGTGATTTTATCTGTAAATAATGTTTGCTAATTAAAACAGTAACTTGAACCGACTTACTTAGTCTATTGGTCCAATGAATTATCCAATATATTCCTCTTTTGTCATTTATTCGGTCCTCCGGGATGGATTTTTAATTTTTTTTATATAAATTGCTTTGCTAGGGTGATTTTATGTGTAAATAATGTTTGCTAATTAAAACAGTAACTTGAACCGATTTAATTAGTCTATTGGCCCAATGAATTAGCCAATATATTCCTCTTGTCATTTATTCGGTCCTCCGGGACGGATTTTTTAAAATAAATCTCTGCTAGGGTGATTTCATGTGTAAATAATGTTTGTTAATTAAAACAGTAACTTGAACCGACTTACTTAGTCTATTGGCTCAATGAATTATCCAATATATTCCTCTTTTGTCATTTATTCGGTCCTCCTGGTTGGATTTATCATTAATCGCTTTCCATTGAGTGAATGTTGTCTTTTAACTGATCAGAGTTAAACCATTATTGTACTTGTTGCCTACGAAATATGTACAAAATATTCTCGTTTTATTAAATATTAGGCCCTCCGGGCCGAATTTTTCATAAATCATGTCCCTGAGTGTTTAATTGTTCCTATATAAATAATATTGGGTAAATATTTTAGGTTATTGAGCCATTATACTTGTTCCCTACGAACGGAAAATATATTTCAAAATTTGTATATTCGTACATTATTAAATATTAAGTCCTCCGGGCTGGATTTTTCGTAATCACTTTTCCTTGATTGACTGTTTTATTTGCTCATTATTTTTTCACTGATTACACGGTTATATAAGAGTTCGCTTTTTATTAAATATTAGGTCCTCCAGGTTGGAATTTAAAAAAAAAAAACCTTTCTTTTGATTGACTGTTCGTATAAAACATACTTGGTATTTGTTTTTTAACTTAAACCTATTTTTGTACCATTGTACTTATTGTCTACGAATAGCAAATATCATATTTAATTATTTTAAATTCAAAATTAGTTCCTCCAGGCTGGATTTTTCCTAAAATTGTTTCCCCCGGTGGCTGTTCCTATTATTTCTTAACTAAATAATTATTTTGAACTAATCACAATAGCATCTGTCAACGTTGTAGCCTTCAAACAGCAAATATGTTAGGTCCTCCGGGCCGGATTTCTTTAACTCTTTGTTCAAAGTGACTACAGAAAAAATACTTTGGGTTTACTTTTACTGATTACTGTAACATTTTGAACCATTGTCCTTGTCGCCTAGGAACAGCACGTTTTATTAATTATTAGGTCCTCCGGGCCAGATTTTTCATAAAACACTTTCCTCTGAATAAATACTATTGTTGACTAGCTAAACGACTTGATCCAGCTTACTTTGTATATTTTGATATATGCAAATACATTTCCAACTATTTGGTCTCCTAAGTATATTTTTCTTAATTTTTCCTTTCTTGAAACTTATGAACATAAAATACTTGATTATTTATTTTTTTCTTTGGTAAATAATAAATAAAGCCGAATTGATCCATTATACATGTAGAACTTTTATGTGCGGAGATTTTTCTCGTTTTGCAAAAATATTTGGTCCTCCGGGCTGGATCTGTTACATACCAAATATTTCCTCAGCGTATGTTGTATAAGATTAGTGTACAACATAGTACTTATTAATAGCCAGTGGACAGGAAATATTACGTTAAAATTTGCGTTTTGTAAAGTATTAGGTCCTCCGGGCCGGATTTTGCTCAAATGGCTTTCCCCCGACTGGCCACTGTTCTTGAAATAGTACATCGCAAAATCAACTTAAACGTAAATTTTCAATAGCCTGCTGGTAGAAATAATATAACATTGTGTTTGATAATTGATTCGATATTTAAACAGGAAATTTGCACGGTTTATTAGTTTTATGCACATTTCCGTCCTAGATTGTTGATTTTACAATGACTTTCAACGTCTGGATTTTTTCTAATGGAAATACACGTCGAAATTTTTTTCCAATTTGTATTCCGAATGGTTTGCAATTTTGGAAAAAGGTTTTGTCTTAAAACCACGTCGTATGTTAATTTGTGTATATCGCTGTTATTCAATGTACAAGGACACGTCGTTAACTTTGAAGGCTTTGGAAGGAAACCTTTGTTAAATAGGTAGATAAGCTTATTTGAAAACGTGTAACAAAAGCTTTGTCTCTTTTTCCTCTAGCATACACAACACTCATACACGAGGAAAAAAAATAGCCAAAGAAAAAGGATTTTCGGCCTTTGCCAATCTCTAGAAAACCCGTGGATAATATAAGCCTAATCCTCAAAATCCTCAATTACTCAACCCAATTTCAAGTAAATTGTTCATAATCCGAGATAAGGACGTTTCTTTGATATCATTATTAACCAAAATTTAACATTGATCTCTTTTGAGAGGTAGAAAAAAAAGTACAAGAATTTGCGTCTTATCTCTTATTAAAAACGATCCTGACGCACATTAAAGTTTTGAAAAGAACAGTTACATAACCCTAGAAGAAAGAGAGAAAACCCATGAGAGGACTCTAAAGGTCACATCTAAGCGCGTAGGGCGCAATGATGGAATAAAGTGTTCAAAAATAGAGGAAAAAAGGACGAAAATGTAAAACAACCGATCCAATTTCAAATTGCAAATCACATTTAACCACTGACAGTTCTGTTTGCCCTGTTTTACGGGTAAAGCAATTAAAGCCCCTCATTGACCTGGGAGTTAATTGGTTATTGAACTGATTCATCGTCGATTAACAGGACAATAAATTAATATTTTATAGACTTTCTACGCCTCGAAACAGAATCAAGATTAATTTTCAGTTAGAAGAAGAAAAAACCGGCGATAAAAGTTCTACAAATAGATTATATATTAAACAGATAAGAATCATGGGGCTCATTTAATGTTTTTCTTTTACCTTGAAATGGGTGGAAAAACTCTTATTGCGTCGTATAATTAATTAGAAAAGTTTTATATAATGTATTTTCTTTTGTGCAAATTGTAATTTACCTCTATAGAAGAACGGATGTACAGATTTGTAGATTATTTGGTCCTCCGGGCCGGATATTTTGAAAATCGCGATAGTTAGAGAGATGGTGAGCCAAATTATTGTTTATTTTACTGTGACGTTAAAAAAGAAAAAACTATTAGCCTTACTTGCAATAAAATACTACAACTTAAAAAAAGAAAATCATGCCATACAATTGAGAAAAAAAGCTTAATTATATATAACTTAAAAAATTTAATATTCAGTTGGTATTTTCCCTAAAGTCTATTTATTTGTGGTCTTGTTTCCGGCTGTTCTGTCGCTTTTAGCCTATTTTTTTTTTTTTAAAAGAATTGGTGCCACATAAGAGTGATGAGAGAGAGAGAGAGAGGATGAGAGAGAGAGAGAGAGAGAGAGAGAGAGAGAGAGAGAGAGAGAGAGAGAGAGAGAGCGTGTGTGTGTTTTGTGCCAATTGTTTAGACAGGCGCCAGAATTTTCAAAAATTACTTAGTAAAATAAACTATATGTGTGATGTAAGTGAATGAGGAGAAAGAGAGAGAGAAGTTATGTAAGATGTAAGTGAATGAATGAGTTAAAGGAAGAAAGAATTAGAGAAAAATAGTGAATGAGATTGTTTGTGTGATTGTCAGGACCTCCAGGCTGGATTTAACAAAAATTGCCTAAGAACAACTTCGCACATGAATGATGCGAGACGATACAAGAAAGATAGAGAAGAAATAGAAAAATAACGCCATTTTTTGGTTTTAAATCAGGCGATTTGGTTTTTTCTCCACCCATTCGTTGTTTGCAATCTTGTATTTTCTATTTTTCTTTCATCACATATTTAAAAACAAAGATTCTAAATTTTACTGTCTGCTTGTTATTTGGTATTCAGATAACTGATGATGTTTGGGTGGTTTTATTGTTGTTACTCTTCTATTTTGTATCCTCGATTCTTGAGAACTCTGTCGGATCTACTGATTAATAATACTTTAAATAATAGATAATTTCAAAATAAAGAATCTTCTTTGAATGTGTTTTTTGTAATATTTCCAAAAACGTATGATCATTGTTTGATCCTTTGTTTCAGAGAACAAAATACTCGTCATAATCAACCCGAAAAGTGGAATCGGCCGTGGAAGGGAATTATTCCAGAACAAAGTCGTCCCTTTGCTGACCGAGGCCGACCTCAATTACGACATACACGTGACGACGTGCCGTGACGACGCCAGGAACTTCGTCCGGACGCAGGTCGGTAAGGTGAAAGCCAAGGTGGCAAATAAAATAATTCGAATCATTGCAGAACCTCTGGCAGTACATGGGAGGCGTCGTGTGCATAGGCGGTGACGGTATATTGCACGAAGTGATCAACGGAATCATGGAACGCCCGGACTGGGAAATCCTCTTCAGCGAGCTAAAGCTCGGACCCATTCCGTCCGGGAGTGGCAATGGCCTTGCAAAATCCATCGCCTACTCGCACAAGTAATAAATATTCTTTTATCTTGACATTGATTCAACCAAAAAAAATGTTGAACCCTTGGATGCTTGATTAAAATACAAATGGGGACAATTTTTTTTTTAACATTCAATTTCTTAATAAATATGTCATTACTTAAAGAGTGTGTCGATACTTGAAACAATCTATCTTATAAAATATGAACAATTTCTTTCAAATAAAGTCAAATTTGATTAATGCTTTATTTATAGTTTCTGTGATTTGTCAAATTTCACCACTCTTATATTCAATGACTTTTTACAATAATGATAGAGACTGAATGAGTACTTTGAACCAATTGGTGGACCTCCAAGTGCCAGAATATTCAAAAATTGCTGACGAAAATAATTGTGTGATAAAAGTGAGTGGGGTGAGAAAGAAAGAGAGAAAAGAGAGAGAGAGAGAGAGAGAGAGAGAGAGAGAGAGAGAATGTAATAAAATGTATATGCACTATGTGTGAAACAACAATGTGTGATATTTATGCGATATTCTTTTCAGTTTAAAATATGCTCTAAAACTTGTTTAAAAGTACATACTTCAAATTAAAATGTACAAAATGATATAAAACTGCAATAAAAGCATATATTTTGATAACAAATTAAAATAAAATTATAGAAACTCAAAAGATCTGTTTATAAATGCCTGTTTAAAATGAGCATAGCCAAACCACCTAGTTTTATTCGACGTGTATAAAACCCCGGTGTGAATTACTATTAATGGTAGTTATCATGTCATGAGCAAATGGCAAAATGTCCTCATGACAACATTTCTAGAGCGTGTTAACCATGAATGAATGGAACCAGGTTCAATGTTCAAATTTCAACAAGCATATTTACATAAAATATGTTTATTTACTCTGATCAATTTTGAGACTATCATATTACTTTTTCCCCACAGTGAGCCATTTGATCAAAATCCAGTGCTTGTTTCTACTCTGAACGTTGTCAGAGGCTTCTCAATGCCCTTGGATTTAGTCCGCGTTGAATTGAAATCACAGGTTCGTATAAGACACAATCTTTTTGATTTTTATAATTTATCTGATGTCTGGCCAATTTATACTTTTTTAAACCTTAACAGTGTTTTTTTTTGTCTGAATTCACTTTCTTATCTGAATGCTTGAATTGTTCTGTTATCTCCAATGATACTGCTTCTCAACATTGAACTATGATAAGGCCAATTAGCAAAATTAAAACAAAAATGTCTGTCCAATTTGTGATTAAAAAAAAATAAACTCTTCAAGATAATTTTTTAAAAATATATTCTTAGGTAATGTATTCATTTTTGTCGATTGGATGGGGGCTTTTATCCGATGTCGACATCGAAAGCGAGCGTATAAGGCAATTTGGACAGCAGAGATTCGCAGTTTGGACAGCTGCCAAGCTTATATGTAAGCCCGACACCATTTAAATTCTTACGGTCATTGTAATTTTGTCGTTTTTCAGGTCTGAGAACGTTTAAAGCAACTGTATCTTATCTGCCTGTCGTCAACAACCCTGCTACTATAACAAACCTCGATGATGATGTTGATGCTGTAAGTATAATCAGCCATTGTTTCCTAACTCTTCGAAAAATTGAAAGAAAAAAAAAAGTGACTTTTCATCCACTGCAACCCAAAAGATTTTTCAAATTTTGCTTTTTTAAAAATTTTAATTTAATTTGATGGTAAAAATATTTTAAATCTAGAATGTGGTTTTTTTAACTAATTACAACATTTATTTTTATGTCATATATTTTAATTGCTAATGCATTTTGGGCCGTGTCCCTGGACCTTCTTTAGAACTCATTGTTTAACTAAATGGATCTCACCAGTTAGCCTAGCAGCTCTTAGACAAATCCATTAACAAATAAAGTTATGTTTTTTCTAAAATATTTATTTATTTTTATTTTTTTTAGAAAAGCATTTTGTCAGAAGAAGGGAGGCGGGACAGTTTTTATTCGATCGGCTCTCATAAGTCGACGTTCCTTTCTGCCTTGGGCTCCAGTTATTCTTCCTTAACAGAAGAGACCGTAAGGACTTTTGGGCCACCTTCGACCATTCCGCCGCTCTGCCAGCCGGTGCCATCCAACTGGGTGACCCTGACTGGTAATCATCGTAGGTCCTAGTCAAAGTTGGTTATATTTACAAAAAAAATGTTTTTTCCAGGAAATTTTGTTCTGGTTCATGCTTCCTATCCGTCCCACCTGATGACAGACTGTTTATTTGCACCAAATGCAAAGCTGAACGATGGTTGTATCTGGCTTTGCATCGTCAAAGGGAATATTTCAAAAGCGCATTTAGTTCAGGTTAGTTTGCATTTAAATTTAGCAAATATTCTAATATGGAAATTTTTTTTTTTAATAGTTTCTTCTTGGAATGTCCAATGGGACCCATGTGAACTCATCGGATGTTGTTTTTGTACCTGTGAGCGCATTCCGCCTGGAACCGGAATCGAACGCGAGCATGCTGACGGTGGACGGCGAAAAGGTCGAGAGCGGCCCGATCCAGGCCGAAGTCCTCCCGTCTCTCGCCAACGTCTTCAGCAGGGCCAAGAACTGACAAAACATCCCCTCAGGGGGTTCGCGCTTTTTCGTCTTGCGCTGGTTCAAAGATAGGAAGAGAGGGAAGAGGAAAAAAATCGGTCGTCAATGTCTGTGATCTGTTTGCTTTTTTTTCCGGCTGTTAATCGATGCTTGCCCCCCTTTATTGTTTTTTGTTCATCATCATCACGTATAGTTATTGGTATTGTACCAAACATTCATTGCCAAAATATACAAGATGAGTTGGACTGTTTTATCAATATTTTTAAAATATATATCTTTTGCTGCTGCAAATATATGCTTCTTGCTCAAATTTACTTACTTTAGCCAAATTAAATAATCAGTTTAGACCTTTGATCTTGTATAATATATAATTATTTTTTTACTTTTTTTTTCGGGGGGGGGGGAGGTAGCTGCAATTTTTTCCAATAATGTGATAATGTAAATTGTATAAATATATAAATTTATTTTATTCCTATTGAAGGAATAGGTGCATTTAATGTACATGTTTATGAAATATTCTGTGTACGTATATATATATAATTGAACAAAAAAAATTATTAAAGCTACTTCTATATTCTATGTATAAATGGAAGTGTAAATTGGCCTAAAACTGAATTCCATCTGATGTCATTTTGAATTATGTAAATTTGAAATTGATGTTTAAATTTGGTCATTTTTACAGGCTAGCCTATTCTCGACGGTTTTTTAATGTACAATTAATGTCTTCTTCTTGAATTACCAAGCTTAACGAACCATGGAAACAACCAAGAACAAGTCAAAAAAAGAACCAGAGACCATGTACATGAAAGTGATATTGTAAAAGGCGTGTATTTTTTATTTTCTAAATTTCTTTACACTTGTAGTGTTTAATTTTTAAAAAGCACATTTTCCTATTTTATTTTCTATTAAAAAAAATTAAAAAAAAAAGGCTATTTGTCCTGCATGCATTTGTTCGTTGTTGAATATTTCATTAATTTTTGTTACTTGTTATATTATTAAAATATGTATGATTGATGTAAAAGAAATGTTTTTAACCCTTTACATCTGAGAAGAAAAGTACTGATTAAAACTATGTAAGGGGACAATAAATTTTTAAAACACCGCTGAGCTTTTTTTACAACCGTCTCACCCGCTTACAACCTGGAAAAACTTGTCTTAAAATATCTTGCCTCGGGTTTTAGATGAAAGTTAATAAGAAGGATGTGAAATAATTTGTCGCTGGAGTCCCCCAAGTTTGAACTTAATGGAACAGAGTTCTATTTGTTACTTGTTCCCGAAGTAGAGAAAATGTGGATTATTTATTTTTTAAGTTAAAAAAAGAAAGAAAATATGTAGGCTGCATTTAGGCTTCTCGCTATCTTCAGCTTTAATGAAGTATATAAATGTAATATCAGAGGAGACGATGTTTAACTTCTTTAAAAAATAGTTCTTACAGTTTGTTGTGCATTAAATGTCCGAAATAGTTGAAACAACAAACTGTAAGAACTATCTTTTTAAGAAAACCGATAATTTTGTATTTGTTTCATTTTTTCATCATAAAAAAATTTATTTTGTTTATTTTGACTTGTAGCAAAACCTAGTAAGACTGGGTACTATTGAAACAAAAACTAATCTTTTTGAATGCAATAAATGTGAATAAAATTTACAATTTCTCTGATCTGTATTTATTAATTTAATCATATTTTCAAGAAAAAAATCTTTGAAAAAACAAGCATTTATTTATTTTTAATAGTTTCCATTTGATAGAATTAACATGTATACAGAAATAAAGAAGGCATATTTTTTTAAAAACAGAAAGCTTCTTTATTCATAGTGAAAGAAAAATTACACAGCTGTAAATTTCCTGTTGGACGAATCAAAATTGTGACAGTTTGAAGCATTTGAGTGTCAGCGATGTCTTCAGAGCAAATAGCGTTTTCCTGGATGTTGTTATGGAGGCTGAAGAGGACCTGGTGGAAGGTCTTGTTGTCGGTCCTTCTCTTGTGCACCGCGTTCTGCTTCCCTGTCGCTACCAAGAACTACTTTGGCATGTTACACAAGAAAGAAACCCTGCTGACTCAACCGGCCAACTACAGTGAGCTTTTAAATCACAGCAAACACAAATTCGACATACTGTACTCGCCGATGAGTCAGAAAGTGGAGGGCATTATGACTGAATTCAGGGCCATCTTTCCAAACACGTTGATAAGTGAGTATGATGAAAAGGCTTGGTTTTTTTAATCTTCGCAAATCTTGTCCGACTCTGTTTCATGTTGAAGCTGTTGATCAAATAAAAGAAAGTTTAAAAACAAAAAGTAGAACGAAAAATTTCAAATAAAACAAATATTTCTAAAAAAATTGTTAGCAGCTGTTCCCTTGCACTTGTTTTATTACATATTTACAAAACTAAACATGTGTTTAGATTAAGTAAATTTAATTTTCTAAAGCTTTGTTTTATTTTTAACTTAATAATAATAATGCAAATAATGAATTATTTTGAATTCTATGGTCGTAAAATAATATCGCTTATTCAATTTGATTACAATAATTTGAATATAATTGGTTTAAAGACATTTTGGCAATAAGTCACATTCTGCTATTGCATTAATGATGAAGAAAAGTAATCAACAATGATTTTAAGAAGTGCCTTAAAAATGCCCTTTTGTCAAAAAAATAAATAAATAAAAATAAAAAAGATTTATCCTTATATTCTGCAACATGACGAACCTTTAATTTGATTGCGACTGATCATTTTGGCCTGCCTATCCAATCTGAGTTAGGAATACCCAGGAATGGGAATCCTCGCATAATACTGTATAATAAAAGAAATATAGTTGATAAAATATCTTTTAAATGATTTTTCTAACTGGAGATCTTATATTGCCCTAATCCTAACCCCATCCCTAGCCTTATCCTAACTGTAAAATTATCTAACCCTAACCTAATCTAACCAGTTCCTATCTAAACTGAGACCTCTGTCAAATCTAATCATAAACCAAATCTTACCCTACCTAACCTAACACCACTCTAATACTAAAACTTCCTAATATGTACTGTCCCTAACCCATCTATTGCTGTAACACTAAACCTACCTAATCTAACCATTCCTAATCCTTAAGCCTGCCTAACCTAAGCTAAAAAAAGAAAAAACTTAATCTGGCCCTATCAAACTTAACCCATTCCTAACTCTAGTGCTAGAACTACCTAATCTGATCCATCCCTGAACCTAAGCCTATCTAACCTAAACCATCTCTAACTATAATACTAAAACTACCTATCCCTTCTCTAACTCTAACTCTAGCGTTATCTAACCTAATCAGTTCCTAACCCTAATGGAACTGATAAAATTGTAGATTTTTCACAACAGAGACCTCAAAAATAAATTTCACAAGTGAATAAGCAACTGTAAAAAATAAGCAGAATATTTGAAAGGTGTTGCACAAAATTTTCATCATTCTCAATAAAAATATATTCTTGTTCGTAGGTCTTCTGAATTTAATTAATTTTTTTTGTTCTTCACAGATAGTATTTCAGGTTTACAAAATGAACACGAAGTGCACAAGTTGTTTTCTTGGAAATATAAAACGAATGAAAATGCCAATAAGGGGTTTGGAGTGATATTTACAGACGTTGACAATAAGACTTTGCATTACACACTCCGAAGTACAGATTCAGACTTGTGGCTCACAAATAAAAAATTCTCCCATTTAATGTTTCCCGGACCATGTAGTTCAGGAAGTAAGTTTGTTTTTCATAAATATTTGAAATATTTTGCATTGATTTTGATTTTACAGAAATGTATTTCACTGAGGGGTTCATCGGAGTCCAAATAGGGATTAATTTGGGCTATATGAAATACTATAAGAAACCTATAAATGAGGTATTTAATTTATTGATTTGCATAACTGGATGCAATGGGTGAAAAGTTTCTTTTTGCTTTTTAGTGGTACATTCAAGAATTTCCTTATCCGGCACATGTGGAAAACAAACACTTGGAATTTATCAATTTTTACATTGTAACAATAGCATTTAGCATTGGCATGATACCGATATCAATATGGTTGATATTCTCAGTGTTCAATGAAAAAAACAAAGGGGCAAATGTCAGTTCATAATTTTCATAGAATAAAACGAAATCACTCGCATGAATTGTTTCAGGGGCTGATTAAATCAAAAGGTGGCAAGAGCTGGATGATCTCTGGAACAGTGTTCATTTTTTTTTACAGTCAGGTAGTCGTCGCTGTAACAATCTCCTGCGTAGTGATGTTCATACATTTCAGAAACGGGCCAGTCTTCAGTCATTCTATCCCCCTAGTAGTATGGAGTTTTTTTATGTCTTACGGATCTGTCAGTCTGTGCTATGCATATTTCTGCACTGCATTGTTTAACAAAAGTAATTTCAAAACATCACATTTTTTAAAATTTATTTTAATTGGTTACCTTTTTTTTAGCCACTTATGCTCTTTTGTTTTTCACAATTTGTAAATCAATACCTCTCTCTGTGTTTATAATATTTAAAAGTAAGATAATATTTTTGGAATACATGCTTATTATGATACCGGACTTTGCTTTACTACAAGGAAACAAACTCGCTACTATATACGAAGCATCGGGTAAATTAAATTAATCTATTTTAAATTTTATTAGAATTCAAGACATTTCTTGTTTTCCAGGAGTAGGCTTGCGACTTGCAAATATATTTGAATTTATTCCCGGCTTAGAAATCTCTTTTGTCTCTATTATTTTTGTCATGCTTGTAGTTGGCTTTGTTTTAAGTTTGTTAACACTCTATTTGAGCGAAATAATGCCCGGACAATTCGAAGTTCCAAAGCCTTGGCACTTTATAATACCAGTAAGCTAAAAAAAATACTCAATTAAAATTTTAATGTAAAACTTTGTTTTATTTTAAGGAAAAAGTAAAAACTTTATTGATAAAAGATAAAATTGACATATCCCTCCTTGTAATGGATCTGCCTACAAACTATCATGTAGAAGAGGCAACGTCTTTCTCTGTAGGAATCCAGCTTTACAACATAACAAAAGTTTACGGGGTGTTCAAAGCAGTGAACAGCATAACGATGAACATATACAAGGACCAAATAACTGCTGTTTTGGGGCATAACGGAGCTGGAAAGACAACCTTGATGAACATCCTCACTGGTTCGTTATGAACTTTATAAACTAAATTTTTACTTTGTCTTTCCATACTTATTTCTGCCTTTACAGGGATGACGCTACCGAATTCAGGCTTTGTCGTGGTGGACGGCGTTAATGTGAACTTATGGAAAACGGAATATAGGAAAAAATTCAGCTACTGCCCCCAGAAGAATCTTGTCTTGCACAGTCTCTCTGTCAAAGAGCAGATAATTTTTTTTGGAATAGTAAGTCCTTTCAACAGGAAAGAAAAAAAAATTCAAAGCACATTATTACAAATTTATGCTCTGAGAAAAGTTGTAGTACGATAATCCTAATCTGTCTTTGATCGAACTACCTCACAGTGTTATAATTTAATTTTTTTTTCTAGATGAGTGGCTTGTCAAAAGATGTCGCAGAAGCCAATGGGTCTCAATTAATGGAGAAACTTGATTTGGCCAAACAAAAAAACTTACTTCCTAATCGTTTGCCAGAAGGAGTAAGACGCAAACTTGCTCTTGCCAATGCTCTTATAAGTAATCCTCGTGTATGTTTACTAAAATTCACAATAAGAGTAGTCATTGAGATAATAATTAAAATAAAAAAAATCCTCTAGATACTATACCTTGATGAACCGACTACAGGTCTTGATCCTAAGTCTAGAAGACAAATTTGGGATATTTTAATAGTAAGGTGTAATACTTAAAAAAAAATATGTATCTATATATATTTTTTTGTATAGAGTTTTAAAGGAGAAAAGACAATTATTATAACTACTCATATCATGGAGGAAGCTGATGTCCTGGGGGACCGCATCGCAATAATGGCCCATGGTGAGCTCAGATGCTACGGTACAACATTTTTCCTGAAGAAGCTATTTAGTAATATTGTTTTAATAATTTTTTTCAAATTAGAATTTTAATAAAATAAATTCTAGGCGCAGGGCATATGATTTCGGTATATTACCTGAGGCGAAAGTATCACCGTAAGATCGTGCAACTTTTAAAACAATACTCAGATGTGACGATAATCGAGAATAAGGATTTCAAGCAAATCTCCTTCAACATTCCTTTGGAAACGACTTCAAAGCTGTCTGGAATCTTAAGACGTATTGAAAATTCCAAACAGTTCAAAATCACCAGAATTGGCATATCGTCTACATCATTGGAAGATATATTTGTGAGGTATATAAATATAAAATTTAAAAAATGTTGACTAGGATAATGTGCATTTGTTGTGACAGAATTTCAAAAAATGAAGGACTTACGTCAATAGTTGAAAGGAGTGATTTTGACAAGATGTGCCATAAACAAACGACTATTGGAAAATGTAATAAAAAACACAAAATATTTAAACAAAAGCATTTTTATAAAAAAAAAGCTATTTTATTTTAGCTGCAAAGTGTTGGCAGCAGTATTACGCGCTATTTTATAAAAAACTACGTCACCTGAGATCAAACTGGGTCTTAATGATTGTTATGGTACTGTCTTAACATTGACTAATTTTTATTTTTCTAATAATCGTTATTTTTTTTATTTTCTCTTGTAGCTTTACTTAATACCTGGTATATATAGTTTGTTTTGTATGACAATAGTAAAAATATACTTTGGTTACCATTTTACTGTAAATCCATTCATATTATCACTTGAAAATTATGAACAGTCCAATGTTCTTGCAAGACTTGATAAACATAATTACACTGAGGATTCATTTTTACATACGATGAAGCAAAGTACAGATGTGCAAATCACAACAAATGATATCGTCACTGGTAAATTATCTGAACAATTTTATCAGCCTAATTTATTTAATATTAATTTTTCTTGTTGCTAGAACTGCTAAAAGCAGCAAAATATGATGAAACTAAGTATAGAAGTTCAATGATAATTGCTGCTGATTTCCTTGAAAATTTTACGGTCTTTTATTCATCGTTTGCCATTCATGCGCCTGCCATTGCTGTCAATGTACTTTTCAATGTGCTTACAAATTCAAGTATCCAAGCAATCAACTATCCATATCCATTTCATTTGGTAAGAACATTGATAAATTTACACAAGAATAGTTTTTATTTATTTATTGTTTAAATCCTTTGGATTAATAATTTTCAATCAGTTTTCTTTTGTAAAAGACTTTGTATTGGAATTCAGGAGTCTTGTGACCCTTCATCTTCGCAAGGCCTGCAACTGGCCACCATATGGATATGCTTTGGAATATGCTTGGCGATATGTCTATCTTATTTTTGCATTTATACATTGGTCGAGCGTAAAACAGGCGTGAAGCACCTGCAGTACATGATGGGCATAACACCGCTCACCTATTGGTCATTCCAATTGTTATTCGACTTTATGAAATTCAGCATTACTGTCTTCTTGTTTGTATTGGCTGTCTACCTTTACAATGAGGGCATATTTCAAACTTTCAACTTTTTAAGTAAGTATACTTACTTTATGTAAATATGTATGAAAAACATTCCAAAACTTGTGCTGTGGATTTGCATTTTTTTTTTGCTTCATGAATAAACTTGAGGAATGGCTAGTATATTATGTAACCTAACCCATTCCTAATTTTAATTTAACCTTTACCTAACCTAACCCTATCCTAACTGTATAACCTAACCCATCTATATCCCTAATCTAATTACAAACCTAAATCTTACCCTAAGCCTACTTAACCTAAACCCTTCCTAACTATTATGCTAAAACTAATCTGACCTTTCCCTAATCCTAAGTCTACCTAACCTGATCCATCCCTAACTGTAAAACTAAACCCACCTAACCTTCCCAGTCCTAACACTAATGCTACAACTACCTAATATGACCCATTCCTAACTCTATGCTTACCTAACTATACCTAATTTAACCTGACCTAACTTATCACTAAATCTGATGCTAAACCCTAACCATTCCTAACCAAACCCAACCCATGTGCATTTCTCGGTAACGTGAAATTGATGATGCCAAAATGCTCACACAAAACTATTTGTGTATCCAACCCCAAAACATATCCATCTAAAGATTTTAAAGGCCTTATAATCCTCAGCTTAAGATGACTAATTGTGCAATACAGTTCCAATAATCTTGCAAATTTTGAAATGGATTTTTATTTTATATATATTTTTTAGGTGTACTCATCATTGCGTTATTTTTATTTGGAACATGTATGATTCTTCTGTGTTATGCTAGCTCGTTTTTCTTTAAGAATTACAGTCTGGCACAAATTTGGGTGTCTGGGGTTGTGCTGTTGTTTGGTAATTCGCATGATTTTTGTTTTATGTGTGTATTTTATATTATTCCCCATTTTTTTCTCTAGCACCTGGTCCGGTGGTCATGGATTGGTTGACAAATTACAATAGTGTCGCACATTATTTATTTCATTTTTCCCCCCTGACAGCCTTCCTTGAAGTGATATGGCAAACGATGAAAATCGCAAGACTTAAAACTATTTGTTCAATATGCTCGACGGAATCTTTAAGAGATGTTTGTAAAGGTTTGTTATCCTTTTCAATAATAGAGTTCTTTTAGTTTAATAATTCTTTGCCTTTAGAAGTCAAAGAACCACCGCTTCTCACATTTAACATAAAAACACTAATTATTTGGCTTATCGTCGATTGCATCCTTTACTTCTGTCTCCTCATGCTCTTGGACTCCCACTACTTAAGAGCATTTGTCTCTCGAAAGCAAGGGTTTAAATTAGAAAGTGTTACCAGTATGGACAGCGATGTAATGTTTGAGAGACAAAAAGTTGAAGGAAAAATGCCCATACAAACAAAAAGAAAGACAAGCAGTAAGGTTTAAAATCAAAATCAATAAAGACATCGTATTAATTATATTCAATTACCAGCTCCTGATCAGAAAGAAAACATGGCGAGTTTAGAACATTTTGCCAAATTCAATGCATTCGATGATAAAAAATCACCGAAAGGTAAATAGCTAAGTTTTATGCCTCTCTTAGAAACGATATTATAAATTAGTTTTGCATAATCTAAGTACAAGAGTGTTAAGTCTTGAGAATGTTGGCTCAAATATGTCAATACATAATGAATTTTCTTTTTAAATCCAGGAGGAGTAAAAAGTGACTTGGCCCATGAAAATATCATGAAGCAGACATCTCCAGAATTGCTTAAAGGTGAAAACTAGAACCATAGTTTAAATTCTACATAACAATAGTCTTCAATAGAAATTTGGTTAATTTAGTGTTCATAAGGCTTATGGTTTAGGCTAATTTAATGTTATGGCGATGATGATGAGGCTAGTATAAAGCAGGGGTTTGGTATTACCGAAGCACTGCAGCCTTTTGGCTTATTGTACTTTTCCTAGTACCTTAGTTCAGTTCAATTAACTTGATCCTTCTTTTAAGGATTCAATAATTTTCTTGTGTTAAAAAAAAAGCCCATGATAGAATTACACCAGTGTGGGTAGTTCAAAAACAAAAGTAACACTTTTTTTAAAAGAACTCCAGCCTTGGGGGGGGGGGAACACCTCTGTTAATTCTGACAAATAAACATCCAAGCTTAAATAGTCATATCCAATAGTGGAAAGTTTTTAACAACGGCTAAATTATTATTATTATTATTATTTTTTAACGAGGTTATTTGAACCCTAGGGGTGCCGGTGTTTTTGAAAAAAAAAAGCCCATTTGTAAGTATGTTGGATTCGAATGACTCATAAGAATTACAATTGACACTGCCTTTAATAATTTGAATAGGCTAAACCAGCAACGCTGTTTTGTATTGCATAAGTGTTGGTCTTTAGCGCCGTCCAGTTCAAGATCTTACGATTTTTTAAAAATATTTTTTATTATTTATTTATTATTTTTTTACGAGTGTATTTCGGTGGTGTTTATACCAAAAGTGGGAAAAAAAATACCCCACATCCTCCAAATCCTACAGACCAGTCAGCTTAACATCCTTTTTATTAAAGACCCTTGAAAAGCTGATAGACAACTATATAAGAACGACAGCACTGGTAAACAAGCCTCTCCATTACTGTCAGCATGCATACAGAGCAGGAAGATCAACAGAAACTGCACTGTACCAACTAATCAGTGACCTAAAACACTGGAAACAAAAGAAATATCAATCTGCGCGTTCCTCGATATTGAGGGAGCTTTCGACAATGCATCTCATGTATCAATGGAAGCCTCCCTGAGGAAAAAACACGTAGACCAAACCACATCTAGATGGATTGGAGAACTTCTAAGAACCAGAATAGCTGAAACAAATATAGGAATAAACACTATAAAAGTTAGAACAACAAAAGGATGTCCTCAAGGAGGGATATTATCACCTCTTCTATGAAGCCTAACAGGTGATGAACTGCTCGAAACCCTGGACCGCTCAGGAATAAAATGTCAGGGATATGCAGATGACATAGTGACAGCCAGGGGAAAATTTGAAGAAACCCTCTGCGATATAATCCAAGCGGGACTGAAAATCACAGAAGAATGGTGTAAAAGTGCAGGCTTGGGGATTAATCCAAACAAAACAACTATAATCACTTTTACACGGAAAAGAAAGCTAGATCACATGAAAGAAATCAAACTAAACAACACTGTGATAGAAATCAAAAATGAAGTCAAATATCTGGGCATCACACTAGATAAAAAACTAACATTCAAGAAACACATCAGCTCCATTATCACAAAGGCGACCCGAGCTTTAATGGTGTGCAGAAGAATAGCAGGGAGAAACTGGGGATGTAGGCCAGAAACCCTGTTATGGATGTACACCATAATAGTAAGACCTTTACTTACATACGGAGCTATAGCCTGGGCTGATAAAGCAGAACAAATAACCAAAAGGAAAGAACTCACAAAAATTCAGAGATTTGCATGCATCTGCATAACAGGAGCAATGAGAACATGTCCTACAATTAGCATGGAAAAGATATTGGGACTAANAATAGGACTCACCGATGTGCTTTAGGCAGAGCACGGGGGATACAATAGCTCTCAAAGGGCGCAGTATACTATACCCTGAAATTACATCTACATCTACATCTTAGCGCCGTCCAGTTCAAGATATTACGATTTATTTTATTTTTTAATTTTTTTTTTTACGAGTGTATTTCAACTACGAGGTTATAAGAACCTTGGGAGTGCAGGTGTCTTTGCAACAAAAAAAAGCCCATTTGTAAGTATGTCGGGTTCGAACCCGAGACCTTACAGTGATGAGCGCGTGTCGAAAGCCTAAACCGTTGCGGCCACCGACCCTCCCCTGCAAAAAAAGAAAAATTAAAATTCACTTCTATCCTCAATAGAGTAATAAATAATTAATTAACTTATAAGAATTACAATTGACACTGCCTTTAATAATTTGAATAGGCTAAACCAGCAACGCTGTTTTGTATTGCATAAGTGTTGGACCCTAGCGCCGTCCAGTTCAACATCTTACGATTTTTTTAAAAATATTTTTTTATTATTATTATTTTTTTTTACGAGTCTATTTCAACTACGAAACTTTATGAACCCTCGGGGTGCCGGTGTCTTTGCAACAAAAGAAAGCCCATTTGTAATTATGTCGCGTTCGAACTCATGGGCTGCTGGATTCGAACCCTTGATTTTTACCTTACAGTGGTGAGCGCTTGTCAACCCTAAACCTTTGCGGCCACCCAAAAAACTTTTAAAACTTGTACCTACACTCAATAGAATAAAATTAATTATTTAACTTATAAGAATTGTACTTTTCACTGCCTTAAATGAATTGATTAGGCTAAGCCAGCAACGCTGTTCTATATTGCATAAGTGTTCGACCCTAGCGCCGTCCAGTCCAAGATCCTACGATTTAAAAAAAAAAAAAAATTCAACTGCAAGGTTATATGAACTCTCGGGGTACCGGTGTTTTTGCAAAAAAAAAAAAATCGGTTTTGAACTCTTGGCTACTGGATTTGAACCCGGGACCTTTGCCTTAAACCTAGTCCACACTAAATTGCGTGTCTTGGCTGCGGGGCTGAATCTCCTTTGAATCACAGGAATGTTCAGATTCATCCCTGCAACATATCTCCTTGGATCTGGAGTGTATTGCAGGTATACAAGATTTTGTCCCATCGAAACGGGATTCAGTGATACAATTTTGCGCAACATTGCAAGTGCAGACGCATGTCTGGGAGCAGCTGGAGTGTGGTTGCAAGTTTCACACTAGGGGAAATTTAATTTATAAATTTTGTGTTTTCTTTAAACACCTTCGGCACAACCATTTGCAGCAAGTTTTCAAAATCTTTAGGTGTATCATTAAAAAGTTGGGAAATCCCATTCCATCTACTAGTCTTAATGTGCCCAAAAGATTGTGGCATGGATTGTTGTTACTAAACAAATTTCTGACCCACCATCTTCTTTGATTCCTATTTTTAATTAATAATAACAATGACAGAGAAACATCTGCGATTCCTAACTCCTGAGACATTTTCTACGGAATTGCCTCTGTAGTGTAGATGTGACTTATTGTCATGGGGTAGCCCCTGCGAGTCGGTGAACACATATTGAGTCAGCACAGGGCCTCTTACAAAAAGTACCCGCAAGTGGAGACAGAACTCTGAAACTCAGGCTCCATAACTTTTTTAAAGAATTTAGTTATTACACTAAACATTAAATAATTTCCCTGTGTTAATAATAGTAAAAGCTCATAAAAGTAACATTTTTCTTTCAGTAGATATAGAAAAGAACTTGGGACTTGCAAATTTCAAGAAAACATCACCGGAGAGCCTAAAAAATAATGATCCAAGCTTAAATCCAACAGTTACATCTAATAATGGTAAGTTTTTAAAACAGCTTAGTTATTTTATTCTGATTTGTATTATTAAAATAAACTGAAAAATTTAAACTAACCTAGCCTTGCTTAACCCTAACCGTTCTTAACCTAACCTAGCCCAACTCGGTAAGGCAAAAATAACCGAACATATCCATGTTTATTGATTATCTTTAGATTCATAACCATTAATAATTAAAACATTTTATAACTTCCTTGAGTCCAAAAATGAAAAACTCATAAAAGAATTATGCCTTTGTAGTTTGAGTACCAAAGTAAAACCTTTTATTTCTTTGTAGAAATAAAAATTAACTTGGGAAATATCAAGAGACAGACATCTCCGGGCTTTTTTAACAATAAACATCTTACCTTAAATCGTACAGTTTCACTTGATGATAGTTTATAATAGCGATTTATTCAATTTATACTAATTAAATAGAAACAATTTGTAAAAGAGTAACACTAGTTTACCAATACCAAAATAAAACTTTTCCAGTAGAAATACCGAGTAACTTGGGTCTCACGTTTGTCAAAGATTCAACACCTCCGGAATATTTAGCAGATAATCAGCCTACCGTAAATCTAATGGTCATACCTAATAATAGTAAGTTTTTAATACCGTTTTGGCTAAGTTGTTAATTTTCAAACGTTAAGTTGAACTGAAAGATATAAATATGTCACTGATGTTTGTCAGTGTTAAAACCATTTTTGGCGCTTAATCGTTCCCTCAAGAACTCAATCATTTTCTTGTGTTAAAATGAAAAAACATACGAAAGAGCCAAATACAAAATATGACTTTTTCCAGTAGATAGAGAAAGAAATGTGGGCATTGCAAAATTAAAATAATTAATATGGTCAATTATGGCTTACTTGTTTATTTAAAAGCTAAACTATCTTTAGTCAATATTAAACCTACCCTTGAGTAAAAAAAATAAATAAATAAAAAAAAAAGATTACACCATTGTAGTTCAAGTACAAAAATTTGGCTTTTTTCCAGTAGAAAGAGAAAGTAATGTGGATCTTGCTAGTGTCCAGAGAACGACACCTGAAATTCCTAAAGATAATCGTCCCAGCATAAATTCAACAGACATAGCTAATAATAGTAAGTTTTAAATACCAATTTGGCTGTTGTTAATTTTTAAACATTAAACTGAACTGAAAGATATAAAAAAAGACACTGATGTTTGTCGATATTAAAATGGTTTCGGCTTAATTCTATATTTAATAATCCAATAATCTTGCGTTAAAAAGAAAACACTTATGATGGAGTCAAATACAAAACTATGACATTTTTCCAGTAGAAAGAGAAAGTAATGTGAGCCTCGCCAGTGTTCAGAGACCGTCACCTCCTGGAATTTTTAAAGATAATCGTTCGAGCTTAAATCCAACAGTCATGCCTGATAATAGTAAGTTAAATTTTGGCAATTTAAAATGTCAAATTGATCTGAACGATTTTAAAATTGTCAATGATGTTAAAAAAGGAAATCTTATGGAAAAAATTATACTGGAGTTGTTCAAATATAAAATTTAAACTTTTTTCCAGTTGAAATAGAAAGTAACTTGGATCATTCAACTATCGAGGATCGGACACTTCCAGAAATGATCAAAGATAAAAGACCTAGCTTAAATCCAACAAGATTTTCTAATAATAGTAAGTTGTTAACATAGTGTTTGATTTTTCTTCTTATTTTCAAACTTATTAGTTATCTAAATTTGAAAGCCTTCTTATAAAAATAACTAGCTCAATTTCAATAATAAAGAAAATTATTAAAATTAATCAAAACATTAGATTAGTTTAAATAAAAAACATATTTTTTAACAGGAAAGATAAAATAAATAATTGTACTTTTTCCAGTAGAAATAGAAAGTAATTTGGGGCTTACAAACATCAAGAAGCCGACATCTTCAGAATATTTAAAGGATAAACGGCTTAGCTTAAACCCAGCTGATGAACTTAATAATAGTACGTTTTTATTACCTGCCCGGTATTGTGCTGTCAAAATAGTTTAATGCATTTAAGCCAAACTGAAATTTTTGAAAAGGAAATGGCATTTTGGTTTTACTTTGGTATTTCAACTAAAATCTTCATTCACTTGTCACCTTTATTTTTTTCTTTAGTGCAAGAGAACAAAAATCTGATCAATGTATGAATAAAATCGTCTTTTAAATTATTATTTAAACTATTGGTAGATCTGGTGAACTCTAAATAAAATTTGATGTCAAAAGTCAAAGTGCTTTTTTACTTAATATTTATCCCATAAATGTTTCAAAGTGGATTTTTTCAAAACTAATGTTCAAAAATGTCGTTAGAATAAAGAATAAATATAAGCACTACTATTAAATAATTGTATACTTATACATATAAAATAATTTTTAAAAAATGTCAATAATATAAATAAAATAAAGATTTTTTTTCCCATTAGCAATAGAAAGCAATTTGGGCCTTTCCAATTTCAAGAAACAGACACCTCCTGAAGTTGTTAAAAATAAACATCCAAGCTTAACTCCAACGGACATACTCAACGATAGTAAGTTTGTAAAATAAACTGAAATATATAAAATTAAATTATGTTATTGTTCGTATAGAAATGTTTAATTTGGTGTCGTTTACGCACAAAAATATATAATTTTAATTATCTATTAATAATTTCACATTGGATGTCTCTGGTCTTAAAATTTATAGTCAAATATAATAATGTCTCTTCAAAAGAAATAATTACAAATAATCTAAGAGAGGAAGAGATAATGTAGATTTGGATTAATATCCAAGAATAGTAAAGAAACAAAGTAAAAATAACAATTTCACAAGTATATTTTCTGCCAAGATGACATTTGATCAATGCCACTTCTACTCTTTGATATCTATACAAAGCCACATTAAGGAAGCATATGTATATCTAAATTATAGCAAATTAAATGTTTGTTATAGCAATAGAAGGCAATAGTCTAACTACAAATCAGCAACCTTTGAAAATAATACAAGAAAAAGAGAGATCAACTTCCATTAACACATTTAACAACAGTAAGTTTTTATTATTACATTGGATGATTCATATTTATATAATTTTTTTGAATGCACGAAGTAGATTTAGGAAAGAAGATAAGTGAAAAAAATTGAATGGCTTTAATATTTAATTTTTTTTTTCAGTGGGAAAAGAAAGTAACAATTTAGGGCTTGTAAGAAGCAATACTCAGACCTTTATGGATGTGCCAAAAGTAAACTGGCTTATGAGGGATTCTTTAGACTTGCAATATAGTAGGTTTTTTTTTCAATTCAATGCAAGGTCAATAAGGTTTATGTCAAACAATAAAATATTATTACTGATTATTTGGAGATCGTGAGATGCGGTCTGGTGTGACGTAGGTTTTAGAAAAACATTTTCTTTATCGTGCCAACGTTTCGATCTTTATTGAAAAAATCTTCAGACCTCAAAGTGTTTTCTGTGCAGATGTGTATGTTGTATTGAGAGTGGTCAATAAACACCACACATTTTTACTGAAATTTACGATTTGCTGAGGTTTAAGGAATACATTAAACTTGATTAAATTATTAGTATTACTTTTCTTTTAATTGACTGAAAATATTGCATGTTTTTTCAGTTGCAAAAGAAAATAACTTGGGAATTGCGAGCCCAGTGAATCCGATTCCAGATGTCATGATAGATAAATGGCCTAGTTTAAAACCAACAATTATATCGAATAAATGTAAGTTTAAAAAAATATTTATCTAATTTTATCCACTAGCTAGGCTTAAGACGAATTTCACTAAAAAATAAATTATTCAATGGGTAATTCCCTTTCCTTCCATATATTTAGATATAAAAATAAGAGGGGCAAACTAAATTTTTATATTATCATATTTTTATCTCTGGTCTGCTTGTTGATGACCCTGAAATGTGATCAACACCAATCTTTTTGATTTGTTGATAGGCAGCAAGGTCACTGCGTAACATTTGTAAGTAGATCATAATGATATTCAGTTTTTTTAAACATGGATTTTTTTTTTTTTTTTGGTAGGTAGACAACTTTTTGCAGGATACTGGCTTGTTTAGGGTTAGCTTAGTTTAGACAGGTTTAGGAAAGGGTTAGGTTATGCCAAATAGTGTTGAAGGTACATTAGTTTATGCAAGGTTAGGGTTATAGACGGGTTAGGCATATTAAGTAGAGATAGAGTTAGGCTACTTTTGGTAGGGTTAGGGTATGTTAAGTAGTGTGAAAGTTAGTTTAGTAGAGTTAGCATGAGGTTAGTAAAGGCAGGTTTAGATTCGAGTTAGGATATGTTATGTAGTATTAAGGTTAGGACAGGCCAGTTAAGGTAAGGTTAGGGTTTGGGGACAGGTTATATGTTATGCAGTATTAGGATTAGTTTAGGTTAGATTAGGCAGGGTTTAAGGATGAACTAGGTTATATGTTAAGGTTAGGTCAATTTAGGTGCCATGATTAGAGTTAGGGTTGAGTTAGGTTATGTTTAGTAGAGTTAGTGTTATTCTTTAGTTAGTGATATTTGTAATGGGTAATTTTATATTAATTTTTTTTCCAGTAACAACAGAAAAATTGGCGAGTACAACCAATGACCCATCGGCAAATGCCCATGATAATAGTAAGTATCAATATTATTTCTAATTCCGCTGGTATGCCTTTCTGCATGATCATTGCTGGTTGTCAGGTCTGTCACTTGTATATATGTGCTTGTATAGACGCCGAAATGCATCTAGCACAGGAAAAGTTAGAGATATTAGATTAAAACTTCACAATGATAGTTTTAAGCCTAAAATGAAAGTTTTATTCTATTCAAAATATCGCTGATTTGAGTATATCGTTATGATTGACAACAAAAGGGAAAAATGCTTGATGACAGGTATTTTTCATAAGAGTAAAAATTGTGCCAAGTGTTGTCAAACTTTAAAAATATATAACAATCAATTGGAGAAATCCTTTTTTATTTTTTCACTTTTCATTATATTTTTGTTCTTTTCCTTTCCAGGAAAACAGTCGGGTACAAAGACAGGTGAAACTAACACAGGAACAAGCAAGAGCAACGTTGAACAAATAACTGGAACCCAACCATCAGAAGGTAAAAATAATTTATGATAAAAGTAAATATAATATATTGTACTGCTTTGTTATTACATTATTTATCAATAATTTCAGATTTAGTAACATCGTCAGATCCATCTAGAATGTTACACAATACAATAAAGGTTTCACCTAACCCTTCTAAAAGTTCACATGGTTCACATTCCAGTAATCTGGGTAATCAAAAAATAGAAAATAGTATATTTTTAAACAAAATGGAAGATTTATTTATTGGTTGTTCTTTTTAGAAAAACCTTTAGTGATGGTAGTCGACAATTTGGGGAAGAAGTATTCTGCACAAACAACAGCGGTTTATGATGTCAGCTTTACATGCCTGAAGGGTGACTGCTTGGGAATAGTCGGACCTCACGGGGCCGGTAAATCCACACTGTTTATGATGATCACCGGTTTGATAACACCAACCAAAGGCGATGTAAGACTATATTTGGCAAGCAGATCTCTCAGCATATCTGAAAACAGAAGAGAGTTTCTCTCATACCTTGGCTACTGTCCTCAAATCGACAGCCTCAGCATAGAACTAACTGGGAGAGAGATACTCAAATTTTTTGCCCTCCTCAGAGGTATACCAATCAGAGAGGTTGAACAAGTTACAAATGCCTGGATCAAGAACTTAGGTTTTTTTAAATAAAATTGAAAACTAGATCACGCTTTAAACATTATTTTTTACAGATTTGCAACTGTACGGTGATAAATTGTGTGGCCAGTATAGCAATGGAAATAAACGAAAGCTGTGCACAGCTTTGTCTCTAATTGGAAATCCATATGTAGTCCTCCTCGATGAGCCTACAAGTGGCATTGATACTGTCACGAAAAAAAAACTGTGGGTTCTTTTCAAATACTTTCAATCCTTGGATGAAACCTTAGTTTTAAACACGCACAGGTAATTTCAAAACTTTCTTACATTAGAAATAAATTTAAAAAAAAATGTTTACAGCATGGAGGAATGCGAAGTTATTTGCAACAAGATAACTGTGATGATTAACGGCACTTTGAAATGCATTGGTAGCATGCAACATTTAAAAAACAAATACACGCATGGTTTTACTCTATACATTAAAATCAACAATATTCAAACTTCAATAAAACTTCCGTTTCTGAAATCAAGTTTAACAAATGTTTTCAAAGAAAACTGTCAACTCAAATATGAGGGCGAGGTTGGAAAGTGTTTTAACTATTTTTTCCCTTCAAATTTTTTCAAGCTAATTTCCTTTTTTTAGGGTTTTCTACACTATCATGTGAATAATGACAATTTAAAATGCTACGAATTGTTTGAAAAGATGGAATCTATCAAAAGCTCATGTGATCTTATTGATGAATATACGATCAGTGATACAAACTTGGAAAAAGTATTTATAGACCTAGCTAATGAAGGGGACAAATAATAAAAAATATTTTAAAAAATTTTGGTACTCTTTAATGACAATATTTAACCAAATGTTCGAAGATAAGACATACCAGACAGACAAGACAGATAAAACATCACACACCGAGGAAATTGTATATTTCTGGATCGTTTTGGACGGTGAATCTGATTTAATATATCATCCCAAGATATTAAAGGTTTAGCCATATATACTTGAATAATTTTTTTTTAATAAAGAAAAGGGTAGCTCGTACTTGAAAAATTTATTAAATTGTCTTTGTCACATTTCTTCAGGGAAGAGTCATACACTTAGGCAAATTTTCAACTTGACCATTTCTTCTTATAAAAATGTACTGTGTCATCTGACGAGAACTCAGCATACAAGAGACAATTTTTTTATTTTTGTTTTAGAGGTTGGTTAAGTTGTCTATACAGCAGATTTTATAACATCTTAAGACCTTGAATCCTCGAAGGAAACAAATTCTGATCTGATATGTACACATTTGAACTTGAGAACCTTCGTCACGGGTTCTCACAAAACAACACTGGCCCTTGTCAGGCTTCTAAATTTTTATAAAATGCTAAGTTCTCAAACTTTCTGATGGTAGAATTAGTTGAAGAGAAGCAGCTTAAATAGTTGCTTAACCAGGTTAGGTTTTTAAAGGTTAAGTTAACCTCGGGTAACTATAATAAAACATTTTCAATTCCAATGACTGACTAAACCAAAAACACTTTTACGGTTTTAGAACATTTTTATTTAAGCTATTTATTTTTTCTGCATTGTGTCAAATGTTTGAATGTCAGCCGATGCGAAAATAATATAGTGCATATTAGTGAGACTCATGATAATGAAGCAAATCCAGAAAACTCCTTTCCATTCATCCATGGAGTTCTAAAAAAAATTGTAATGGGTTTTAAATTTTATTTTAATGCAAATTGACTAGTACGAACATTAGGTGTGAACTGAGTCGTGAAGAGAGTCACAAGAATGCCTGCCAAAGCTCCACAGAAGTGTGCCATGGCGCCAATGGTACCGGCGAAATTCTGCGCAATGTCTATAGGGTTCATTTTGAGAGTCGGATAAAAGCAGCCCATGAAAAAGGTCCCGACTGCTATCAGCACAATAGAAGCCAGTCGGTTGCATCTGGTATAAGCTGAGAGCAAAATCCCAACAGAAGGCATAATACTTGCTATAAAAAATTAAAATATTTTTAAATGTTTTTTTCGAGGGAAAAACAATTTAACAGTTTTACCTAGGGTAGCCCCTATTTTCCTGTTCATAGTCAATGATACTATTCTTTTTTTTACTGCATAGTCACAAAGTACACCGCTTAAGATCCCGGCTACCCAAATTATTAAGTGTATACTGGCGTTTATCAAACCATTCTGAACCAAAAAAATGATATGTGAAATTTCCTTTTGAAATTTATTTTATCGATCTTATCTAATATATTTTCTTAACAAGTAGCCAGAAAAAAGCCATTATGTTTCATTTGAACAGAATTAGATGTCAAGGAATAAAATTTATCATTTCAACCTAAATATACTTTTTTTAAATTACCTGTTGGCTATTATAATTTAAAACTGCACTGATAAATGTTGGCAGAGCAGTTATCATCAAAAATAGACACCAATTGTGCCCGAACATAGCGATTGATATGCTCCAAACAGGATTGTTTGTCATTATGGCAACACAGGGTGTATTCTTTTGTTCCTGTAAGCACATTGTTATAAATTAAAAAAAAAAAAAAATCTGCGTTTGGTAGATTGACATACAGGCTTTAGCAGTTTCATGCTGTTTATGTGCTCAGTGAGTAACTTTTTTTCTTTCGGCTTGAGATATGGATTGTCTTCTGGTCTGTTATAAGTTGTGAACAAAAAAATAACCCCGATAAATATGCCACTAGATCCATACAGATAAAACAAAATGGGCCAACTTCCTTTAAAAAACCAAAGTATGTTGCCGGAACATGAAAAGTTAATTGCATTTCCTATATAAAGCCCTGGAATTAAAAAAAATTAATTAATTATATTGTTGGGGTCATTTACCTCCCCTCATTTACCAGAAAATATTATTGTCCCTAAAACACTTCTTTCTTTTTTTGGAACCCATTCAGCAACCATTGTGTGCAATGCAGCATAAAACAACCCCTAAAAAATTATTCAAGTTTATTTTTGTCATTCTGCAATACCAGAAATAATATTGACTTTTCTGGAAGTTTAAAAAATCCCAAATAATTTTTTTTAAATCACATGTTTTTTTTTTTTTTTTAAAGAAAGGTGTCAGAAAAAAGTAAGTTGGATGATACCTGTGCCATGCCGAGGATAAACCTTAGGAGGATCATACCCCATACGCCGTGATGATATGCAAAGAAAGGCTGCAATACGGTGGATAGTCCTGAAATTAGGAGGCCTACAACGACCGGGGTTTTGAAGCCGATCTTATCGGCCAGTATGCCCGAGGGGATCATGCTCAGGGCATAGCCGGCGAAGAAGGATGACTGGAGGAAGGAAATGTCACGTGCCGACCAGTTAAAATCATACAGCTTATCCAACGGTTTCAGAAAACTTGAGGTCGTGATGTTGCACGTTGAATCTTTTATGCTCTTCGTGGGTTTGGTCATTTCAGTCAGAGCTATTGATGTGCAGAATCGCATCATATAGCTGATCGCCAATGCGAAAAATGCTTCGATTGAAACCAAAACTCTATGAGGTATACGGTCTAGACAAAAATAAAATAAGACTTATATACATCAGTTTTTCATATATTTTATATTGGTTAAAGTTAAATAAAATGTGCACTTTGGTCATCATTTGATCATCTTTGATGATACAAACTCACCACCTTGCAAACAAAAATATATCTAAAATTTGCTTACGTAAAGGTATGACAAATTGCATGACGAAGTTTGCACAAAGTTCTGGGAAATAATTCCTTTCTTATCATCAACCAAACTATAAATAAATAAATAGCAACTAAAGGAAAAACTTGAACATTTTCTTTTCAAAACATGTGTTCATATCTGTGATTATGTTAACAAAAAAATTTAATTAAAAAAACACTTGAAGGAAATTCAGACATGTGCGAATTTTAGCAGTATTTTCTCGAGTAAAGAAATCCAAGCATTCCTCAAAAATGATAAAAGTTGCCTGAAAATATAATTAAAACCGTACTAATAAGGTTAAGAAAAAAGGATAAAAATGAGTGATATGCTTAAGAAATTTTACAATTTGTGCTCCATGATACGAAAGCCTGCTTACAAAAAGATCAGGAAAAAAATCCACGCTAAATTAAAATACCAGCCATTTGAATTGATCACCACTCATGGCTCTTCAAGGGAAAATTACAGTATACTTCTGAATTCAAATGATCTCTCAATTGCTGAGAACATCACACAAACAATGTCAATAGGTGATCCTAGGGGTGAACAGATACCCACAAATATTTAAAAACAAAGTAAATAACCAAATTGAAAAAAAAAAGTTAAAACAAGATATAATATCGTTTCCCCCATACTCAGCCCCAGTTTTGGTTGTCTCAAAAAAACTGACGCCTCTGGATAAAATAAAGTGGTGCTTAGTCATCGAATACCGCAAGCTCAACAAAAAAACTGTTGAAGACAAACATCCGATACTAAACATAACAGATCTACTCGAAAAGTTAGGCTGATGTAATTATATCACGACAATCGACCTTGCATCGGGTTTCCATCAAATTGAAATGGACAAAAACAGTATACAGAAGACCGCATTTGCAACGGAAAATGGACTATATGAATTCCTACATGCCTTTCGGACTAAAAACCACCCCAAGGACATTCAAAAGAATGACGAACCACATATTACGAGGACTAAACAGCAATGCACAGTAACTTACACGACATAGTCAGCCGACATAGACATAGTCAGCACAAGCTTACAAGAACATATAGTCCATCTCCTACTCAAAACTATTCCCAAACAAAAAGATTTCTCGGTCCATTAGGGTATTACAGAAAATTTATCCTGAACTTCATACCACTCGATGAAGACATTAACAAAACGTTTAAAAAAAGGCGCAACAATAGACATACATGACCAAGCATACCAGGAACATATGCAAAAATTTACTCATCAACGAACCTATCCTAAAGTACTCAGACTTTACCAAAACATTCCATTTGACCAATGATGCTAACAACATTGCCCTTGGCACTGTGTTGAGCCAAGACTTTGACGGGCCAGACTTACCTGTGGCATATGCTAGCAGAATACTTTCAAACACTGAAATGAATTTGTCCAAAATAGAACGAGAACTACTTGCTATCGTATGGGCAGTAAAATACTTCAGGCCCCACCTATACGTAAAAAAATTTCTTATTCTCTCCGAAAACAAACTTTTGCAGTGGCTTTTCTCTCCCTAATTGACCCTACACATATGGATAACTAATCTGGTGGAACAAAGCTCAACAAAAAGTAGCTACCCAAACATTAGGCAGCATACAAAGATTAGCAAACCTATGATCAAAGAGGCAATGAGAACAACCCCTACAAATGCATTCAAAACTCTGCTAAACCTACCTCCACTGGAAATATTTATACAAGGAGAGGCTAAGAAAAGCTCACTTAGGCTCCAAAAACAATTAAATATGATAGGAACTAAACAATTCGGGCATACAACTATAATCAACAAAATGAGACACTCATTATTAGAAATGGGGACTGATTATATGATCCCGGAAACATTCTTCACAACTTCCTACAAAGTATCAACAGACTATAAAGGAGAGGAAGAACACAGGAAAGCATCAGATACAATGATATGGTATACAGATGGCTCCAAAACAAATGAAGGAACCGGATCAGGCGTTTTCTGTACAAGCCCAAAACATGAGCAATCAAACTCATTAGGGAAGTACACTTCGGTCTTTCAAACAGAAATACATGCCATCAATGCTTGTCCCCTGGAAAATGTAAAAATCCATCCCTAACCAGCCCTAACCATCCCCAAATCTTAAAAGAGGTTACACTGGCAAAAAAATCCTCATAAGATCTGATAGCCAAGCAGCCATTAAAGCATTAGCTGTAAAAGAATCACATCGAAATTATAGTCAGTGAATGCATCCAAAATCTCCAAAACCTGGGGAACACAACAACCTGATGATATCTTGGGTGCCAGGGGACAGGGGAATTTTGGGTAATGAGTAAGCAGACCGTCTGGCCAGAGGAGGATCTGCAAGACCATACATAGCCCCGAACCTATTCTTGGGATAACAAAAACAAATATAGAATCCTCCATCACAGAATGGATCCAAACAGAACAAAAGGAGAAGTGGATAAACTCTAGTAGGGCTAGACATAGTAAACTTATGAAGAAACAACCCTCACCAAGACTGGCAAAATCATTGGCGCAATTGGAGAGGGCCAAACGCAGAGGGGTGGTAGGACTACTAACCGGTCACTGGCATTTGAGAAAACATCAACATGGTCAACTAGTGATCCCATCTGCAGATTATGTAATAAGGAGGAAGAAACAGTTACTCATATCATTTTCGAATGCGAAGCAACAGCTCAATGGAGATTTAAACTAATGTACGGAAAAAACTAGGGAATAAAATTGCAGCAGCGACAGTCAATGACCTGATACTTCTAAAGAGAAGGATTGAGTCTATTGTCTGAACTAAGGAACTAGGAAGGTACAATAAACCAGAAGGCTGCAGTGCCTGGGGAATACAAACCCCGCTTTCTAGTATCCTTTTTTACCATATGATACCAAATGACCCTACATCAAAATTACTGAGATGGAGACTAAAACTAGAAAAATATAACTTTGAGGTTAAATACAAAAAAGGACAATTAAATTCTAACGATTTCACATTCACGAATTCTAGACCTAGACGAAATCTTAACAGAAGTGCTAGAAGACAGAAACGCAAACTCACCAAACAATCAAATAAACGAAATTATTGCGGAACTGACCAATACAAGTCCGGACATTGATGTGACATCAATAGTAGCAAAACCACCGGATGATAGTGACATAGAAATGTTTCAAGAAGAAACTGACAGACATTCGAACTACCAAAGCAACGTAGAAATTGAGGTACCTATCGTTGAAGGACCAATAAATTAATGTACAAACCAAATCATAATGCCACTTGTAAACTTCCAACCAAAAAGGTACAAAATAATAAAATTATTCAATAACAAAACAAGGTTAATAGTATTTACGAAGACTTTTGCTGTATTATGAAACAATACTTTAAGGAATCTGAGTTAATACTATTCCATTACTGTACAAAACTACTGAAGGTAACCGAACAAAATGAGATGCTGGATAGGGATAGCGGATAGGGATAAGAGAGGTGGCCACAAAGCGTACTGAACCTCGACCTAAATAGATCTATTGTGCTCCTCTGTTAATTGTAACTCACTGGCCAGGTTCAGGTTATTAACCAGCCTACACAGCTTTGCCAGCGGTTCCTTGGTGTAGGATCTTGCTAGCACGTTTTTCTAGACCTAGTTGCAAGAATCTGCATCTACATAGACCTTCACAGAAACATAAAAAGTGTTCTGCGGTCACCTCCTCTTTCTGGCAGTATCTGCACAGTGTTTCTTCTGTTTGTTCTCCTATGCGGTGCATGTGCTTTCTTAAGTGGCAGTGCCCCCAACCAGACACCCACCCAAGGAGTTGTAGCCCACTCAATGTGGAACTGCAGCGACGACGGGTGGTATAATGTGGTCGGGGCTCGAGATCCCGAGACGGCTCACCTCGTGTCCTCATCCACGTCCCTTCTCAATCCAGGTTCCTTCATTCCTGTGATGTCCGGGCGCAAAATAAAGGTGTAACTCAGTGGGCGTGGCAGCCCCTCTAAAGCACAAGCTGTACTCGTGTCGGCCTCGGCGGCGGGTGCCTCCAGGGTTTAGCATATATTCAGCTTGTTTGCAATTTTTAAAGCAGTATAATATGTAGGTGCTAATGAAGTCAATGGCGAGACCATACTAATTTTGTCAGATTCATTGAGTGCGTTACAAAGCTTAGGGAACCTTAACTTAAAATCTGATATAAATCATTTAGTAATTTGGGTACCCCAAAAGGTACGAGAAGTTAAACAAACGAAAAACATTGACATCCGCTTTCTTTGGGTTCGGGGCCATTCAAGCATAGAGGGTAATTCAGTAGGGACAGAGGCATTGACTCCTATACCCCTACAGGATGCAAGGAGTAAAATCAGATCCCAAATGATAGAAAAATGGCGTACATATAACTCTGACACCCCTACGGGGGCTTTCTTTACTTCCATTAATCTCAATATAAACAAGAAGCACTGGTTTCACAACGTCAAATGGTCAAAGAAGGATTGTACTATTATGACTAGGTTAAGATCAAATCATGGGAACTGTGGAGTATATTTAGAAAGGATCTAACAACGTAGGGACAAATTATATGAAACATGTAAGGTAACTGAGAATCTTGAACACATCAGTATGATTTGTAAAAGATATTACAAGGAAAGGAGTTTGCTGTTTGATAGCTTGTATTTAATGAAAGAAGGAGATAAACCGTTCAACTATATATCGTTGTTACAATGAAAGAAGAAAAGGTTTACATGTATATAGTGAATTTTGTTCTACTTATACTAATCTATTTGTATGACAAGATCGGTAAACGGCCTTCACTAAAAATGTAAAATTTAGAAAGATATTGGGAGGGAGTGTTGAGTGAGGTCTGTGGGGGGGGGGTTTGCTGCGGGCGGATGGAGGAGTACTCCCTGAGCATATATAGCTCCGGTGGTCTAGGAGACGTGGACTTTTCCATAGATATTTCGATGTAAATGGTTTTTATCCACGTCTCCGTAGAAAGTAATTGCATAAATTGAAATTATTTAAGAAAGGATCAGCCCGCTTTATCCGCCGGTTCGTCCGTTGCTGCCGGGTCGGCTCCGCCCGGTCCTTCTTGACACTCCTACTTGTGGCCAATACTGAAATCGTAAGGCCAAAAAAAAAAATCTTCAACATTTGGCTTTCCTTTCCCTAGTTATCCCTGTCTATGCCGTACCATTACGCATTTTTCCCATCCTTCCATCTCAAAAAAGCCGATTCCTCATAGAAAAAATGTCTTTCTATCCCGATATCTTCCCCACCCCTTCAAAATCCAACGTATATCCAATATAAAACGTCAATATCTTACTGTCACTCTCAATACGACACACAAAAATGACACATCTGCACATTGAAAATCATTTTCTTTATCATGCCAACGTATCGACCTTTATTGAGATCATCTTCAGGGCCTGGGATTTCAACAAAAAGGTTTCCTGATTGATTCCGGATGCGAATTTCTTCTCTCAGTTCTCACGTTGAGTTGTTCGGTTCCAAGTGCGACCCACGCGATGCAGTACAAGTTACAACTACATAGATGAAGAAGGGTTGCCATTTTCCTAGAAGACCGTATTTGGATATGCTTACTTGTCCATTTAACTTTTTAAAAATATTCCAACTAAAGTCGACTGTAATTTCTTACCACACTTCATCCAAAATTTGTGCTTTGCAGGTTTCGGGCGCTATTGCAGGTCAACTCAATAGAGAAAAAATATAGCTGAAAATTGTAAATGATTGGTGGGTAAATACTTAATGACAATCAACGACCATTGCTGAAAAAGTTTAATCAATTTATTTTCCTCATTATCCAAAGTATTTTTTGTTTAAAATCCAAGACTAAAAAGAATCCCATACAGAGAAGCGGTCTCGGAAGCATCAAATAATTTGAATGTGCACGATCCGACCGTGACGTCTATAAATCGCAGACATTCGGTATAAATATATCCTCTTTCATTGGTGATCACACGGACTGTGTATTTTCTGTCACGACAAATCTTTATACCTTCAGATAAATAAGCAAAACGATAGTCACTCTGCCTGTTGTTGAACACCGTTTGCATTGAAATGTTTCGAGCGTCATCTTCTACATAAATCTTTACAATTTCAGCGCCTCGTATAAAATATTTTGAATAGTCAGAATGATAGTTCGCCTAAAAATTTAGTTCTATTAGACACATTAACAACTAAAACAATTTTGGACATTACCATGACACCCTCCAGCGTGATATCCTAATCGCAGGAAAACGTCACAAAATTTTCATAATTTTCAGTTTGAGGCTTCATTTTTCCAAAGACCAATATCAGAAATTGTAAAATTAATTTGTTTGTTTTCACGTCTCTCCTGTGTTCGGTGGAAAACCCAGTTGGGAGTGGGTTCGACCTGGGCGATGTCAGATGCTGATGGATCGCGACCGACTGGCCATTCGTCAAAAGAGGGCTGCGAGCAGGTCCTTCGGCAAAATGTTCGGCGTTCATGTCCTTGAAACAAATCTTTGGAACTATGTTGTCATAAATCATTTGCCGTTCTTCTGAGAACTCATCGCCGTTTATGCCTGAATACGATCAATTTCGGTGTTAAAAAAAAATTCATGGGCATAAAAATAACACACAAATTTGTACCGTTCTTACCCTTTCTTTTAAATTCCTCCTTCGTCCAAAGCTCCACAGCGTTAAAAATCTCTATCTCCGTAGCATTTAACGCTTTTTCGTCCAGAATCATCATCACAGTGGACATCTGGGCCCCTAGAAAGCCGGGTGAGTGTAGGACCGACGACGTTTGTTCGCAAATAATCTGCAAGCAAAACGGACACGTCATGAAAAGTATCAAATCGAGTTACGTTAATTGCTGATACTTGCATTTTTACATTTCACCAATATATCGCTGAGATTGAAGAGTTTAGCGAGCTCATAACACATACAAACATTTTCTGCGCGAACGTTCTGTTGCATATAAGCTTTGCACTGATTCGATAGTTTCATAATTCTGTATTTTTCGGCCAGATAGAAAATTCCACAAGCCTGATCCATTGATTTCATTTCTACCTCATCCGTGTAAATGTACCTAAGTGGAACACGGTATTATTAATTTTTTATTAATTATACATACTCTCTAATTACGTCAGCATTGCTTTGAACGAGTCTGGTTGTGCGTCGACGACTCGGATGTCCTCAGTGCTCTCAACAAACCGGCCTGAGAACATCGTCTCGAAAACTGGGCTGCACGTGGACAAGATCAATTTGTGTGCCTTAAGGCTTAAACTCCTGAAAAACGTAAACATTCTGAACAATTTTCATATCGAAAAAGAGTCATTTCGGGGTCACATCCTGTCCCACCACAGGTATAGACCAATGGGTAAAACATGGGTTAACAATGGGGCTTAAAACAGAAATTAAATTTCAACCGCTTTGACTACAGTCCACAACGATTTGTCGATGACCTGGCGGTTCTCCTTTTGACGAATAGGAAACTCCAGCTATTTCTTCTGCTATAGATTAGCTAAATCTATGCACACCCAACTGTACAAAGGGTGATGGCCTGTAGTGGCCAAAGTTGAGAATGGTTTGAGAAACATTGGCGTTGGGGCTAAATACATCATACGTGGCTAACATGCGGGAATAAAATGCGCAGTAGATAGGGAATTAGTTCCCAAAGACCTTGACCACTTCAACAAACTAATAAATTACACCCAGTCACGAGACTAATTCACAGTACCACAGGATACTCGATATTGCTATGGTAGTTACAAGAAAAAGATTACTTATTCTAAGTTGAAAGTAAAACTCAATATGTACAAATATATAATTAAATTCCAAAGAAACAGGTAAGGACAAGTAATTTTTAAATACTGATAACCGTGATAACTACATGATGACTTAGGGGATGTCGAATATAAAACAATTTATTTAAAGTTCTGTGCATCCAATTTTTATCCTCAATTCGTTCTATCAGTATTTTCGATCCATTAAAATTAACTATTGACACGTGGTTTTGATGAAAAAAAAAGAAGATAATAATAATAATAAATGTAGTTTTGTGAAAGATAAGAAGAATATCGAAATAGCGACCTTTCCAGTATTAGACTTTTTCTCCTGGTTTCATTAAATTCCAATTTAAGAAAAATTCAATATATGCAATTTCACGAGAATTTGGTCTTTAAAAATTTACCTTTTCTTTTCCGTCAGGTCCGACCTTGAATACGCAATCCGTATTTCCTGTCAAACCAGTGCTTTCGATTCGCCATTCTTCTTTTGCGCCCTCCATATTATTTTTGCCTTTGAAATACACTTACTCGCCTATCCTCGTTCTTATCCTATCAATTATGTGGTGTCTAATCAGTCTAAATTTTTGTTATTATTTTCTTTATCCAAAATTTTTCATTTAAAAGTTTTAACAGTCCTGTATTTCTGATAGTTGATTTTTGAATTGATTGATTTTTTACAATTAGTTGCATCGTTTCACCTTCATATTTTTCCAGTTACATTTTATTTTATAAAATGAATTACATATCCCAAATGTCTCAATTTATTCTTGTACATTCAGGAGGATACATTTAATTTAATTTTTTAAATAGATATGAGCTGTTATTTTTGAAAGTGGTATAAGTTCACTATCAGTTTCATATCATATGAGATGAAGACAAAAGATTTGAGCGATGTTAATCAAGATGGTTATGAGCTAAGAAGAGGATTAGAATTTTGGAATTTACTGATTCAACAACTGACAAAGGCGACATTACTAATTTTTGATCACATTATGAAAATAACGATCAGAAAATTAGGAAAATCAAAAGAAATAAAGGCCAAAAATATTATTTTTTGTTAGTATTATATTAGTATTCTGTCTATTGCTATTCATATACTGCTGATGCATTAGTAAATATTTAGTTTATTATTTAGCATTTTGCTATAAGTTTTACATTTAGTATATCATTATATTTATTTATCTTAATGCTATATATGTTTACTTTGAAGGATTTTGTAATAATTAATCCAAACTCAGGCAAATTTGTACCTTGCCGAATTAAGTTTGTTTTCTTGTATGAATTATTTGTATATTTTTTTATGTGTTGGTGCAATAAATGTATTTTTATTATTATCTTTGAAATCTGTATACACCACATTTTCCTTTATGAATCAGTCTGTAAAACCTCAGTCTTATCTGTCCAGAAACTGGGGTTGAGCTCCTGGATGCTAATTTTTACAAATGGAATTGAAATTTATTGTACGTCAGTTCAGCTTGTTTATAAGAAACTCGATTTCGAGTAACATTTGCTGGTTTCAGATGCGATCGGAGGAACTCAATGGAGAATAATCATAGCTGAAAATAGTAAATTATTTTGGTGGGTAAATAATAATAATGCGGTTTGTATAACTGTAGAAAAAGTTTAATCAATTTGTTTGAAAGATTATCCAAAGTGTTTTTTTATAATTCAAAGAGTAAAAAAGATCCCTTCCATAAAAAGGGGTTCAGAAGCTTCAAGTATATCAAATGTGCACGATTCGAAAACAAACTCAAATGTGTTCAAATATCTGGCCTTGCAAAATACCGATTGCTTGAAGTTCACACTGATTGTGTATTTTCTGCCACTACAAACCTTTATTCTTTTCGCAAAAGAAATCTTTTTTATGGTATAGTCATAACAATACATGCTGGAAATAGATTTGCTTTCAATGTCGGAAGTGTGATCTTTTAAACAAATCTCTATAAACACGTCATAGCAACTGTATTGTGACTTGCAATTAATCTAAAAAATTTGTTCTTTTAGATGCATTAACAACCAAATAATTTTAGCACATTACCAGGACTCCATCCAGCATGATATCCCTATTGCAGGAAAACGTCACAAAACTTATATCAACTGGTGTTGCATCTTTGACTGTGAAGACTGGCCAAAAAAGTTTAAAAGATCTTTCCATGCTGTTCCTGTGGCATGTGGAAAACCCAGTTGGGAGAGGGTTGGACATGGGTGATGCCAGATGGAGCAAGATCGCGAGCGATAGGTCCTTAGTCAAAAGAGGGCTGCAACCAGGTCCTTCGGCAAATTGCCTGGCCTTCAGGTTCTTGAAGCAAATCTTTGGAACTATGACATCATAAATCATTTGCCGTTCTTCTGAGTACTCATCACCATTTATGCCTGAATACAATAAAATTTGGTGTTTTTAAAAATGTCCCAGGTATACAAATAAACAAATCTTTATAGTTCTTACCCTTTCTTTTAAATTCCTCCTTCGTCCAAAGCTCCACAGCGTTAAAAATCTCTATCTCCGTAGTATATAACGTTTTCTCGTCCAGAATCATCATCACAGTGGACATCTGGGCCCCTAGAAAGCCGGGTGATTGGAGGACCAACGACGTTTCTTCGCAAATAATCTGCAAGCAAAAGCGACACAAAGTTACTCAAATCGAGTTATGTTAAAGTTATTATTATGAGTTATCTTATGAGTTATAATAAATGTTTATACTTGCTTTTTTACATTTCTCCAATAACTCGTAGAGATCAAACAGTTTGGCGAACTCATAACATCTACACACATTGTTCAGAGCCACGTTCTTAAACACATAAGCTTTGCACAGTTCCTGGAGTCTCATAATAATGTATTTATCGGCTAGATAGAAAATTTCACAAGCCTGATCGATTGATTTTATCTCTAACTCATCTGTGTAAATGTACCTATGCAAAAACTAATATTATTAATTTTTTATTAATTATACATACTCCCTTCTCTAATTACGTCAGCATTGCTTCAAAAACGTCCGGCTGTGCGTCAATCACTTGGATGTCTTCAGTGTTTTCACCAAACCGGCCTGAGAACATAGTCTCAAAAACTTTGCTGTACACAGACAAGATCAATTTGTGTGCCTTAAATTCCTAGAAATGTAAATGTTGTGTCAAATTTTTATATCCAGTGCTAATTAACATATTCGCTGGATGGAGAAAACTAAACCCAATGGATGTACAATTCATAGAAGGGAAACTACCACCCCAAACTACTTAGGAATCAACCCTCACACAGATGAAGGGCTCTGAAATTTAATTATATTTATTTATTAATTTGATAAATTTATGAATCCTTACCCTTCCAACATAGCATTTTGTTATGCAGTCGACTCTTGATAGTTTGAAACCCAAGGGATCACAAAAATAATTCGAATTATCAAGATGTTAGAATTTTCAAGGAGAAAGAAAAATCTAATTGTTAATATAACTTTCTTATTCAATGTCCTACAAGCAATATCTCTGAAGCTATCTCTCTGTTCAACCATGATTTTCAATCCTAGTCCTTATAATATATAAATTTATTTATTTTTTCTGGACGGCTAGCTACTATGGCTAGGACAGCACCTCACGTTTTCACCACCTTACATTTTTTTGGCCAAGCAATCTTTCTGATGGAACTTCTGTATGATTTCTACTCATATTTACCTCTCCACACGTTGTGAAACGGCTCTACAACTGATGCACATTGATGCATTCAAACTTAACCTAACCTCATTTGGTATGTTTCAGGGTACTCAATTTTCTGCTGAAGGCCTGCTCTCATTCACTCTGATAAATACATTCATACTGATTATAACCTTTCATACCATATGCACGGCCTAAAAATTGGGGTGTCATAGGGTATTAATGTAACGCCTGTGTCTCCCCCTTTCACTCTAAAAACACCTGAAAGCTAACCTAGTTTAATGGGTCTGTGGGATACTCGATATTCCGCCACCACACATACCCAACACTCACGCTAATAAATACGTTCATTCCAGTCCTTATTAATTTCCAATAAACTCATTAATACAACTTATTAATATAGATAAAGAAAAATCTGCGCTTGAAAAATTTTCACAGGTCTGACAAAAGTTGAAACCTGTTAAGCATGATTTCAATGGTGTCCTCTGATTTTTTTCTTAATTGGTGGTACGTTTAGTGTTATTGTTTTTCTTAAGTAAACTCATGAAAGTCCTGAAAAAGTGAAATTTCTCCCTTATCCTTGATAATAGGGCTATTGTACAGGATAACATTTTTGTCAATCTTGAGGACACTCTGGCCTGAATTCTTGTATACGGTATATAATCATTTGTATTAGCTTTCTTGATCCGTTCCTTTTTGCTTCAAGCAGATTGTAGTTTCGTCATCCGAAAACACACGTGGAAACGAATTTCGAACATTTTCTTCCTTTTCTATTATAGAAATCATTGTATGATATTCGCTGGATAAAACATCAGTGGAATTCCCTTAATGAACCCAAATTTTGTCCTGGGTTCGAGTGCCGGCTTGTGGCACTAATTTTTCGACTCGAGTTTCTTTGTATAAAAATTAATATTTATCCAAAACTGGTTAAGCTAACTAATAAGAATAATTATAATTTGTTATGGCCCTCCTACATCTATAATGTTCCCCGTTGCTAAATCGTACGTCCGAGTGCTGCAGTATTATGCCATTTGAATATTGGACTGTAACATCGGTAGTTTGTCAATCTGTTGACATAAATAAAATTGTTTTGCACTGATGATGACCTTAAAAGTAGGTCAAAAGCTTGGCAGTAACAACTGAATTTGATTTTTCTTCAAGACCATACCTTGATCCTGAGCGTTTCGTGAGTGAACAGCGGTCGATCATCTAACATAGAAAACATTAATCCTGATGTCATAGGTTCCAGTCCCGCGCATGACTCCGAGTTTTAATCTCAACCTTTTTTGCATAAAAATTTATACATATATACTAAAACTGGTTAGGATAACAATTTAAAATAAGAAAAGGAAAGAACAAAGCAGGCCGGCGGATGTCGGACATAAAACAATTTCTTGGAAGCCATCGGGAATGACAACTTTGACGAAGCCCATAACAAAAAAATTTCAACCCCAATTCGTTTATTCAATACCGTTAACCAATAAAAATTATGTATTTTAACGTTAGTTCATCCATAAAAAAATAATAAACAGAAAAACGGAAAAAAAGCAATTTTGCAAAGTAAACCGTAAAAACGTACAATTTGGAGCAAAAACGCCAAACGACCGCCCAAATACGTGATTAAACTTAAATGTCTTAAATGACTTATATAAGGTTGTTGTGCCCTGATTTTGACCTTAAAAGTAGGTCAAAAGCTTGGCAATAGCAACTGAATTTGATTTTTCTTCAAGACCATACCTTGATCATGAGAGTTTCTTGAGTGAAATAAGAAAAAAAGGTGAAAAAAGGTCGATCATCTAACATTGAAAACATTAATCCTGATGTCATGGGTTCGAGTCCCGCGCATGACTCCGACTTTTAATCTCAACCTTTTTTGCATAAAAATTAATATATACTAAAACTGGTTAGGATAACTATTTAACTAATAAGAAATGTGAATCAGTGACGAGAAATTGGACATTAAAAATTTACCTTTTCTTCTCCTTCGGGTCCGACTTTGAATACGCAATCCGTCCAAACCGAATTTTTAAACACGTAGCCTAACAGTTCTGCCAAACATTTGCCCTCGTTCTGAAAATTTACATTTCCATCTTCCATCTCAACGGATTTTAACTTTTCAAAAAAAACAAAAAAAAAAAAACCGTGCAGTTTTTAGTTAATCCTTCTTCCGCGCCTTCAGGACAACAACTGCAGTACTGCACTATTCAGAATAATTTCGTCGTTAGGAGGGGGTCAGATGAACTATTCCCGAAAAAGAACCATATTGATCGGTCTTTTTTTGTGTGAACTGTAGTTCTTTTCTCAATAACTACAATTATTCCGTTATCGACTAATTCGTACACTTTTTGAGATTTTACAACAAAGATTTTAAATTCAAACACTGCTCCGATGAATAGAACAGAACAGGCAAGTGAAAACTCACATTTTCTGTTTGAAATCTGGGTATTTTCAGGATATTTTCTGTACAGGATATTTTCCTTTGTGACACTTCAACGACCTCATGTGTTTCTTTCTTCGATTAAAATTTGAGATGCTTAGAACTCTTGGATTATAGTTGAGCTCGTCAATTTTCCTTTGATAAAGTTGTGAAAACTCACATTTCCTGTTTGAAATCTGTATATACAGGATGACATCTAACGACATTTGTGACATCTAACGACCTCATGTGTTTCTTTCTTCGATCAAAAATTTGAGATGCTTAGAACTCTTGGATTTAGTTGAACTCGCCAATTTTTCTTTGACAAAGAAGTGAAAACCCAATTAAAACCTTAAAAACCCAATATTTAATGTTTGCACGTGAACACCTTTGAAATCTGTATATACAGGAAATTTTTCTTTAGAACAGTCAACGAGGTCATCAGTTTCTTAATGTCTAAAATTAATATGTTCAATTACATTATTGGTTTCTGTATATTTTTTGAGTCTACATCCTCAATCAAAATCATAAATCATAATTGACTGGCACCTCACTCCCGCCAAGCGTTGTTGAACGGGGTTCGCAGTCCCCACCACTCGAAGCCGCGCGCACCCATTTTTCCCCAAGAGGTGGCTGCCAGTGACGGCCCAGTGACGGGAGGCAACTCTCCGAGTCCTGTGCTGTTCAGTGGTGCTCTGCCTGTGTTTCTTTTCTTTTCTTTGCATTTTGTTTTGTTTTGTCGGCAAAATTGAAAATAAACCAAAAGCGAAAGTGTTTCAAATGTGTTAGTTCGCCCCAAGTGGAAGTGCCTGTGTTCCTGGGCCCTTGACCTGGGCAGCTCGACATATCATGATTTGGATTATGATTTTAGCACGGCATCAGTTCAGGTACGACAGTCTGAAGGATATGTTAAGTTTATGCTGAATTAAAAATTTCTCATTAACCAATCATGCACAAGAAAAAACTCACCTCAAACCCATTAAGTCTTATCACATAAGGAGGAAAATAAACCATTTGAATAAAAAAAGGCTTAAAAACAGACTATTTCTCTGTTTAAATCATCATTATATAAAAACAATTAACTAATAGCCATGTTGCTTTTGCATATTTCCATGCTGTAATTTATGCTGAACCTCTTCGGCGATTATAGCTGGGAGGAAACATCTGTTGAAATCGAGATGAGCGTAGGACGAGGATGTGGGATTTGTTTTTAAAAGATTATTTTCCCAATAGAAGAAGAAAACTATCAGATCTAAAAAAAATTGACTTTGATCCTGACGAAATTGGAAGAACAACGGTTGACGGATTCTTTATACTGTAAACTGGGATTAGTATAATTTACTTTTCCTCGGGTGATCTGAATTTTTTTTTTTTTTTTTTAACTTTGCAGAAATATACAACAAAAGCAAAACTCTTAATTGGTTTAGCATTTGGAGTTGAGATAATTAAGTTTAAGTTAGAACTATCCGAACTATTTTGACGTTGGGTCCGCCTGTTTTCGCAGTTTGACTTCAACTTTAAGGAAATCAATGACAATTCGACGCCCTAACAGCTCTGGACCAAGAAGCACTTAAAAAAAAAGTTATCCATATTTTCTTTGAAGTTGGGTCCGCTTGTTTTCGCTATTTGATTTCAACTTCAAAGGAATTAATATCGACAATTTTGAAGATCCTGAGTGCCTTGGGCATCCTTCGTTTAATCTCCGCCCAATTGAGAAAATAAACCCAACATTAGAGTAATTTAACATGTAGCATTTGTTTGAAGTTGGGTCCGCCAGTACTCGCTGTTTTGACATCAATTTCTAAGGAAATTTTGGCGACAATTTAAATACCCTAACAGCTGTTCAATAAGATTAAAATCCTTCTTTTAATCTCTCTCCAACTAAAAATATAAAGCTAACCTTAGAATTATTTAAAGTTGGATTTTTGAAATTGGGCCGCCTGTTTTCGCTGTTTGACGACAATCTCAAATAAATTAATTTCGACATTTTGAGGATCCTGACTGAGACGTGGGGTTCATTTAAATCAAAATCCTTCGTTTAATATCCGACAAACTGATAAAATAAATCTAATCCAAGAATTATTTAAAGTGTGACTGTTGTCTGAAGTTGGGTCCGCTTCTCCTCGCTGTTTGACATCAATTTTTAAGGAAATTATGGCTACGATTTAAAGATCCTAACAGCTGTGAGCAAGAGGTTCAATAAGATTAAAATCGTACTCATAATCTTTGCCGAATTAAAATATAAAGCTAGCCTTAGAATTATTTAAAGTTGGATTTTTGAAATTGGGTCCGCCTGTTTTCGCCGTTTGACTTCAATCTCAAAGAAATTAATTTCGACAATTTGAGGATCCTGACTGAGTCGAGATGTTCCTTAAAATCAAAATCCTTCCTTTAATATCCGTCAAACTGATAAAATAAACCTAATCCAAGAATTGTTTAAAGTGTGACTGTTGTTTGAACTTGGGTCCGCCTGCCCTCGCTGTTTGACATCAAGTTAAGTTTTAGGAAATCAATGGCCACAATTTGAAGTCCTAACATTTTTCGGCCAAGATGTACTACAAAACCAAAATTCTTCTATTAATTGGCTTGGAATTGAGAAATTAAAGTTAACTCTGATTTTTTTTAGTTGGGTCCGCTTGACCTCGCTATTTGAACTTCACATTTAAAAAAAATTAATGTAATTTGATGATACTGTCTGCTTTGAATCAAGATGTTTCATAACAAAGAAATCTTTCGTTTATTCATCGTCGAATTGAAAAAATAAATCTAATTTTTTTTCCAAGTTGCGTCCGTTTGTCCTCGCAGTTTGAATTCGATTTTTAAGGAAACTATGACGTCAATTTCAAGATCCAAATTACTGAGAGCTAAGACGTTCCATAAAATCAAAATTATACTCTTAATCTCTGTCGAATTAAAACAATAAAGCTAATATAATTATTTAAACTGACGTTTTAGTAATTCGTTATTTTAGTTTTTAGCAATTGGCTCCGCCTTTCCTCGCTAGTTTACTTCCATTTTTTGGAAATCAATGGTCACAGTTCGATGATCATAACACCTCTGGATCATGTTGTATATAAAAAATTGTTCTTAATTGCTTTGGAATTGAGAAAAATAAAGTTAACTATTTTTTTAAGCGGGGTCCGCCTGTTCTCGCTGTTTGACTTTAAGTTTTTGGAAATCAAAGCCACAATTCGAAGTCCTAACAAAAAAAAAAAAAAAAAAAAAAAAAAAATATATATATATATTTACTTTTATTTACTTTGGAATTGAGAAAATAAAGCTACTTCTCTTTTTTTATGTTGGGCCCGCTTGTCCTCGCCGTTTAACTCAGGTTCAAGTAAATTAATGTCGATTATTTGAAGATCCATATGTTAGCCTGGATGTTCCGTAAGAAAGAAGTCCTGCTTCTAATTTCTGTCGAATTCAGCGAATTAAGTTGAAGTTAGAATTACTTAAACAGGTTTTTTTTAGTTGGTCCGCTTGTCCTCGTTGTTTGTTTTCAAGTTTAAAGGAAATCGCGGTCAAACTATGGCGACGATGTAAAGATATTGCTGCGGGCCAGAGTGCACTGGGTACAAACGAAAATTGATTAAATAAAACAACTCAAGAATTATTTTAACCGTATTTTATGAAGTTGGGTCCGCACGTTCTCGTTGTTTTTTCTACAAATTTAATAAAAATCCAGAAACTACGATTTAAATCCGCTGCCTTTGTAATATTGATAAGAATAGAAATGCAATTATTACATTTGTTTTGTTTGTCTAGGGTTTTGTTTTAGGTATAACGTACGCGGGTCCGCTTCGTCTCGCAGTTTGCGAACGGTACATAAAGGAGAATTGGGCTGAAATTTTCATCTTTGTCACAGAGGTTGTGCGCCTTGAATTATTCTGGGTCCGCCTATTCTCGCCTAATTGATTTATCTGATTAGGAAAATTAAAAATATTGGAAATTACAGGGTTAATCCGTAATATTTATGACGGTTTGGATACAATAATAGATTTTTGTTCTTTCGAAAACCCGACCTCGAGGTTAATTTTTCAAAAATGTTTTTCGACGAAAGGTTGAAATTTTGAAACATATCTATCAGGTTTCGTGGTCCGATTGACCTAATGGCAGAAAGGATGGAAAATTCAAAAGGGGGGTTGAGGCGGGAAGTTGGTGTCCGAGCTCAAGTGGTTAGAGCAGCGGCGGATTGAGCCGAAGGTCGTGGGTTCGAATCCCGCTAGTGACACTGACTTTTTTATCCCAAAACCAAAACCTTAATTAAAGATTAATTTTGAAACATACTTGGCTTATTTTATATTTCTTAACAGGTGAATGGGAGCATACGGCCAGGAAGCTATTTTTACATCAATTGTACCTGTTCTGATGAAATGGCGACCCAGTTTACAAAAGAGGCTGAACATAAATGGATTAAAAATAAGTCAAATTGCTTCTTGAGCTCTTAGGCTGCGTTGATGATTTGCTGACTGCCACCTTTACACGGACCGACCTGGTTCGACTTACGCTTATGAAAAACAATAACCGTTTTATAAATCGGGAAAACGGGTCGCTTTTCTCGTTTGCTCAATTAGAAATTGACTTTTAATCCAGGCCTCTTATGTAAAACCAGGAACACGAGTAAGGCTGAAATCTTTCACTCGTACATAAATTAACATCCATTATGGGCGAACGGATACATGTTTGACAAGTATTTCGTATATTTTCAGGTGGTTCTTCGGTGTTTTTCTTTTTATTTGTTATCAACTTGTTTAATCTAAGGGAGCACCAGTCGCTCAGTACGAATAGGTGGCATCATAAATCACGTTTCATGTCAAATATGTTTCAGGGACGAAGTTGACGGTCCAGTGCCTCTGGCCATCTGTCCCACCGTGGGAAATGGGGCGTACCTATCGAAACATGTGAACCACAAGCAAACAACCCCTTCCCACTACGACAATGAAAAACTTAAAAAAAAACCTGTCAAAACAGAAATTTAAAAAATACTGGGAGAACAAAAATAAAATCTCGTACCAAACGGTCATATCTGAAACTATGTTTTTATTTGGTTTTAGTTAACCGAAGTGATTCTTTAATTTGATTTATAATTTTTATGTAAAATATGACAGATTGAAAATTAGTGGCATTAGGAGGACTCGAACCCACGACCGTCTATAGCCTTCTTAGTCACTTGAAGTCGGCTTGGCTCAAGCGGTTAAGGTCTTGGGTTCGAGTCCCGCATCAATCTTCCTCTCAATCACATTTTATAGACAAATTAGAAATCAATTTCTTATAATAAACAATGTCTAGAAATGAAAAAATTACAAACCATCGATCTCTTTTATAGAAATGATGAATGGTGGAGTGAGTGCGGTGTCCAATCCTTTTAATAGACAGTTCCTACTCACAGTAAGTTGTTACCACCGGATTTCGAGCTTTTAGCTCATCATAAGGTTGAAGAAGTTCTACAACCTGATGATGAGGTAAAAGCTCGAAATCCGTATCGTTGAAAACAACTTACTATGAGTAGGAACTAACTTTTTAAAAAGGATTCGATCTCATTTTGTTCCGTTCAAAAGACACTTTTGTTATATTTCTGGCACACCACCAGACCAATGCCGGCCAGTGTCTGAAAACTAGAGAACTTGAACTTGAAAATTTCAGCAAGTCAGCTCCATTCATTCCATCTCGTAACAAACACATTAAAGCTTAGATTAATTTGTTTACTTTTGATTGAGCATAGTTCCCTCATTCACAATATCATTCGTTAGCGACATGACACATTTGTTTAGACGTCCATTGAGCAGTTAATACTCATTCCTTCACTTAGCCACGCACTCTCTCGTTTGAATTCTGGTTCATGCGATTATTTGCTCATTCATGCATCCTATGGGCTCCCATTTTTCTG